TTTTTAAGTCTTTGAATGGAGGGGGGGGGGAATAGAGGGCATTGTGCCAACATCAAAAGCCGCACCACACCACCATTTTCTGCGGGGCCGCTGCGTTTTCCTGGGGGGCGGAAAAGCGGCTGGAAACGCTCGTTGGAGGGATTTTAAAGGGAATGGGACAGGTGAACTGCTCGATCTCGTCGTGTTTGGATTAAAATTTGTCCTTGCAGTATTTTTTTTTGCGAGTTAGTTTTACTATCTCTCTCTCCATATCTATAGCTATATCTCTCCTCTCTCCCTCTCTCTCTCTCTCTCTCTCTCTCTCTCTCTCTCTCTCTGTCTCTCTCCCGTAGCCGTTCTCTCGCTCCTTCGCTGTTGAATAGACCGAAAAAACTAGACAGCCGGAAAAATATCGATGGATTTTATCGCTTCTCAAATTCTCTTTGCTAGCTTACCTCGTTTCTCTCGCGCTCTCCGTCTCTCTCTACCTCTCTCTCTCTTTCTCTCGCCCCCTCTCTCGCTCTCTCTCCCCCTACCCATCTCTCTCACGCTGTCTTTCTCGCTCTCTCTCTCTCTCTCTCTCTCTCTCTCTCTCTCTTTCTCTCTCTCTTCCTCCCTTTTATCGAATTTAAAATACGACTTAAATCTGTTTTGATACCTTTTTGAACCCGTCACCCTCAACATTCCCATTTCGCCTCGATCGCAACGCCAAAAACTCTGGCACCACGACCCCCGCCCCGACCCGGGCCATTTCGGGCTCTCCAATTTCAATTTTACGGCGCTCGGAAACGTCAACGCTGCTGTTGCTGTGTGTGTCCGGGGCCCGGACAAATTGGGCAAAATCCGCCGGGTTAGTGTGTGTAGGGCTGCTGCCCTTTTCGGCATCGGCAACTTTTTGGCTTCACCTCGGAATTTATGGGATCTGTCTGACTTTTTGTAATAATTTTAGCGAATTTTTGGCGCTTCCGGTTTGAACGGAGCTCAATGAAATCTCAGAAAATTTCTGTGGCCGGTCCGTTGGTACTGGACTGTTAGCGGGGGGGGTAAGCAAATTTTTCGAAGTATAGCAAAATATAAACAATTTTTCTCTCATTTACACGCTATTTAGATCTATAAAGCACAAAAATTTCTAAGAATTTTCGTTCTTCGTTTTTTTTTTTCGTTAAAAGTATGAAAATTAACAAAAAGACCAATATTTTGTAGGAATCTCAAACCACTAAGACGACAAAATACGCCCTATATTATCATGCGGAAAAAATCAATATTACCCCCCCGCTAAGCGGCCAGTACCGATATTTTACATAGCTTTTTTTGCAGCTCTGGTTTCGTTATAAACGCTCAACGAGCCACTCGACAATAGGCGCTGTCGAATTTTATGATCTGTGCCGTTTTTCTACAATTCTGGTGTCCATTTTTGAGCCGGACGCCCCGGCAAACGAACGGCCATTCGTCTGCCCCGGGATCAACGTTTTTCCCAGATCGCATAGCCGACGATTATCGGACACTCTCACCGGACGGTCTGTCGATAATCGCCCCTAAGTGGCCCCGGCGAAATTGTCTATTAATAGCCGTCGCGCGCGAGTGTGTTTTATAAACGGATTTTTGCGCTGTGTTGTCGGGCAGCTGCAAGCTTTTATCTAGCTTTACGGGCTTCCGGAAGCAGGATTTCGATTATTTTTTTAATTATTGCTAAATTCCCTATTTTAGTATTTTCACATTTTGCAGATCATAGGATAGGCCATTTAAAGTATACTTTTTATTATTTTTTCGGGAAATAAAATATTATCTTTGGCTGGGAAATCTCTTTTTGTTTTATTATCAAGAAATCAGCCAGAAAACCCGGGTGATTTGGGATTTTAGGTGTTTTTCGGCATTCTCAGGCAACGCCATTTGATGAAGCGCCGATAGATTAACTAGAAAACTATTTAATGTAGAAAATAGATTTTTTAATTTTTACATCAGACTGAGAATCGATTTTTTTTTCTTGCGTTTCACTTTTCAACAGTTTTTAGTAGAGCTTGGCGAGTTTTTAACTTTTTTTGAAAGGGATCTTATTCATTTTTGCGGCTTCTCCCCGATTCTCTTTTCCGGATTTACCCCTAAATCCAACAGGGAAATGGCCCGCTGCCGAATTTCCACTCCGCCATGCATACGAATTGGGCCGTGTTTCTTGCTTTCTTTAGCATGGTCATTTTTCCGTGATTTTCCGGAATTTCCGGAAACTCAGGACTTTCCGGAACTTTACTTTGCCTTTTCCCGAGTTTACCAGTCTCTCCTGCTTTCCGGAAGTTCCGGAGCTCGTTCAGCAGTTCAGCTCTTTCCGGCCTTGCGGATTTTTCCGTATTCTCGCGAAGTACGGAAGCGCCATCTTTTCCCGGATTCGTGCCAGAAACTCCGGTTTTTTCCGGAAGTGAACCGCTTTTCCCGATTTTTCGCGCTTCTCCGGCTTTCCGGAATTTCCGGATTTGTTCCAGCATCTCCTTAGCTTCCTAACACCGTTAAGAAGCCCCATCCCGGGCCTTTGCCACGCGTAAATGAATGGAAATTGGGCTTCCTGCTTGGGGGTGGGTTTGTGTGTGGCCTGTCTTTGCACCCTTCTTTTAGCCCTTCACAGGGCCCACGGCCGCCCCAATTATCGCATAGATGAACAAGTCGCCCCGCTCGCCATCGTCAGCGCCACCCGCAAAATTGCCCATTTTCTGACTCGCTAAAAAAAGGGGTGATGCTCGCCTTCGGGGTGCCCTCGATTAGACGGTCTCGCTTGAGTTGACTTGTATTCGGCTGAGGCTGATTAATTTCCGGGTTTTTTTGTAAGATTAATTTTTTGGGGTTGATTTAGCGTTTCTCTCACTGTTTTCGCTCTCTCGCGCTCTCTCTCTCGCTCTCTCTCTCTCTCTCTCTCTCGCTTTACGAATCCGCGTTTTTCTATGCGTATTTTTATCCTTCGCTTTCCGCAAAGAACGCTACTAGATTGCCTTGCAGCGCTTCCCAAATGAACCCTGCTAGCTAGCGTCCCGATTTTTATTGGTGCTCCAAGAATCTCTGCTAGCGAGCACCTCTCTCTCAATTTATTCTCGGTTGCTCTCTCTCTCTAGCTTTCTCGCTATCCTCCTCTCCCTCCCTCTGTCCCCTCTCTCTCTCTCTCTCTCTCTCTCTCTCTATCCCTATCTCTTTTTCATTTTTCTCGGTTTCTCTCTCTCTCCCTCTCTCTCGTCAATAACCGCTAAATTTCACCTGAACGTCTTGAAGACCTCGGCCGTAGCAGGCTTTTTGTGTTCCCGTGGTCATCTACCCAACTGTACTTTTTTCTGGGCACTTTTTACCCCACCTCATCTCTTCCCTCCCTCTCTCCCGCCCCCAAAAAAACCCACCGTTCGCCCCAGAATCCCATTTCCCGTCTTCTACATTCGAATTCCGTAGCCCGGGCTCGGCCGGCAATTTGATAGCTCGGGGCGGGGGCCAACAAGTTGACGGCCTGGGGAGCACGAGCACTTTTAGCCGCCGCGTCCGCCAGCCTTTTTTTGGGGGGCCCAATTAATCCCGCGCGTGTCGCCAGGGTCGAAGAGTCGTCAACGGGTTTTTAGTAGTTTTTTTGGGGCCAAAAATTGGGATTTTTAAATTGTTTAAATCTTTCTGCTAACTTCCGCGACTTTGTGCAAATTTCTCACAGTGCTTTCTGCCTCGTGAAAACTGCAGAGAAATTCCGAAATTTTTTGCTAATTTCTAAAAAAATTGTGCTCGTTTCCGGGCAATTCCTCAAAGTTCTTTGCTAGCTTGCTCCGCCAGAATTCCTCAAATATTTCTGCTAGCTTGCTGGACTGACAAAAAAACTCCTCAAGCCTTCCTGATAGCTTCCCAGGGCCTGAAAATTCCGCAAAAGTATTTGCTAGTTTCCCGCGCTTTTTGTGGCGATTTCCGCAAATATCTCTGCTAGTCTGCCTGTCGGGTGTGAGCTTGTGAGATTCAATTTATAAGTTATTTACTTTATTGGGTATGAAACATTATACCCATCACTTTCAAGGGATTATAATCCTTCTAGGTGCTTTCGCATTATCGGGGGGGGGGATTTATTAGGGAAAAACCTACATTTTTGTGAATTCCGGGAATGCCAAGTATTTTAATAGCGTTTTTAGTAATAGGAAAACTACCTAAACAACTACAAAAATACCAAAAATTCAAAAATTGTATTTTTTTGGTATTTTTTAATAACAATTTTTTGGCAAATTTAATACTAGAAAAACGTTTTTTAAAGTGCCAAAGAACCCGATAATGCCCCCCCCCCCGATAATGCCAAAGAACCTCCTCGACTAATTTTCGCAAGTACTGCCGCCCTTTTGGGTCTGCAAAAGTATTCAGTGAAGGGCTGAAGGGACCCGACTAATTTCGGTTGCCCTCGCCAACCCCTGGCCCGCCCCCGGCCCGGCCAGCAATGTGATTTATTTGATTTTGGGTGGTGGAGAGCTGGGTGGAGGGGGGCAGAACGTGTTGCTCTCGCTGACGGCTAATTCATTTTTGGCCCCGGGCTTTCAGGGGTTTTTCGCCTTTTTTCTTGACCTCCTTGAACTTGTTGGACGGGCTTACATTATTAGGTCGTTTCCTCTCTCGCTCTCTCTCTCTCTCTCTCTCTAAATGGCTCTCTTTGTCTCTCGCTTTCCGCAAAAAAAACTGCTATACTGCCTTGTGGCGCTCCCAAATGAACGCTGCTAGCCTCCCGATTCGCATTGGATTTTAAAAGCTCTGGTAGCAGCATATCTCTCTCTCTCTCCAGTTTTCTCGCTCTCCATCTCTCTCTCGATCTCGTGCTCTCCCGCTATTATTTGACTCCGCGTATTTCTGTCACTTTCTGTCTCTCTCTCTCTCTCTCTCTCTCTCTCTCTCTCTCTCAATTACAATTAAACATCAATTCTTGTCCAGAACCCCACTACCAACTCTAAATATGTCCCGCTGCCAACTCGCCGCCAGATAATTCGGAGTCACCATCATCCTCGTCCAGGCCACCGCCGCCCAAAAATTACGCCGCGATGCCGACGAGCAACGGCAACGCCTCCGTGCATGTCGTTGTAAATTAATCAACAACGAAAATTATTCAATACCGGTTTTTACGGCATTAAATGTTTAAATAAAGACGGGATTTTAACTTTAAAAAATTAAAATTGGCGCGTGAAGCCATATAGTTTGTGCTCCTCCTTGTTTACCGATTTCGACTAACCGGGGGGTTTCCCGGGTTTTATGGGAGGAGCTAGGTGTTCACGTGCTGCAAAATTGTATTAAAAAGCGTATTATTAATATTAGATTATTATTAAACTTATCGTTGACGAATTTATGGTAAAGTTTATAAAATTAAAATAATAAAAATGTCCATAAAATTACAAGAATTAAAATGAAGTAAATTTAAGAAATTTTGCTTTTTTTTTTCCTCGCCTATCTCACGATTTCCAGGATCGAAACGCGCCTCGTCCGGTGTCCGCACTCTTCCGCGTCGAGAACGGCGGGACCGTCAAAGCGGAGCTGGTCGGCAAGAAGCCCGAGGAGAAGCCAAAGGCCGTCGTCGTCGGTGCTAAGGTGAATTTTTGGGGTTTGTTTAGTTGTATCTTATGCGAATCTTATGCGTGATAATGCGTAGTGTAACGTAGCATAGTTGTGACGTAGTCTAATGTGCTTTTTGCTTATTTTTATTAACGAAAGAACGTCTGAAAATGTTTCTCGAGCTCAAAAATCTCGACTTTGCCAAGCAAAAAAATTGTATTTTCTCAAAATTTTTGAGCTTGTAGAACCTTATTCTTGCTTTAGAATGTTTTTACTTGTATAGATTACAAAAAACTATATTACCAGCCGTTGAAGAGTATTATTATAAAATTTCTTTTGAATTTAGGGTAACGGGGATTGTAATGATTTTCCATTTGTCATTTTTCCGCTTTTTCCTCAGTACGCTGGTCGGCATAAGAAATTCAGAATCGAAAACTAGGTTTTTCAAAAGTTTTCAAAAGTTACAGAGATTTTTCGGTCCTTTTAAAGTTGTTGAGCTAGTTTCTAAGGTTTTTAGTTTTCAAAAAAAATTTTTAGCATTTTGGTATTTTCGAAAAAAAGACCTTTTTTTTAGCCGGGCGGCGCCGCCGAAGACATGGTGATCGAGACGATAACGGCGGAAAATGCGAGCGTCCACGAGGTTCAGGTGTGCAGCATTTATTGTTTTCCGGAAACACTGGCTTTCAGGAATGCCTGGGGATGCTGCGCTCCGACAAGGCGGCCGGCCTTTCCACCGCCGAGACGACGCGACGCCGCCAATTCCACGGGTACAACGAGTTTGACGTGAGTTTTTTTAAGGGTTAAACCGTACGCTAATCCGTAACTGATTACGTCTTTTAAATAGTTTTATTGAAATAGAAAAAGGGCCGGTTCTTTTGTATTATCGGGGGGCTGTACAATCTAATGATTACTGACGTAACGGGAGGTATTTTATTAGTGTTTTTAATCAAATATAAGTTTATTTCAACTAGAAAGACTGGCTAAACATAAAAAAAAACTTTTTAAGTCGAAATTTTGTCAAAAGTCGGCCGTTTTTTTGCCCAAAAAAAATTATATTTTTGTATTTTTTACTAAAAATTCGCAAATTTTGTAGATTTTGGAAGTAAAAACAGATTAGAATCGCACGAAATTAAAGAAATATGACGTATTGTGATCGATTAACAATTTATTCAAGCGTATATTAAGTTTTATTTTTACGTCCAATAACTACGATAGGTAAAAGCTAATTTAAAAGCTAGCGTCGTTTAAATCGGTTCTATGTTCTTCTTTTTACTCCCAGTTTCCAGGTCGGAGACACGGAGCCAATCTGGAAAAAGTACGCCGAGCAGTTCAAGAACCCGCTGATCCTGCTGCTCCTCTCCAGCGCCGTCGTCTCGATTCTGATGAAACAGTTTGACGACGCCATCTCCATTACGGTATGCTTTCTGTTTACGGGTCGATGATTTTTCTCCTTTTTTTCAGATAGCCGTGGTGATCGTGGTGACGGTGGGCTTTGTGCAAGAGTACCGCTCGGAGAAAACGCTCGAACAGCTCGCCAAGCTCGTCCCGCCTGCGTGTCATGTGTAAGCAATTTTTAAAGGTGCCGGAAAGCCAGAACTCTGGGTTTTGGGGGGTGCGGATCTCCCCCTTTCCTGTCCTTCCCCCCCCCCACCCTTCCCCCCCACCCCCCCTTCCCTTTTTTTTCCTTTTCCCCATTCCCATTTTATTATTCCTTTCTCTTAATATCTCTATCTATCCCTCCTTTTTTTTTTTCTTCCTCCTCTTGGTCCCCTTTTTTCGCCGACCATCTCCTTTGTTTTTTTTTTTTTTTGTCCCCATCATCCCCCCCTCCCCGTTCCTCCCTCCTTTTTTTTTTTCTTTTTTTTTTCTTTTTTCTTTTTCTTTTTTTTCCCCCCTCAACCGTTAAACTTCTTCTCTTCTCCACTCCCTTAAATTCTTTCCCAAACTCTTTTTTTTTTCTCTAAATTTAAATTTTTTTTTTTCCTTATTCTTTTCTTTTTTTTTTTATTTTTCTTTTTTCTTCTCTTCTCCCCTCTTTTCTTTTTTTTATATTATTTATTATTTTTTATTTTTTTTTCCTTTTTTTTTTTTCCTCTCCTATTTTTTTTAATTTTTTTTTTCCGCCATGAATCACGCAACGACCGCGACGCGTACAGTCCAGAACAGCGTGCGCATTGCGTATTATTTCGTGTATTTTCCTAGCGTTTTTTGGTAGTTTTTGCCTGCGACGCAATTATTAAAATCTTTAAAATGTTGAAAATGGGTAGTTTTTTAAATTTTTGTGACCCGTTTTGGCCCCTTTTCATACAAGTTTTACCAAAAACGCAAAACTTTCGGAAATTGCCATATTTTCTATTTTGCTGTTTATGGCTAAAAACGTTAGAAAATGCTATCAAAATGGTTATATTTCGTTTTTCGGCCATACTAGCGCAAAAATTGGTGAAGAAACTTTCCCGGTAACCCCTAGCAGTACATACCAAGCTGGTGCGTAACGTACAGACGGCGCGCGCGTTGCCTTTCGCGGCGCGGAAATCCGCCACAGAAGCAGATCCAACGACCTTCAACATCACAAATACCCAACTTTCAGCCTTCGAGATGGTCGTGCTCACGAGATGCTGGCGCGCGAGCTCGTCCCCGGCGACGTCGTGCTCCTCAACACTGGAGACAGAGTGCCGGCCGATGTTCGTCTACTCGAATCGGCGGATTTGCAAGTCGACGAGTCGTCGCTGACCGGAGAGACCGAGCCCAAGCACAAGAACATCAATGCCGTCGTTGGGTAAGCGCTTCTGATTCAGTTTTTCGAATTCTCTGTAGCAAAACGGGCCTCTGCCATTTTCATGTCGTGTGCGGTTAAACTGGGAAAACGAGTAAAACTAATGAATTCTCTGTAGGAAAGCAGAGTTTTTGCGTTCTCTGTATCACTCCGGAACTGCCATTTCCATGTCGTGTACGATTATACCCCCCGGTGAGACACACTGAGACGCGACGCATTTATCATGGCCGCAATGAATAGTAGGCCTCGTAATGCAACACGGAACTGCGGCGTCGGCGAGCCGTTCAGGGGTTGTACTCGATGGGGAGGTTCTTCCTGCGGACCATGCCGTCGCCCTGGAACCACTCGCGGCGGAACTGCTTGGCGGCGCCGTCGGGGGTGTTGGTCCACTCGATGGTGACACGGTCGTTGTTCGTGTCCTCAGCGCCGAACTGGAACGAGTCGCACGAGACGGCAACCTGGAAAAGGGGAGTGGGCGAGGCCGAGCAGTTCAAGCCTTCGCAGGAGCAGGACATGCTCAAGCAGTCCAAGCCAAGCGAATCGAGGAGTTCAAGGAGTTCAAGCTGACTCACCAGAACCTGCTCCTTGGGGTCGAGGACACCGCACGGCGGGTCGACTCCGAGGCGCTTCATGTTGGTGGTCTTGAAGGCCCATCCGATGCGGCGGCCGCCAGAGTTGATCACCTTGATGTGGTAGGTGTGCTTGTCATCGTAGGGGGCGTTGAAGACAATCTTCGTGCCGGGCTGGGTGGTGATGTCACCGGGAGCGACGGATTGGGCCATCTTCGAGGTTGAAGTTTGGGTACTTCGGGCTTGTCGAGGGTTTCTTATATACCTGGGAACGCATGGAAATCGATTGATGGAGATGAGCAACTTCCGGGATTGTAATGAGTTTTATTTAATGTTTTTGGATCGTTTCAACCCGCAGATGACGCTGTAGACATTTCGGGATTTTAATCAACGTGATTTAATAATTAAAATGTATATTATTTTAAAACAGAAAACTATGGAAATTGCTACTTCTCGCGTTTTAATACTATTATTACGGTTAATTAAGGGCTTTAAAAAGCCTTAAAAATCACCATAGAAGTTGATGTGTTGCGATAAGCAATTTTTTTAAACATATTTCCGCCTTTAAAAACTGAAAAAACAACGAAAGAAAATCGACGTTTTCCGGAATTTAATTGATCGTTTTAGATTTTAAAATATAAAAAACGGAATATTTGGTCGAGTTGGATTTTAAAATTTGGAAAAACGAACAGAAAGACCTGATGAACTGCTTCCATTTTATTTGCTTTTATCTAAGAATATTTTTAATAGGTTTATTTGAAGTTTTGAAGGTTAGAAACAAAATAAAAAGCCCAATTTTGATGTATGACCAAATTTAACAATTTCTGGACTTTTAAATCTCAGATATTTTATTCGTACATTTTTTTCAGGCAAAACAACGGTGGCCACGTCGAGCACATGACCAACATCGCGTTCATGGGCACGCTCGTCTGCTCTGGAAGGGGAAGTGTAAGTGGCCTCAAGTTGGCTTCAACTTCAGAATCTAGGGCCTCGTCATCTCCACAGCCACCCACTCCAAGTTTGGCGAGGTGCTGAAAATGATGCAGGAGCAAGAGGTTTGTACTTTTTCGTTTTTTTTTATATTTTGTTGGTTTAGTCGCCAAAAACTCCCCTCCAAAACTCGATGGATCACTTGGGGAAGCAGTTGTCAATCTACTCGTTTGGTGGGCTTTTCAGGCGTTTTGCAGGGTAATAAACGTAGCTTCGGCTTAGTGAGACTAAACAGGCGTTCCTATCCAAGCGTGCGCTATATTTTTGAACCACTTCGAAACCTCTAAACCCCTCTCTTTCAGGCGTGATCGGCGTGATCTTCGTCATTGGCCTCGTGCAGGGCCACAACGTCCTCGACATGTTCACCATCGGCGTCAGTTTGGCCGTGGCTGCAATCCCGGAAGGACTTCCGATCGTCGTCGCCGTCACCCTGGCCATCGGCGTGATGAGGATGGCCAACCGGAGATGTGTCGTCAAAAAGATGCCCGCTGGTCAGGCTCCTTTTCCCACCAGCAAATTCCGAATTTTCAGTGGAAACGCTGGGTTGCGTGACGGTGATCTGCTCGGACAAGACGGGCACGCTGACGAAGAACGAGATGACGGCCACCGTTGTTGTCACGCCGGAAGGAAGGAGGGCTGAGGTGAGGCGAGGAGGAGCTTTCTACCTTATCTCGTGCTAGAAATGCCGGATCTGAAGACGTTTTGCACCATTCGAAACCCGGAAAAAGCGGATTGCGTGTCAATCTCTGCGTTTTCCTTACGAAAGGGAGCACAAGCATGTTTCCGGATTCTCAAAAAGTCTTTGGTGGTGTTTTTTACAAATATCAGCATATTTTAAGGGGAAAACCTATCTAAAAACTTCAAAAAACTCTAAATTCATAAATTTTGGTCAAAAAAATTTTGTCAAAATCCAAAAAAATGAATTTTTATAAAAATTTGTAAAATTTTGCGCACAGGGACTATTAAAAAGAAAACTTAGAAACTAGAAACACTGTTATTTCGATTAGAAAACGGCCTACTAAAGGAAAATTTTCGATTCCTCGCCTGAAACCCCCGCCCCGCTAATGCAAAAAAACTCATGGCGGGATGCGGCGGTCTTCGGGGTCATCCTACCCTGCAAAGTCGACGTACTATTTTTTCAGGTAACCGGCCTCGGGTACGCCGTCGACGGCGGTATCTGCACGTACAACGGGCAAACGGTCACCGGATGGAGCCACCCCGAATTCGCCTCCATCATCGAAGCCGGCGCCGTCTGCAACAACGCGGCCATCGTTGGGGAAAGTGTCGTCGGGCAACCAACTGAGGGAGCCCTCGTCGTGCTCGCCAAAAAGGTGAATTCACCTTCAAATAGCTTATATCCCATTTTCAGACCGGATTGGAGCAATGCCGATTGAGCTACACTCGCCAAGGGGAGATCCCGTTCTCGCACGACAACAAATGGATGTCCGTGCAATGCGTCAATCAGCAGGTAATTAATTGGTTCTTTTGCAATAACGGAGGTGACAAATTTTTTAAAGTCCAGAAATGTCTAATAAGGTAATAGAAGGTATTTTAATAATTTTTAGCAAATTTTAACCGTATTTCAAGTGGAAAAACCATCTGGAAACGTTTAAATTTCGCAATTTTGGGCAGAACTCGATATTTTTTGTACTTCTTAATAAAAATTTGTAGCCTTTTCGCATTTAGGAATGGTAAAACAGTTTAAAAACACTCTCTAGTGATAATAGGAAAATTCGATGCTAAGGAATTTTTTTGAGGTTATTACATAAAATATTGGGGATTTTCATGGTCTGTAGCGTTTTTCGATAGCTAAACAGTTATAACATTTTCTGGAAAGCGTGGTAATTTAAATGGTATAAGTTTTTTATGTATCTCGCCAATTTTGCACCAAGGTGAATCGCGGTGCCAATTTTATTCTAAACTTTTTGTTAATGGGGTCGCCTTTTCGTGAGTACAGTTTTTTCCTCTTTCCAGGGCAACGTGGTGCATTTCGTGAAAGGTGCCTCGGATCGGATCATCGAACTGTGCGACTCGTATCTGTCGGCTGATGGACGGAGGCTGGCCCTCGACGCGCAGACGCGAAAATTGATCAACGACGGGGCGAGTGCGGTGGCGTGTCAGGGGCTCAGAGGTATGATGCAACTTACGCGTTGAGCTTTTAGAAATTTTGTAGAAGTTCGTAGTAGTAAAATTTGTAGAAGGATTTTGTAGAGAGAGAGAGTGAGAGAGAGAGCGAGAGAGAGAGAGAAGAGAGAGAGAGAGAGAGAGAGAGAGCGAGAGAGAGAGAGTATAATCATCTTAATTGTATGTTTTAATGCAAGCCTTTTAATGGCGTTTTTAATAAAATTTAGCGATTCGAAAAACAATCAACAAACTGGGAAAAATGTTGAGACGAAATTTTGGTAGAAAACCGGCGATTTTTTGGTCAAAAAAATCGATCTTTTTGGTATTTTTAATTAGAAATTTGTAAGGTTAAATAGCAGAGAATAGGAATAAAAAGGACCGTTTTCCACTTTATAACAGCTATTTTTTTAGTGCTAGCGTTCGCGCGCGGCGACTCGGTGCAGTCTCTACAGCTTCTCGGGCTGGTCGGCATGTGGGATCCGCCGAGGCCCGGCGCCGCTGAAGCCATCGAGGTATCATTTTTCGACTAATAATTAATTAACTCTGAAATCTAGATCGTCAAATCGTCGGGCGTCGACGTGAAGCTGATCACTGGCGACAGTCAGGAGACCGCGCAGAGCATCGGTACTTATTAAGCCGGTTTTTGCAGGCTAAACTTTCGTAAAAACTGCTCATTATGCCCTGAATTTAGGTGAACGGTTGATGATTCACTCTTCGGCTGACATGTGCCTTTCCGGCCACCAAATCGAGCAGATGAGCGACCACGACCTCGAGATGGTCATTCGCCAGGTTTCTTACAGCTTTTTTTCTCAATCAACTTTGTTTTCTAGGTGACGATCATCTACCGGGCGACCCCGCGGCACAAATTGAAGATTGTGAAGGCACTGCAGACGCTTGGCGAAGTCGTCGCGATGACTGGAGATGGTGTCAACGATGCGGCCGCCTTGAAGAAGGCCGATATCGGAATCGCCATGGGAATCAGTGCGTTTTTAGCAATTCCGTTCCAACTATTTCAACTTTTCCAGGCGGTACCGACGTCTGCAAGGAGGCGGCCGACATGGTGCTCTGTGACGACGACTTTTCAACGCTCGAACACGCGATCGAGGAGGGCAAGGGCATCTACCACAACATCACCAACTTTGTCCGCTTCCAGCTTTCGACGTAAGGAATACTGCCACGTTTTTTATCTATAAAACGCTTTAGTTCTGTGGCCGCCCTGTCGTTGATCGCGGCGTCGACCATCTTTGGCTTTGAGAACCCGCTGAACGCGATGCAAATCCTGTGGATCAACATCATCATGGACGGGCCGCCCGCGCAGAGGTGCGATTCATTTTTTTGCTCCCAGAAATCTCTCGTTTTAGCTTGGGCGTGGAGCCGGTAGATGCGGACATCATCAAGCAGCGCCCCCGCAACACAAAGCAGCCGATGCTGACGATGAAGCTGATCTCGCACATCCTCTCCTCGGCCGCCATCATTGTCGTCGGGACGCTATGGGTGTTTTATAAAGAGGTAAATTGGGCCTAAGGTTTAAATCTATTTTAAAGGGATCTTTTGCATTATCGGGGGGACCCGATTTTTTGAGCTTCATAGATGCCTAATAACGTTATATTAATTATTATGATGGTGTTTTTGGGCTCTTTAAATGTAGTAAACTATTTTATTTGAAGCGGAAACTAATTTTTTCAGGTTAGAAGAAATTATTAGTTGGAATTTTAGTGCAAAAAATCTATATTTTTGTTTTTTGACAAGAAATTGTAAATTCTGTGCGCTTAGAATTAGCAGAAAAAAAACCGATTCGAAGGACTTCCTCTATTTTCATTCGAAAAATTGGTTCCTTAGCAACAAGTTCCCCCCCTCGATAATGCAAAAGTACCGGATTCGCTATGGGTTGTGAAAATAAGAATTTTAGCCATGCTTACCCGCCCCTTGAAAGAGTGCAATTTTTATATTTTATTCTTTAGATGTCGGCCGACAACAAGATCACTCCGCGCGACACCACGATGACGTTCACCTGCTTCGTGCTGTTCGACATGTGGAACGCGCTGTCGTGCCGCAGCAGTCGGAAGATGATATGGGAAATTGGATTGTTTAGGTAATTACTGCAATGATGTGATTAGTGATTTGTTAGGAATCGGATGTTCTGCCTAGCCGTCGCTGGCTCACTCCTCGGCCAGCTGGCGGTCATCTACTGGGCCCCGTTGCAGCGCATCTTCCAGACAGAGACGCTCTCCATCTACGGTAATCTACAATCGATTGATAATTATCTTTTTAATGGTTTCTTTTGCATTATCGGGGGCCGGGGGGTATTGAACTGTTTTTACTATTGCTAAACGTAGATACTTTACAATTTGTTATTAAAAAATTCAAAAAACAGATTTTTCGACAAAAAAAAAGATGTTTTTACCAAAATTTTGACTTTTCAGAACGTTTTTAGATTGTGTTTCTAGTTTAACTATAGTTATATGCTACTAAAACATTAATAAAAGATTCTGCATAAAAAATAGACTTTTTTAACATAGAAAAACATAGAAACCCATTTGTCGAAATTTGGTCCAAAATTCGTACGATCCTAAGCCCCCCGATACTGCGAAAGTACCCTTTTATTTTTCGACAATATTTATCATGTTTTTCAATCTATTATGATTATTACTATTCCAGACCTCGTGTTCCTGACAGCCCTCACGTCGACGGTGTTCGTCTTCAACGAGACGCGCAAGTTCTTCGAGCTGCGCAGCAACGGCCAGCTGCCCAGCAGCCATTTCGACCCGTCGAGCGTCAAGACCACCTAGCAGAGAAGCCATATTCCCGGATTGAATCTATCTATCTGTCGTCCTATCTGCCGCTCCACGTCGACAGCCGATATTTGTCATTTGTAGCCCCCCGTAGCCTATTATTTGTTCTTCTTTTTGTGAGCCCCCCGCAATCCGATGTTCTCGCGTGTACCGGTAGCCATCAGAAAACATGAAAAACTAGCCGAGCCAGGCGTTTTTCCGCACATCGTCCCGAATACCCGGGTACTGGACTGTTAGCGGGGGGTAATAATTTTTCCCAGGAATTCTGTGCCCGCGATAGTAAAATTTAAACAATTTTTAGAGCGTTTTACACGGTTGTTTGATAGAACAATCCCAAAAAAATAGAATTTTTGCATTTTTACTTTTTGGTCCAAAATTTATGGCAAATCATCAATATATATCAAAATGAATTTCTAAATCATAAAAAATTTTCGTAAAGTTCTAGCCATGAAAAATACTAAAATATTATTAAAATGCCAGGTTATTTATGGAAGACAGGTATAAGCTAAGAAAACAAGGTTAGCTCCCCCCGTTAACAGTCCAGTACGCCCGAATGCATACAGGGTGTCCCAAAAAAAAGTGGCCAAGTTTGTCCCCAATTATCTCGAGAAGGAAACATATTTCACCGTGCGTTACCATGCCAGAATGCTTAAATATGTCAGGAATAGGGAAATAACTCAACTTGATTTTTTCGATTTTTGAGTACGCAACTGTACTATTGACGCTGATTACGACCGAAAATTGTGCGTTCTGGAACGGGTGGTGGGAAAATTCTGATTTTTGGCCGAAAAATAGTTGACATTTGTAGAAAAATAATAGCAAAGTCTTAGAATTTTTGAAGGTTTAGTTCTTTTTTTAAAGGCAAAACAAATTTCCCTATTTTCCTTATTTTTTACTTTTTAATTCGTAACTCGCTTCAAATACGCTGCCCATGGCTGATCTTTTGCAGATGGTGTCTCCGAATGATAATCTTTAGCACAACACCAAATTTTACCTGATTCTATGGTATTTTAATATTGCTTGCTAAAACGTGCCCCAGAGGGATACTGTAGTTTTTGTTTTTCGCGTTTTTCTTTTTATTGTAAGCTGCGATTTTGCTCAAAATTTTATCATCGGTAAACAATGGTAAGGGGCAGCCATGGGCAAAATATCACGAAGTTCTAGCCATACACCTTCCCAAAATAGGTCAAAAACTTATTTTCGAATTTAGCCACGGAAATTTCTAAATATTTCGACGCATCGGACTAAAAACTACTATTATTTGTTTTCCTGAAAGATCGAAACGTTTCTATGGTGAAAAGAACGAGAAAACGGCGATTTTCTGTTTTCTACAGTAACCCGCCCGGAGCGCGTTTTAGCATGCCAAGAAAAAAATTCCATAAAATGACGGTTTTTCGATTCTAGACTGTTCTCTGGGTGATTGTAAGAGCACCTACAAAAAATTTACTTGATTCCTGTGGCAAATGACAAAGTTATGAAGGAAAGAGGAAAACCCGCCCTCGTGGCCCGATGTTGGACCCGAGGCCCCGGGCTGAAAATCGAATTTTTGAAAATGAAAAAGGCACCGGGGTTTGGTGGATACAATTAAAGGACGCATCGAACTGTGCATGAGAACAAAATTCTGGAATGATCTGGCTGAAGTTAATGGTTCATTTTGATTTAAAACCCGAAAATAACGTTTTTTGAAAAGCCGACTTTGGGGTGCTCTTCTAAATTCGTTTGGCATGAAAAGGATTTGTATTTGCATGCGTTTTAGTTGACTATCCAAGCTTGATCTATGCCAGAAAAGTCGGGCCTACTAAACCCTCGAAAATTTTTTTACGTCGCCTCAAAGTCGGGTATATTTTGACTCTTCATGATTTTCTTTTGAAAGATCGGATGGCCCAATAAATTTGTATATATAATCTTAGAATGCGCCCATTAAGTAGTATTAAAAAAAAGTATGACAATAATTCTAGCCGCGCAATTGAATTTTATAGATTGGCACGAAGGTCTGCGAAATAGCACGAACCAACCGTTTTGGAGGCGCTAAAAGGCAACCTTCCCAAGGGGTACGGTAGCTAGAAATTGTTTTCATGATAGATGGACCCCAGTCCTACACAACCAAGCAAAGCAAACACCGAAATTTTAGCTGCAATTTTAGAAATATTTTTCCAAAGTTCAGTTTCGTGACTTCAAAAGAATCCATGACCAGGGGGTCGTCGAAAAACTCAAAAATTCGCGGTTCTGAAAATGTTTTTTGATATTTTTGTGGGATTGTATCGAGCCTATAGACATGCTAAAACAACTTATTTTGAGGTTCCTACCATAGGTTTTTGTAATATTAGAAATTTACGAAATTTCTCCATATTAAATTTGAGCACGCTATAACTTGCCAACCAGACCTTCGAAAATTCCAAAATTCCGGCTGTGCGTAGGGGCAGTCCTTAGGTACCTACATTGTAAAAATTGGAAGTGTTCGACCACTAGCAATCCAAAAAAATGCAAACGAAGTTTTGCCGGAACGCACAGTTTTCGGGTGTCATTTGTATTGATACGTCGCCAAAAATCGAAAAAAATCAAGTTGAGTTATTTCCCTATTCCTGACATATTTAAGCATTCTGGCATGGTAACGCACGGTGAAATATGTTTCCTTCTCGAGATAATTGGGGACAAACTTGGCCACTTTTTTTTGGGACACCCTGTAATACTAGCTCTCCGTTTGTACAGTTATCGATAGGCGCCCCCGTAAGGTATCTCTTATCTCGCTCCTCTCTTTTTCTCTGCCGCCCTCCTCTCTTCTTGCAACTGTGATCTATCACTTTCCAAATGTCTATTTTATCTTATCTCATCTCCCCTTCGACGTCGTGCTCTTACGCAATGTTTTTCCAAAACGAATCTGATTGTGAGGAATTAAATAAAGTATGAAAAGTACCTGGGCGAGACATGGGGACAGCAAAAATTAGCGGATAGCAACATATGACAGACCTCAAAACTTGCGCATTTTACATGGTTTTGTAGTTTATAGTTCGGGTGCTCTCTGGGTGCTCCCTGATCACCACCGACTCGCCACCCGTCTGGCCCACTGTCAGGAGATACCTTCCCAGGAAAACGCGCGAGATTGGGGATGGTGTTTTCGCCGCCCCCCCCCCCATCAGACCCTCGGGGTTTGAACCTCTGATTCTCAGAGTCGCGTCACCAATTCTCTTCGGAGGAACGGGGCCACGATTTTCAAAATAAAGTTTTGGGTTAATCCTGAACTTTAACTTTTTGAAACTATCAATTTCTACTTTCTAACTTTTTTCTGAATTTTAAATTTAGAAGAGAAGTTTAGAATTTAATAAATTCTCATTTTTGGATAATACAGTCTAGTGAAGGCTATCAATAATAGAAGAGGTATCTTTAATACTTACTATTAATACTATAGAATACTACTATTCAAAAAGCATCTCAAAATAATGGAATAGTAAGTCCACCAACCTCCCCAACCACCATCCCTGCGTTTTTTTCCGAGGTATAGTTTCAGAGTAGTCCAGACGGTTGGCTAGTCGGAGATGATCAAAGAACACTCAACGACTACTAGCCGCAACAAGGTAAAGTTTAAATTAAAAAACTTGGAACAATTTCCTCGGCTCGGAGCCGCACATCAAAATTTGCAAAATCAGCCTTTTTCGGCGAGAAGTTCGCCAAGGCTGTGTCGGAGGGCGCCGCATTAATGGCTTCCCCTCACTTTTGGCATAGTAAAATACTAGCCAAGTCAGCTTCTCCTGAAAAGCCGAAAACCAAGGTCTTCGAGCAGTTCAGGAGAGAGGCTGATCTTTGCAGGAAAAGACGAAGCTTTTCGAGCTGTTCAGCGGGGAGAAGCCGCAGCTTTCCCCACACTGATAAAAGTTGGCTGTACGGAGCCACCGCGTCAGCACGAACGGCCAAAAACCGAACGATTGACAAATGAGAGCAAATCGGCACAGCCTATACGTCCTGGGGGTGGGCCAGGTGGGTGGCGAGTGGGGAAAAGTAAAAAAGCGCGGCGGCAGCCCGGTTCGGTTACCCAATTTTGAGGTCATGTTTGTGGGCTTATTTTGACGTTATCTCTTTGAATTTCAGCCGTTGTTCCGGCTTCCTCTTCGGCTTCATTTTCACTTCCGCTTCTTAGAAGCTAATCAATTTTACAGGATTCAACACTGCGGCAAGTTAGCTTCAAAAATTTCAAAAGAAAAGAAGCACCCCATTTAAGAACTATGAATAAAAGAAAGTTTGACATATTCAATTTGCATAAATACCGCTGCACTTTCGAAACGATTAAAACCAGAATCACGAAAGAGCGAATTGCGAAAGGCCGCCTCGCCAAGCCGGGAGACAATCAACACGTAATTCTATTTTTCTGTGCCAGTTTTTGATTTCAGTACAAGGACCGGGTCGACACGGTCGCCGCCGATGTGATCAACATCACCGCATCTTTCGAATCGGCCATGAGTGAGGTGAAAGAAGCCGGAAAATTGGTAACATTCTGTCTCAAACTAAGTTAGTCCGAGGAGGTTAGCTCAGCAATAATTACACCATAGATATAAAAAATGCAAAATTACAGCTTGATGACGGAAGGCAGCTCATCCGGAAGCTTGAGACCGAGAAGGATGATATCCAGAAGAAGGTCTGGTAACAAAATTGTTCATCGTTAAAGTTGGCTGTCCAGGTCGATGAAGCTTCGACAACGCTGCGCCATCGCTACGGCCATGTCGACTTTGACGTTGCAGACGAAAATCCGTTCCCCAAGCCCACGCCCTGTCCAAAACATGTAAGATTACCGGATTTTTACTCAACGTTGCGTATTAGGAGCTCTTGGACAAGCTGAAAAAGTCGAAGGCCGGCGCGGCCAAGGATGGAAAACAGAAGGTTGGGATAATGCTGCACAGTGCGCTTTATAACGGGACATGAATGAAGTTATTTCTGAGGTTTAGAAAACGGCCAACGCCTCATCGGCCTCTTCTGCGGCCTCCTCGTCCACTGCTTCCACCTCGGCTGCCTCGCCGAAAACCGCCCTCGAGAAGCCGCCCACCCCGCCGGTACTTTGCTTTAACCTAAACATCCCGATCTAGAAAACCAAGGCTCAAAGGACCGCCGAGGCTGCGGAGCGCCGCCGTCTTCAGGAATAAACGGACACAAATCCATATTACGGCTATTATTATGAGAAATAAAACGATTTTATATATGATCGAATTGGCATGAATACCGCTACACATTCAGAACTATTAAAATCAGAATGCAAAAGATAGAATTCTTGGGATGATATGCGGGTGGGAAGCTGTGGCGCAACGGGAACTAGGAGAGTTTTTCGCAAACAGCACGCAAAAAAAAAGAAAAAATATTGCGAGTACGATCCTCCTCCATGGCTTAGAGCTAATCTTGGAATTACAGGGACAGCCGATCCAGAAACACCCCGGCGGTCGGAACACCATCTACACGACGGTAGTTACTAGAATTCGCGCAGAAGGAGAGATTCAGGTTGGTTTCTGCCACAAATGTCGGAGCAACGCCGACCTCACCGAGGCATACGGCCCGGCCACCTGCGAACGCTGTATTGGCAAATACACGTTTGTTTTTACAATTACGCGCATCAACCGAAACGTGTTTGTTCAACGGACGCAAATCTAAAGTTTCTTTGCAGCCAGCTGCTGCGGCGCGGCAAGGGCATGCAGCAGTGCGAAGGACGCTGTGGGCCTCAGCGTAAGTCTTTCTATCAACTAACACAATCGAACTACAATTACACATCAGTCAATTCCTTTTTTAGGCAAGTGCTCCTTCTGCGCGCTCCTGGCCTGGGCGGAGGACGGCTACCACGCGAAGCGCTAATTGTGTTACAATAAAATTCTATTACACTGTTGGCCCGGCACTCAAACAATTTATTAGCAATACATCATCACACAAAAAGCAACAATAAACCAGAATTCCGCCCAATGGCAGAAAAAATAGACTGCAGTCGCATGGAACGTCTCTTCCCAGTACCAATTCAGTCAAATAAAATTTTATTCGCGTTACAAAATGTAATCACAGCACACGTAAAAGTTGGGGAAGGTGTTGTTTGCGGTGAGTAGTAACTGGATGATGATGCATTAAGTGCCGATGTCGTCGTTTTCGCCTGATTGTTTGCAATTCTTCAAATCAAGTGGCGGGGAAGAGTTGGAGGAGAAGAAGAAGAAGCATTGAGAAATGCCGGCCATAGCCGCTGTTTAACATGTTTAATTGATTCTGCAGAAGGGTTGAATGGTTGGAGTAGATTGAGCATGGGGTGCAGGGGGGAAGAGTAAAAAGACAAGCAAAGTTTGAAAAGGACACGCTGTAGGGGGGGAAAGTGCAGAAAAGGGAGGGGGAGACAATTTGTGGTATTACCCGACATGGCAGAACAACGGACATACGAAGGACAACGCGAGGCATTAGAGAGGGCGAAGGGAGGAAGTGGCGCTTCAGAATTTGAAAGTGACGGTCATCTACAAGGAATTGCAGCAGCCGTTCAATCCGCCGCCGCGTCCGCCGCCATCCACGGGGTTCACCGTCACCGGGGCGGGGTCACGCTCTTCTGGCGCCTGAAAAGTTTAAATTAATATCGGCCTGGGTGTAAAGCAAAAGCCAGAAAAATATCGGATTCCCACGTGCTAGTGTAAATGGGCGAACCGGACTTTCGCTACAAGACGCGCGAAAAATACGCCTTTCAAACTCGACACCGTCATGCGGAAAAATTATTTCCCTCCGTCTCCGTGAAATGGGAAGAAGCCGAAACTTTATCACATAAAAGAATGACCCACCCGGTCCAAAATAGCTTCGGCCAGCTCGTAGAAAGCGGTGTCGATGTTGATGTTGGCCTTGGCGGACGTCTCCAAGAAGCGCACGCCGTGTCGAGCGGCAAGCTAGAATAGGCGTTTACAGAATTGAAAAAAGATTTTACCTCTTCGCCGCTCTCCTTGCTGACTTGACGGCGGTCGCCCATGTCGCACTTGTTGCCGATCACCATTCGTACGACGTCCTCGGACGCATGCTGAAAATTGTTCGATAAATACCGCAGAAACAAGCGACTTGGAAAGCTGGGGACTAACCCAGATAAATCGACTTCTGAGGAGAATATTCAGTAAAGAAAACCCACTTCATCAATGTTCCTCAGCCAGCGGGTGATGTTCTCAAAGCTGCGTGCATTCGTGATGTCGTAGACGATCATGATGCCCATGGCGCCCCTGAAAACAGAAAAGATAAAACAAAAAAGGACGACAAACCTGTAGTATGATGTGGTGATCGTGTGGAAGCGCTCCTGGCCGGCCGTATCCCTAAACACAGCTTGAAACCAAGAGCAGGAAAGCTATACCAAATTTGAAGCTTAATCTTCTTCCCGCGTAGCTCAATCGTCTTGATCTTGAAGTCGATGCCGATTGTTGAGATGAAGGTCGTGTTGAATGCGTCATCGGAGAAGCTGTAAAGAAGAAGTTGAGAAAAGCTGGTGCTAGATAGGAAAAGAAATTTTACCTAGAAAAAATAGCGCCGAAAAGAAAGTCGTAGAGCTGACAAGAAATGCAAAACAAAAGTAAACTATCGCGAAATGGTTTTGCTGATCGGATCTTGCTAATTATTTTCGCACTGAAAGCTTCAGACTGAGTCGGAGCCTAGGTTGAGCCGCAAAACCGTACGAATAAAACAAACCGGTAGAGGATGCACGTCTTGCCGACCCCGGAGTCACCGATTAGCAGCAGCTTGAAGAGTAGATCGTATTGCCTCCGGGAACCCATCTCGCGGATGTACTATCTGAAAAAGTCTATCTTTAGCAAAGCATCAGCCGGGCACAACGGAATTTATGGAAAACGGTAACGAACAACAGAATCAACAACAATACACGCAGAGACAAGAGAAAATTATGAAATTTAAAACGGCAGATAAGTTGCAATAAATGCGCGATAACGATAATATTAGTGTAAACAACTGGGCAACGAAATAGCCCCGAGAATCTAACGAAAAACAAGCAACAACCTTGTCAAAAATGATAACAACAAGAAGGCTAAAAAATCAAGCGGCTTGATGGGGCGTGTCGCGTCGCGAGTAGTCGTACTTCAGCCCGCGTTCCTTCTGCGCTCGCTTCGCGTTTTTCCTAGAAAAACATTTATACAACACGGTGGAATGCCCTACTTCATGCTGGTGACGATATTCCACACTTTCTGCTGATACTTGCCCCATTTCGCCTTGATCTTTTCCTCGTCCTGGGTGCGCCGGAAATTGGATACCACAGAACGGACGGCCGGCTCATCTCCTGAATTCAGAAATTAGAACATGAAATCATGGAGAGGCGGTTATAACAGCGTTCCTATTTCGAAACATCGATTCTTGCGTATAGGGCCTTTGAACGACGTTTTTCCGGTGGCCCCATGATGGCCTAGTAAGCAGAAAGTGGTCATAATGCTTTTAGGCGAGTCAACCATGTTTGAAACAGAAAAATGTTTTAAAAATTGGAATTTTAGTCAACTGAGCTGGAAAGAATCGATTGTTCGAACAAGTACAAACGTATCCGCTATTTCGAGAACACGGCCGAAAACGTTAGCTGCCCGGCGCTCTAACAATAAAGGTTTCCAGCATAAATTACCTGTGAAAAAGAATGGAATCCGATTCAACTCGACTTTCTTGCTGAGGTCGGCTTGGGAAACGTCTTCTCCGATCTCGTCCTCGTCCTTCTTCACGGGGCCTCTCCCTAGCTTCGGCTTCACATCACCGTCAGCACCTTCTACGCCCGGCTTCTCCTCTTGCCGGGCACGTTTTGCCGGTATCGTCTCGTCTTCACTCGATGAAGCTGCTTCCTCCTCCTCTACCGGATCCCTAAACAGAACAATGCACGAATTCGCAAAAGATTTCCAGTAGCATTTCATTTCGACCTTTCACAAGCGCAAAAAAACAACTTTGAAAATCACCTTTTAACTGGCGCAGAACCAGTGAAAAACGACGAGATGTCGGGGATCGCGTTCTGCGCATCTCGCAAATGTTTGAGGAAATCGTCGTCCATATGGTAGAAGCGCTGCTTGTTTTCTTTCGTCGGCTCCGGGGCGGCTTTCCGCTTCTTTTCCTTCTTCCTGACCACTTTCGGCTCGTCGTCGTCACCAGCTTCCGGTTCTAGAAATGGGAAGGTTAATCGAGAACGAATTCTATTTTTCGCTTACCGACTTCGTCGCCGGCTTCTAGTCGTCGGGCCCTCTCAAACTCTTGCATCCACCTCACATGTTCCTCATTTTCAGGGTCGAAGCGGTTGAACGGCCGCACCATTGACGCCGACGATTTTGCTTCGGCTTTTGGCTTGATGTCGGTTTTTAGCTGTTTGCCGAGGACCTAAAAAACGATCTGTAAATTATACCTGGCGATCCAAGCGTAGATTCCGCCTTTTAGCACGAACCGCATTAGGTCCTACGAGTTTATTTCACTATTTTAGCTAAAATGATCAATTTATCTTTCTTTTTGTTTAAACTTCCGTTTTCCGCTAATAAGACTAACATGGTTCGTTTTCGAGAAACAAAAGAAGCGCTGACTATCAACAAATTATTATTGGCAAAACAACTTTACCTTTTCCAAAATCCGTTTGTGTTGGTTCTTCTCGGCCTGAATTTCCACGTGCTCCTCGTCTCCAGATGCCCCGTCTTCGTGGTCACTCGCGAATTTCTCGTCCAGCCGGAAGCGGGCGTCGTTTCCAAAGCTAAAAAAGCACATAAAGTTTCACGTGATTCAGCCTCACCTAGCTTCCAGCTGCATCAATTTCTCTCCTTTCTCGCCGGTGTGCCGATTCTTGATCACGATTTGTGGGAGCTGAAAGCTTCATTAGTTAAAGTTCGAAAGTCCAAAAACCTCTGGTTTTTCGCCCTCATCATCGTCCGAATCGAATAATTGCAGTGCGTTTTTCTTCTTCTCGGGCTTTTCGGGCTTCGGGTCGGTGTTGTCATCCGCGTCCGAATCCGAGTCAAATACCACACGCCTAAATGAAAAACGATATTGATAAATGTGGGAATCCTACTTAGAGGCCTGGGCATCAATTTGCTTGAGGGATTGGGCGACGATTGAGGCTCGCTGCTGCTCCATCCGTCTCTTCGCGGCCAGGGCCTCGACGCGGGCGGCCTCGGAACGGGCTCGTTTGTCCATTTTACCTGAAACATAGCAATCAGTTGATCCGCGAGAACAGCTAGAGAACAACGAAAAAAGGGCGATAAAAAGAGACAAAAGAAACTAAAAGAATAGCCACGAGAGCTGACGTTTTTTCTAGTTTTGCTTATAAAAAGCCAAAAAGTAAACCTGTACTAAGAGTATAAGGGTCGATAGAGCGTCCGAAACAGTTGAAACTGTCAGACCTGCTTATGACACTCAAGCGCTCTCCGGAAATCACAGCTGATAAGATTAAAAGCCCTCCAAAAACGAAGGCGCTACCTCTGCAGATGAATCCCAAAGTATAATTTCCAGATCAACGTCTAGCCTATTGATTCCGCCGATTTTCGAGGAGGTTACGAATGTTGGGTGAAAATGCTGGAGTAAAACGGCGTCGACGTTGAATCAATAGGCCGTCTGGGCGTTGAGTCATGCGCTGTTTTTCCGATCGCGCAAACAATGGGACAGATGCCAGCCTCCTCCCCTCCCACGGGCTGCCTAGAATAGTTTAGAATACCTAGACGTCGTTTTCGAACGGAAAGAAGCCCTATTTGGGTAAGTCGACTTTACTAAAAAGCGCATAAGGGTCCGGAATTTCCCTTGGGTAATGGAAATAATGGAACAGGTGGAAGAGAAAGGTGTTTTTACGCCAATTTCAAGGTCGACAAATACGTGGAATGTGAGTGATGGGCAGCGAGCGAGTGGCGACAGATTGCAATTATCCAATACAAGGGTGCGGTTTCCCGAAAATCAAAGTCTATTCGGGGGGAAATCAGGGCAAAAGAATGGATGGCCAGCTGGAAGGGCCATTTCGCAACAAGGTCCAGCGGTTCAAAGATGGCCAATCGAAGTCGTGGGGCACGAAGAGGGGAATCCGGAAAGAAGAAGCAGCCGTTGGCGTAGAAGCAAAGCGAAAAGCAGCGCAAGCAGACCCCGTTCCGTTTTTGTAAAAGAAAATAGATCTTTCGATAAGGATCCAGACAATTCAAACGAGGACGATGATTCATGGTGCTTACGAAATTCGCATAGACGATGATTTCACGGTCAAAAGATAGACAATAAAAAGGCGGCGCTCCAGAAATCTCATAAAAAAATTATAAACAAAGAGCCTCGGCATTCTTTTTTAGGCCTAATTTTGAACTCTTAACTTTTAAAAATCTATCCAAACTATAACGAGGACGGGCAGGAACAAAAATAAAATGACCAAACCAACTAAAAATAAATAACTAAAACTTCGTGATTCAGCTAGAACATATCCGGAAACCCTTTTTTTAGCAAACCCCAGCGAACCGGGGGGTTGAGTCCAAGTGCAAGAGGCAAAACGATCGATGTCTGCCCCCCGCCCAACACACGAGCCCTCTTCTCTCCCATTTCCCGCCGGCCGGACCGACACTCGCCACAAATTATTCCCCTCATATCGAATTCGAGGATGTGGGTGATGAACGGCTAATCTAAGCATTTTCCCTATGGTCTCTTTCGGGATCACGTCTATTCGGGATGGTGTCCGTGTACCTAAAAATTGGGGACGACACGCTAATAAAAAGGTTACGCGCGGTGAAAAATTTTACGCGGGAAACAATGGGCATCATCAAGCTTTGATAGAGCATCAAGAATATACTAAGATTTTTGGTACTGGACAGTTAGCGAGGGGGGGTTTAGCGGGGTGGGGAAATCAAATTCTTCCCAGTAATCCTCAACGGCCCTCAACGGTCCTAGTTTAAACCATTTTTATAGGATTTTACATAATTTATAAAACTATATGCCAAGATACTATTTTCAAACTTAAAAAATATACTAAGATATAATTTTAGTTCAAAATAATGTAATATAAAATGTTAACGGCAAAAACAAAAGTTTTAGTTAACTTCAAACAAAGTTTCGAGGGCAAGTTGCAAACACCGCCTGGGCCCATTTTTGATCCGCGTGTCGTGATCGAATTTTTGAAACCGTAAAAACCACTGAGTGCGTGAGCGTGAGAACCACTGAAAACCACCCCTTCAAACCGCAGATATTGCATATGTTTAACAAAAAAGCAAACAAAATTGACCAAAAAGAAGACCCCATCAGTCCGGCACTCCCTTTTTATACAGAAAACGGTAAGAGGGCTAAACAACGAATAACAAAGGACGGGAACAAATAACGGGCGCGGGAGGACCAGAATGACCTTATGCGGCCTCGTGGTTCATATTGATGCATGGCATCGGATAGAGCATCGAGAAGTGATTTAATTTCAATTGAGACTAATTTTTAAATCAGTAAAATGGCCTTTTTGGGCGGTCGCCAGGTCGCCAGTTAAAAATCAGAATCAGATTTAATACAATCGAAGGGAGCTAGGTATCGACATTGAGTTGTTGTAGCAGCGGAGACAACGTGCTGTCATCAGACCCGCGTCGTGTCAGACTAAGTGGTTCGCTGATGAACTGGGCAGCCAACGCGTCGATGCGCACCTGCAAGGGACATTCGTGGATTTCGTTTTCAATTCATGCAAGTGACCCATGTGGCTTTCTAGCAGGTTAGCAAAAGATTATGATGTTCATGAGGATTCGGGGTGGCGTGACCGACTTTTCCCCCATGGGTCCAGGGGTGGTACCACGGATTTAACGACGATGGTTAAATTAAAGCCACCCATAGCCAAGGCACAGCCGATTCGCAAGTCATCAACATACTGCAACCATCATCAACATACCGCCTCTTCGGCTTCTGCACCTGTTCCGTAGTTCTGGGCTATCAGCAGCCAGCTCCGTGACACCGGCCGCTCCTAAAAAATCTTAAAGGGATACCGACGACATAGGTCGATCACCCCTGATCGACTTTTTGGCACGTAGCCGACAGGACAGAGAACGCGCGCAAAAGCGAGACGCAGAGACATTTTCTTTGCCTCGCGTCACCAATTACTTATGCCGTCGTTAACGGACCGTACGTAACGTACGTCAAGGGAGTAAATAAAGCGCTCGACATCCCATCCCAGGATCAAAACTGTCGGCAAGATCTCCATCGACGGGTAGTTGAGTGTCTACAAAGATCTTTTTCACAAATACAAACGAAATGGTCCCCAATATTTAACAAAAACCATTACATCCCATAGTTTCGACGACGCCTCATGTACCGTCAGCGTGAAAAACATCCAGTTTCCCGGGATCCGCCGCACCACCATCGGCCGCACATCGGCGAATAGGTCCCGCTGCAACCAGTCCGTGTAGCAAACGAAACTTTGTACCAAACCGACCGTGATTCGGCAGACATCGCATTGTGGGAATGATTCAAAGTACGTGAAGGCATAGAGGCGGCGAGCGTCATGGCATGCCGGCTACAATTTTCATTTACAGGGTGAGCAGGGGAAAAGGGCAGGGGTTGCCCAGAAATATATCGCTGACGGAAACGAATCCGACCGAGTATGCGCGTATGAAAGGGGAAGATTCACAAAACCTACGATGTTGTCGATGAGCTGGGCAATGGCCTCGCATGTGTACCGCCATTCCCTGCGGAACCAGTGCGGCCATATCAGCACCTCGACGAATGGGCGATCATCAATCTACAGCTCCTCTTCAGTGATCAGATTGGATTTTTGGTATAGAACAGAATTTTAATGGCTTTTACAATTCGCTGTCATTGTACCGAATTCCATAATGCGCAGTTTGATTTTGCTACCATGCTGTAATCTAAGAATGCCGGGCCAGGCAGAAAAAGATATAAAACTGCTTTCGAAGAAAAAACTTTGGAAAAACGTCAACGCTTCTATTTTATACCATAATTTTGTTTTGGATATGCCTTCGCTGTAAAGAAATAGTGTCGGGGGAGTTCGCCGCCACGTCCCCTGCGACCGGCAATGAAAGGAATGAGGACAGCATGGTCGAACACCATTCCCAGATGGTGCTTCGGCCGCACGCCGTCCTCATCCCTTGAAGAAGCTACGTTACGTACCACTCCGTAAGTCAACAAAATGCATTCAGAGAAATCAGGAAGCCCTATATTTGAAGGATAAGGCGGTTCTTAAAAACAAGGATTCCGCTAAAGCCAATTCACCAGTGCATGGATGTTGCTAAAGTTGGGCTGGCACAGGCAGGTCATGTCGACCCCGCGTCGTCCACGAGGAGCCCCGCAAGCGCAATTCATTGCAGAAATGAACACTCGCACCTGAAGTTTATATCGTTATAGAATTATCGCTATCTGCGGTTCGGTATACAGGGTGTCACAACAAGCACCCCTCTGGCATTTGGTCGCCTCATATCTGATCCGTACCAAAATTGGGGCAGATGTGTATCCTATAGGAATACCATACCTTGTATGGTAGGCCTACCATACAAGGTATCGCAAAAAAATTCTCCCCCCCTCCAGGCCTGGACGGAAGCGCCTATACCGCGGGAAACTATCAGAATCGAAAATCAAAATCGCGAAAATCGGATCCTCGAAAAGTCAGAATCTCGACAGTATGTACTCTTTTCCCATAAAAAAGTCAGGAAGCCGCCGGTCAACACCTCTCTGCCTCAAAGTGTATTTTGTTCTGGATTTTCGAAATTCTAATCATCAACTATAATAAAGAGGTTGTGGTGTCTGTCCGTCCGGTCTCGAATTCAACTCGAAGCGGAAAGGAGCTAGAGCTTACGTATCACCGGATTCTGATGGAGCGTGGTCAGAAACCCACTGAAAAAAATATGAAAAAGTTTTCGCTTAAATTATTAATGTTAACTTGGAATTTTTCCTTAGTAACAGAAGTGGGGGACGCATGTTTACACGATTTTGGACATAGTGAGCCAGGCCGCACGCGTTTCGTGGCTGAAAATTTCACCGGAGCCATTTCATTTCTTTTTTTTTTCTCCCACGTAGCCGGTCGGTCGTTATTTTCGTTTTTAAAAGGATTCCGGCCAGGGGAGGTATCTAAATCCACTGGAAAGGTATGTGAGTAGTTTAGTAAGTTTTCGCAGGGGGTTGGCTATAGGAGGTATCTGAAGCGATTGGCTTGGGTTTTCGAGATTCTGATTTTCGAGATCTTGATTTTCGAGATTCTGATTTTCAAGATTCTGATAGCAAATCCTATACCGCTCGTACCCACAATTTGTGTATTTTTATGAAAAGCCTTCGCCATGCGTCGGGCGTGCGAACGGGCACGGTAGTTGAGAAAAACATCAATAGTCGTCTTTTTCCTTGCCAGCCAGGTTGGCTCCTTGAAAAGTGCGGCGGCAGGACCCCTGCAAATAATCACAGATAAGAGAATTGCTTTTACACCAAAAAGCCCCCTACCTAGCGGTCCACCGACGTGTTCGATTTTTACGATTTAGTCTGTCGAAAGCTAGTTTTTCGCAAATTTTGGACCTGATAGAACATTCATGGGCTCTATACCGGTAGCGGGGATTTTTTCCCGATTCGGGGATTTTCCCGGAATCAGGGATTGTTCCTGGAATCGGGGATTTTTTCGGAATCTTGGATTTTTCGCGGAATAAGGGATGTATAGGTGCTTCCGGGTTATCGGGGGGCGGTTCTTTCAGCGGGGGGCATCTTCTTTTTGTTTAGTTCCACTTACTTATAGGGATATGTCCAAATCAAGTGCACATCGGGCTTCAGGAGCACAATTATCCCCTTATCCATCCCGTGGCGACTCCGACCAATCCATCGTAGAGCGAGCTAAAACCAGTGTAGATTGAAATAAGCTGGATTATTGAGTCGTACACCGCGTACCAATCAGCTTTTGCGACAAACCTGTCCACCGATGAATTCGCAACGGAACTCCGACCACCGAGAGTTCATCACAATTGACAGCGGCGAACGACGGTGATACGTCTAGAAAAATGCGCCGGTTGTCCGGTTACGGGCAGAGGGGGCCAATTTTTCGCGGGAAAGCTAATTGTTACTTTCTGCCCTTTAATCATACAAACAGGGTTTCCCAATAAAAAAAATACCCCCTTTGCGCGGATTCCGAAAAAAACGTAACCTAGAATCACGAAAATTCAATCGGAACTTTGCGGTTCTTCTAAATACTTCCCTTCTTGCCGCCCTGATGCTCGTCTAATATACGGTTTTCGATACTGCTTCGTCCCGCTGCGCCAACACTCAGGACAGAACATCGACAATTGTTAGCAAGTATGGCGAAATCAGCGAATGGTACTACCGAAATTCATCAAGATCGGGAAACCGCCAAAATCCCGACAGCCAGAAACCGCCGCTTTTAAACCAATTTATGGGTAAAATGGCCGAAAATATCAAGTTTTGGCTGTTGGGATTATGGCTGACGGGATTTTGAATGTCGGGATTATGACTGGAATTCATCAAGATTCCGTCACCCCGCTAGTTATGGCCCGGTTCAGATCACTTCCGCGCTAAAACGTTTTGATCCTTGAGATGTAGGCCATGGTCGAATGCAGGATCAAATTCTAATCGGGAATCATCTGAAAAAATCAATCCCCATGATTTATGATTACGTTTTTCGGAATCAGCGCAAAAAACTACCCCAGAACCATTTTTCAAAGGCGACTTTGGGTTCAAAGACGTTACAGTATGCGCCAAATTTTATATGGGTTTCTGAATAAGGAAATTTAGAGATTATGAAATCCAAGATTATAAAATTTAGAAATTATGAACGCCCCCCCCCGTTAAGAAACTATTACCCACAAACCATAAGGCACGTTCTGGCGGCAGTGAACTCTACAATTTACCTTGTGCACATATCGCAGTTTGACCTTGTCGTAGATATTGAGATGTGTGATTGTTGATTCCTGTTGTTGCTTCGAAAGATCACCAAAACGGAAACGAGGAAGCGACGTTTTGATCGGCATCTCAAAGCGGTGGGATATTTCTGGAGAAAGCCAGCGATGAACAATGCCCGATTTGTGAGCGGAATAGATAGTCAATTCGCACCGATCAGGCGGGAAGTTTGAAGAGGCGCCTAATGTGCGGGTAGGTCACAGCCGCTCCCGCGCCTCACGTCCTTCCCAAAAAACACTTCTGGGTGTGGAAAGACGTACGACTATATGTAGTAGTAAAGATGTGAATAATCCGGCAAAGATCAAAGTATTAAATACCGAAAATTTTTGTGCAAAACTCTGCGTTTTCTTTTTGGTTTTTTTTGCTACAAATGCGCATAATGGATCGCCATAAAGCTAAGCAACTCGAGAAAGCAAGCTAGCACCTTCTTTACGGGCGAAATAGATCAATAAAGCTCGTAAGCTTCTTCCATGGCCCGTTCGCTGACTTCAGAAAGCTTTCAGTGAAATCGTCGAGTCCATTTAAAACCCCCCAAGTTGACTTATTATTGGGAAAGTTCATGACAGAGGCCCTACGAAAATGCAGTTGAGGCGGCTGAGTCAGCATTTAGCTCGATTTGAGCTCACCCGATAACTTGCACCTCATTTTTCAAAACTTCAAACGATCAGAAATCTCGATTGCCACACTCGATTTTGGAGAAAACACCATGAAAAGATAGAGCAAAATCTCTTCTCGATCAAGTATTTATAGCCAGACAAAAGAAATGGCGTCAATCCCTGTTTCACTGAATTCCCGAAAATTCGGCTGGCGACTTCACGCTGGCTGGGGAACGGGCGAGAAGAGTCACCTGGAAAAGGAAATAAGAAAATGCATTAGCGAAAAGCTCAGAATTTTGAAAACGAATTACCAAGGTTCTTTCGCATTATCGGGGACGGCCTTTTGTATTCGGCTAGAAATGCCTAGTAACTTCATAGGAAATGTCTTATTAGAATTTCTTAGTAAAATATTACCATACTTTTACTAGAAATGCTATACCAAGACTTTGCAAATTTTAAATCGGATTTCCGTCAAAAATAGGCCGTTTTGGTCTTGTAACAAAAATTTTTAATTTTGTACGCTTATGAATAGTAAAAAGCTGTTTAGAACGCTTCCGCTATCCATTATTGCCAGCTTGGAGCTTACGAAAAAAGTTATGTCCGCCCCCCGATAATGCGAAAGAACCAGTTTTAGAGATTGCTATAAAGCCAAACCTGCATTCCATGTAGAAGGCGCCGCCAGGGAGTGGCTTTTCGCGAGTCTGGCGCTGAATTCAATAGCCTAAAAAACTTGATTAGATCAAACAGTTTCATTTACCTCTTCTGACAGCACTCCCTTCGTCCGCGCTACTGCCAGCTTCTCCAGAAAGCGCTTTCCCTAGAAAGATAACGATCATGTCAAACAAGAAGCTTAGCTTTACCTGGAATACGCTTTCGTGGAGGTTGTCTTGCGCCCTTCTCACCTGATCCTCGACGGAGAAGATGATCTAGAGCCAATTTTACTAAATTTTAATAAAGTTACCTGATTCCGTTCGTCCACCAGCCGCTCCAATTGCTCGATGAGAGCCGTTTGCTCCTGTTGTCTTTCAACTAAATTACGTTTGAAGGCAGATCAAAACGAGGTTTACCAGTCTCGAGCATCGTCGCCAATTCTTTCATCGTTTCCTCGCACTCATCGTTGAACGTCTTGGGCAGCTTGACTTGCGCAGCTCCAGAGTACACCTAAAGAAAATCAACATGAAACATATAAAGTGAAATACCGTGATGTCCGCTTGCGGTTTGAGAGGGCTCTTGAACGGCTTATTGAAGGGGTCGACCAAAACGTCTTTGTGGGCGAGCTCGAGGAAGTAGCGTTTGCAGATATTGGATGAAGGTTCGGAAAGAGTGCTAAAAAAAAATGAGGACTACTGGACTTTGGCTCACTTGTAATGAACAGCAGTTTTCGATCTCGTAGTCCCTGAGAAGGTCCAACAGGAACCTAGTATAGCCTAAATGAAAAGATAGGAGTGAACAGCGAAAGTTACCGGCGTACAGGGGCCCAAAAGGGGTGTTGGCAGAAAGAAGAGAGCAGCCATGGGCAACGAGGGCACAATGGTACAAGAGGACGCACTAAAGAGCGTATGGGGGGGAAGAGAAAATGTAACCTACGCGATAAATGAGCCAATAATCAGCGAAAATTCATATCCACGCGCGTCCTTGAAGTTGTACGCATTTCCGCTTTGCACCGTGTCGTCAAAGTGTTGATTGATAAAGTCGAGGAAGACGGCCCGAGATCCGCGCATCTTCTCCAACAGAGTTGAGCACCGCTCGCTGAACTTGGCCTCCTAAAAAAAGGATAAAATAGAAGGAGCTTCAACTACCAGAAGGAATCGCTGGACCATCGCCATGGAGAAGTCGGTCGGAATTGAGTCGGCCCAGAAGGTGCGCAGCCTAAAAAAAATAGTAATTTTTTTGTTTTACGGCGAGGGGTTCAGTTTTTAAACCCAAAGCTGCGAATCAAATACTAAACCTAAAATTCGGCACTGTACTGTTAGCGGGGGAACTAATTTTTGGTTTCGCGCTATTCGTAATCTATAATCCACTTCTATTAATAATCTATAGCGCATATTTCGAGTGTTTTTCATAGTTTTTGATTGCTAGAAAGTTATAAAAAATATCTAAAGATCCGAAATTTTGAAATTCGTGACAAAATTCTAAAAAAACTGTTTATATTTCGTTATTATGGATTACTAAGAACAATTGGCTCCCCCGCTAACGGCACAGTACCGGAAATTCGGCAAAATGAACGTTTGGGTAATTTTCCATACATTTTTGACTAATTTTCAAATTTCTAGACTTTTTATATATAAAAATTGCGTAAAACCCTATAAAACTAGTTTATATTTCGTTAAAGGGCCTTACTGGGCCTAAAACTGGACCCCCCATTTTCATAATTTTTTATGCGCTCTTAATATCTAAGAACCGCGCAAAATTGTAAAAAATAATTTGTATTTCGTCATAGAGCCACATGGGACTACTGGGACAAAATGGGCTCCCCCTGCAAAGAACCCAGTACCGAAACTCGGCATAATAAAAATAAAATCAAAAACTGACCCATTCTCCGATTTGCGGCTCCTCTCGATTACTTCAGCGAGCGTCGTGTCGTCGGCGGTGATGATTCGATTGCAGGAGAGCAGCCTGGAAAAAAACATTTACAAAAAAGTGATAGAATATCGTACTTTAAATCCTCAATCTTGGGCATTTTCCTTGCAATGGAAGTGACATCAATGGCCGAGTAGCAGGGATCAATGTAGAGCGAAGAGACGGCAGGGCATCGCCCCAGAATCTCCAGCGAATCGACGTTGCTCTCGTTCTCGAAGATGCCCAGCTGCAAAAAAACGCGATAAAAAGTAACAATATGACCAAAATCATAAGAGCGGTTCTTTTGCAAGATCCGGGGGAGGCGCCAACTTTTCCCAATAATGAGTGTGATGCCAGAAATGCCTAGTAACGTAATAGCAAGCGTTGTAATAGCGTTTATAGTGAAATTTACCTATATTTTATGTCGGAAAGCGATCAAAAAACTAGAAACAATTTTTAGTTGAGAATTTGGTCGAAATTGGCTACTTTTGGTCGAAAACTCGATATGTTTTGCATTTTTTAATCAAAATTTCTAAGTTTTACGTTCAGAAATACTAAAAAAACCAATTTAGAGACACTTCCTCTATCTATATTAGACAAATTGGATAGGAAGAAAAAAGTCCGCCCCTCCCCCCGATAATGCTAAAGAACCGGTAGCCCAAAAAATTTCGGAGTCATGGCGACGAAAGGCGCGGTTTTAACTTTTAAACAAAATTAAAGCGCTTGTGCCGATTCCGGTTATCTTCCTGTACCAAAAAAGTCGTAATTTTTGGCGTGTCTCCATCCCATTAAAATTAACAAGTTTAAGATACTGACCGTCGACACATCCTTCAGCCAGTCATCGGGCATCTCCTCGAAGACGGAGCGCAGCGCGTTCGAGTGTGAATTTACCTGAAAAAGAAACGTTAGAGGGTCGGAGTTTCTCGTTTAACGGGGGGCGGTAGCAGGGGAAGCTGATTTCTATTAGGTTGGTCGGAAAGTAGCTAGAACTTTTTTCACAATTTTCCATAGATATTCTCGAAGTCAATCCCAAGCCTAATAGTGGTCCAACTATTTGATGTGTAATCTCCTTTCCTTATTTACGAATGCAGCGAAACGGGATACTACGCCCTTACAAAATAGATATGATTGATTTAGCGAAATCTGAGTAAAACAGCAATATCTATGCGTTCACAGTACCGAATACGGCGCCTTTTTGTGTGCATATGTGCAACATCATTTGGCATCTACTGACACGAAGCAGCAAAAAAATCCCATGGCAAACCGCGAAAAAACACCCGATTATCAAAAGTCCTCGGGGTCAAAATTTTCTGGCCCGATGCAAAGAAAGCCAAAAACAAAAATATTAGCTGGAGGAAAATTTTTGTTTTCTTTACTGAATATAGCACTAACCTTGACGCATTCGGGAATATAAATCTTGGTTACGCGAAGCCGCACGTTTTTGCAAAAGAATGCGCTAAAGTTACATTCTAGCTACTTTTCGACCAACCTAATATTTCCCGCGTATTTTTATAGCTTTTTTAGTTGATCGTCATCGGCAAGAATGTAAAAAAATTAAGTTTTTCCAAAGTTCGAAAATTTTGCTACTGTTTTTGTCGGCCTTTTTCAATAATAAAACTGCTTGAAAGGCTATAAAAATGGGTAATATTTCGCTACAGGAACGGATCAATCGGAAAAAACCCGTTATTTTCATAAATTACCGGTTATTGCAAGTTAAAATTAATTGGGTTTTTGAAAGCTAAAGCAATTACCTTCAAATCCGCCGTCGTATAGGGCCACACGCAGTCGAACGTCTCGGCGGCGGGCACCGTCTTGGAAACGATACGCTTCTAAAAAAAAACAATTTTAGCGTAAAAAATTAAAGCCTACAGTCCACGCTGGATTTCCGGGCAACACGATGTGAATTTGGATGTTGCCGTCACCGAGGTCGTAGAAGCGAATCTCCTCTGCATCGGCTCTTCTAAAAAATTATTAGTTCGATTTTCGGGCTTATGTAAAAAATAAGCTCTTAACCAACTTAAGCTTATTAATAGTTAGGCTTAGCTGCATCGGTTCTTTCGCATTATCGGGGGGGCGATTGATTTCTAAGGCGCCAATTTTTTTTCATATAAATCGAGGAAGTGTTTCTAAGATTTTTGCTATCGCTAAAAAAGTTACAAATTTTGATGAACTTTGAAACTCCAAAAAATATCGATTTTTCGATAAAAAGTGCCGGTTTTCGACCGAAATTGAATAAAAAATTTTACATGTTATCGATTCTTCAACTTAAAATATAGCAATTTTGCCAAAAAAAACTAATAAAACACTTACTATTCTGTTCCGAGACATTTGGATTGTCAAGGAAACATTCTATACTTCGCCCCCCCCAGGGTAGGCATCTATAAAAGTCCCCCTGAGACTTTTTAAACTTAAATTTTGTTCACCATTTTAGAACTAACTTTAATTTGACAATGGTTGACGAGGAAAAACCATTAACAACTTTGGAAATGTTTTTAGTGGATTCTCATCGAAAATCCACGATTTTGATCGATCCAATAACCGATATTTTGGACTTTTCATAACGCAAAATTGCAATATTTATATTTATGAATTGTCGAAAACAGATGAGAAACACTTCATCTACCTAAAGAAAAATTAGATCCTTAGTAAAAAAGATTGTTTATAGTGGCCAGTGGGGACGGGGGGGGGGGGCCACCCCGGGTGGGCGGCGAAGTATAAAAATTTCATTACCCCCCCCCCCCCCGATAATGCGAAAGAACCAGCGTAGGTTAAGTAGCAAAACCCAGCTTAGCTTGAGCTCTATATTAGCTAGCTAATTATAACAACAATTTAGTTTTCTACTGGAAAAACGTACTAAACGTACTACGGTTTTAAAAAGTAAAACCAGAAAAAACCCGTACCTGAAATTCCTGCGGTTCTTCTTGAAGAGCTGACGCCATGCCTTGTTGAGCAGGGTGAACTTGCGTAGATCGTCGGGTTGCACGCGCTCCAGGATGGCGATCTTCAGCTCGTTCGGCAGGGATTCCATCGTTGGAGGGGTCGGTCGAAGGGGTGGCTGAAAAAAAAGAATCCTAATTTCGATGAAGAACGAGGAAAGAAAATTTAGTGAAAGCATAACATTTAGGACAGTAAAACAAGCAACGAGAAACAAAGCAAGGAAGAGAAAAGCTTTATGAAAAACAACAAAACATTTCGTTCCTTGCCATTATCGGGGGGCAGGGGCTATTTTTCCTATGTTTCTAATTTTACTAATAGAAATAGATGGTGTTTCTAAGAAAAAATAAACCTGGAAATAGAAAATCAAATGCGACGAAAGGTAAGTTTAAAAAGAGGGTGCTAATGCTGTTAGGGGGGGGCAGTCCAAAATTGGTAGTAAGGGGTTACGAGGTCCACTTAAAGGGATGCCCAACCTTTCCGGAGCTCAAAAGCAAAAACCATGCCGCGGGCGGGCGTCGAGCCCGGGACCCCCGTTTTGTAGACCTGGTGCTATCCATTAGGCCATAGTGGCCAGCCATCGGGTGGGATGGGGACGCCACAAGTGGGAAAGGATCCGAATTTTGTGCGACAATGGGCCCCCCGTTGCCGCACGAAATTCGCGCGTCGTTTGTATGAAGCTAAGCCTAGGCTTAGGCTTAGCTTATCAAGAGGCTTAGAGTTTAAAAAACGGCATTTGGATCTCGTAGTCAAAATCCAGACTGCCCCCCAAGTGCATTAGCACCAAAAAGAGTTCAAAGGGTTCTTTAGGATTTCCGGGGGGAGTATTTCCGGGTATATATTTAGTATTATTTTTTTTCCTGGTTTTCCCGGTTGACCTAGTAATCAAATATAACGTGTTTTCACATTGTTTTTAGTAAATTTGAACTACAGGGTGTCCCAAAAAAAAAGACCCCCCCAAAAATTTGAGCCAGAGGGCACCTACGGAGCTGAAAATTTGCACAGAGGTAGCGAAGGGAATTTTCTATGAACAAGGAAAGTTTCAGCCCGATCGGCCAGCGGGTTTTAAAGTTATAGCGAAAATACTTTTCATTTTTAATTTAATATGGGGATCTTTGAAATTTGCATCAAAGATATGCGTTATTCTTGCATTTACGAGCCGATTTTGCATAAATTTCGCTGAAAAGTGCCATTTTCTTGATGGAGCTTTTGCAAAACGATTGCGCATGAAGAATAAAAAAGTGTTAAAACAACTGTTTTATCGATCCAAACTACTTGTTATTGTACATTTTGGCAATTTGAGCTTCATCGGCCCGAAAACAGAGTTCGACGAGCTCGAAAACAGTGTTGAAGTCTAGATTTGGGCTTATGTTGGCGCGTACGCTGAAGTTTAAGCCAAGCTCAACCGTTCAACGATAGTTTCCGCCATGAGGTCTGGTATTCATCGTACTTGTTGATCATTTTCTCGCTACATGAGCAATCGTTTTCCAAAATCTCCATCAAGAAAATGGCACTTTTCAGCGAAATTTATGCAAAATCGGCTCGTAAATGCAAGAATAACGCATATTTTTGATGCAAATTGCAAGGATCCCCATATTAAATTAAAAATGAAAAGTAATTTCGCTATAACTTTAAAACCCGCTGGCCGATCGGGCTGAAACTTTCCTTGTTCATAGAAAATTCCCTTCGCTACCTCTGTGCAAATTTTCAGCTCCGTCGGTGCCCTCTGGCTCAAATTTTTGGGGGGGGGGTCTTTTTTTTGGGACACCCTGTACTCTGTTTCGAATGGCGCGGCTGCCAGCACACCATCGGCGCGGCTGCCGATGTCGCAACGGCAACCGTGCCGGTGGCACGCCTGCTGGCACGCCGCGCCGGCAAGCGGGCTAAAAATGGCTTTGGCACGGCTGCCGGCACACCTAACGCTTATTTTACAGCATATAAAAATAGCATTGCTTATTTGTTTTTATTGGTTTTTGGCTAGGGGTTGATGCATTCGATCGTCGCTATCGTGTAGTTGAAAGGGGAGCAGCAGCAATAACTAAAATAGCTGGTTTCCTTCTCCCCCTTCTTTTTTGGTTCTTTTTTGGTGGCCACCACCCCACCCAAAAAAAAAAAAAAAAAAAAAAAAAAAAAAAAAAATTTAAGGTGGGGGGCGTTTTTTTAAATAAAAAAAAAAATTTTTTTAAATTAAAAAAAAAAAGGGGGGGGGGGGGGGGGGGGCCCCCTCCTTCTTTGGGGGGCGCCGCCCCCGCCCCCCCCCGCGCGCCCCCCCCCCCAAACCCCCCCCCACCCCCCACGGGGGTTTTGGAATTGGGTTTTCCTTTTTTTTTTTTTTCCCCCTTCAAAAACCCCCCCTAAAAAAACCAAAAAAAAAAAAAAAAAAAAAATTTTTTCCCCCCTAAATTTCAAAATTTTTTTTTTGGGGGGGGGTTTTTTTTAAAAAAAAAAAAAAAAAAAAAAAAAAAAACGGTTTCGCTTTCTATTGTTCATCGATCGGAGTTTACGGTTTTTCATTGTGGAACCTACGAGTAGACGTAGATGATACGCGTGTAGCATCGTGTAGCGTTGACCTAGTAACGGTATGCTATTCAATGATTGTTGGAGTGGGTTCAAAAAGACTTACTTTCCTATTCCAGCGTCTGAAGCTCGTCTATTGGACCATTCAACATTTAAAACATATTCCGGCGTAAGCCTCTTTTCTGGTCCATCGCCTGAAAAAAAATAGGTAAATTATACTCACCAACAAGCATCGTTTGTAACAAGAGGCATTCCCTATCTTCAATTTAGCAAGTTACCGAACAGCATTACCGATCGAAAAGCTTCTACCTAAACTCAGCTGTATCTGTACTCAATTATACCTGCTATATATTATCAGCTTTTCGACCTTGAAACATGCTGATAATAGATGAAAGTTTCCTTGCCTCGTACAAGTGTTCTAAAGGTTTCACCTGAAATCTCGAGCGTAGAACAAACGTATTATACCCATACGGAAGTAAGAGGCCGCGTACGTGACGGCATAGTACCTATTCCTTCTTGGACAATACCTAAATGCTGCAATATAATAAGTTTTGAAGAATTATTATGACTAAAACAATACTTAGCGCGCGGCCGAAATTTTTCTAAGTTATGACGCGTTGCGGCTCAGCGACAGCGGTCTGCCGGCAGCCGTGCCTTGCAGCTGTGCCGGCAGCCGCGCCGATGATATGCCAGCAGCCGTGCCAAATCCGGCCCGTTTGCCGCCTCCCAAGGTGTGCTGGCAGCCGTGCCAGAAGCCGCGCCAAGTTTTGGTTCGCCAGCAGCCGTGCAGCAGCGCCAGCAGCCGTGCCGGTGGGCGTTACCACGCCGGCAGGTGCGCCCCTCGCAACAGAGTATATTTAAAGTAGAAAAACCTTTCGAAAAGGTTAGAAAAATGTTTGAAAAAGTCGAAAATTTAGTCATTTTGGGTCTTTCCCCCCCCGCTAATCCTAAAGGTTCTATAGGATTTTTCGACCTAAAATTAAATTTTTTAATTAAAATGTGGGTATTTTTTATGCTCAGGAATAGTTAAAAACCATTTAGAAACGCATGCGCTATTTAGAAAAAAATTTAGGCTTGGGCCGAAAAAATTTGGTTCCCCCCCCCCCCGGAAATCCTAAAGAAAGAAGTTTCAAAATTTTTTTTAAAATGCAAGGAAAAAGATGAAGGCTAAAAGGGTTTGGAAACAAATTCAGGGGTGAAAGCCAAAAGCACGTAGAAAAACAAATTAAAGGGTTTGAAAAAACCCTTAGTCAAGAAAAAAAAAGAAAGGAAACGTAGTCGAAAACAAAAAAAAAGTAAAAAACTTGAAAATTGAGTAAAAAATTTGCAACACCTCTATCGCTTTAGCTTTAAAATCCATAATTCAATGCAAAAATTAAACTTCAGTATCTTTGAAACAACAATTATCTAGCCGGGAAGCTGCGCGAAATTCGTTTATCAGTACACAAGGAATTACAATTACCGGATTACCAAAAAAAATACAAAAGGAAGCGACTAAAATGCATGCATGACAAGCTGCGGAGAAAGCTCCCAAAATTACACCCGACACGATCAGTCAGTAGCACGAAAGAAATCAATGGTTAATTCACAACCAGTTAAGAGCATACAGTTTTTCGAATAAAGCAAAGCAGATCACAAATGATGAGAGGCGGCAATGGAGCGGAAATTTAGCAAATATCAGAAACGGTGGTTACGAGCTTTCCATCCTTGAAGACGGTCTTGAACTGCTCGGGCACCGGCATTTCCAGCACGTCGCCATCGGCCCCAGGGATCACCACGTTCATTGCTGAGCTCTAAAAGTCCGATTAGCTAGAAGCGAAATGTAACATACTTTTGAGGTAACAATTTCGGCGCCCTTGGAAACCTCCGAAAGGTAGATTTGGCACCCGTCGGTCTTTTGGACGGAGACCGTCGGCATCTCGCCCAGCGTCTAAATCGATATTGGCAAGTAAGAAATGGTGATTTACCTGAATCTGCAGCGACTGGCAGTTGATCGTCTCGACTTGAGCAACGACGGCGTCGAAAACGATGGCCACGCGACGACATTGGTCCAGCGTCACCGAGTTGCACTTTCCGACTACCCTGAAATCACACGATTGGAGGCGCAACAAATCACTACGATTTCACGCAAGAAATTCATAAAACATTTACGTACTTTATGTTCGCGTTTTCACACTTGAACACATAGACGGTCTCCTTCTTGTCAGTGACGTTGACCACGATCTGCTGCTGCGTGTTCTTGTAGTATTCCACATTCCACTGCTTCCCGTCCTGCAGCTCGAGCTTTGGTGGCTTTTGGGCGATAGGCGCGGCTGGTTGGCGGTGTCCGTTCGTTGTAGTGGCACCCTTCGCGGGGACAACATTCTAGAAAAAATGTAACATTAGAAAGTTTTAGAAAGCTTACGCTGGCACGCAGCGCGGCATTTTTGTGAGTCTGCATCTCGGGCGTGACCTTCTTCAAAGTGCTGGTGATGCCGGATCCTTGGTTCAGCTGGGCGAAGAGAGCGTCACGCTCGGTGCGGCCACCGGCGGACGAGGCAGAAGTGGCGCCGAATAGATCTAAAACAGTAAGCTTGGTTTCTGTAAGCGAATCTTCGCTCCGGATTAGCCGGAGTGATAATTTTTCTGCCTTCGTTCAAAACGTTTTACATGCGAAAAAAACTGTTTGAAATCTTTTCCGATATAACTCAAAGTTAGCGACGGATCCCCCGCTATTTCACAGGTACACTTTCTTTAATTTTTTGAATCTTTAACCCCAATTTTTACCGATCGGCATCGGGGGCGGTGGAGGCGGGGGCGGTCCGCACGAGCTTGGGGCTGATCCGGGCGCCGAGTTCCACACAACGCCAGTTGTATGCACCTCAATTAATGGAAACTTGCACATTTCAACAAAATTGTCAATACCTTGCGAATAAACTCGTGCAGACTTCCTAAAAGGCCCTCCAACGCGTTCACCCACGCGACGTGATGCGGGTCGGTGCTCTTGTAGGCGAGGCGGATGCGGTTGGTGTAAAATTTGGACGCGTCCAAGATCTCCTTGACGTACGGGCCGGGCTTTGGCTTCTAGCACATGGTTTTCAAGTAGATAAAAACGATAGAAACCTCTTTGACCCATCCAACGGCCGGTGCGGCTTCGGCGAGCGCGTTGAAGTGGTTGACGAGGTCCCGGTTCCGATTCTTGTCCTTCATCCCGATCACATCTTGGACGGCTTTCTAAAAATACTTAATTATAGCAACTCGGGCCTACTATCAAATCCTGCATCTGCGGCAACGAGTCGATAGTTCCGTGCGCGGGCTCCTTGTTTCCGGCGGCGAATTGAAGGAAAGTCCGTTGGGCGGCGAAGAGCTTCTTGTAGTACTCGATGACGTTCGCGAGATCACCTCCCAACACTGTTGAAGTGGCCACCAGCTTCTCCAGCGGCTCCCTGACGGCCTCGTCGTAGGCTTGCACGTGGGCCGGGAGCTCGCTAGAGGCACCTAAAAACATCAGCATGCAATACATACAAAAAAACCAACCACTTTTTTGGGGTGGTGAGGCGAGGGAGGCGGGCTTCGGCGGCGCGGTCGGCTTGGACGAGGAGAGGGCTTCGAGGCGGAGCACGGCTTTTTCAAGACGTCCAACGAGTCCGTCCATTGCTTCACTAGAATATAATGGTTGAATCTATTTTTGATATATTAAAAAGGTTACAATTTTATCGAATATAGCGCGAAAACAGGATGTTTCGAAATTTGACAAGAATCATATGAACTTTTCGTAATAATAGACCATGTAGTATCGTAACCTCTACGTCTTCCTATCTACCAACATCACAAATCCTTCTTTTCTATTCTTATTTACATGATTTTTATTCAATTCCTTAGTCCCACACTTTCCAGAGGAACCTTATAGTTAGATTATAAAAACAATATAATATTTAATTAATCAAAATTAATAAATACAATACATAATTTATAACTATTTATTGGATTTGGACTTTTATTCCTCAAGTAATCCGGGGGTTTTTCGACCCACAACTTCTCAAACTTCAAAAAATAGATAAATATTTATCTTCGATTAATCCTGACAACAATCCGGCAAAACAAATGGGTTAGAATTCTATCTCAGATTGAGTGAACGGAGAGAAACAGAGGTCAGTAACACATTCATTGTACGAGATCAAAATAAACAGCAGAAGAAGATAGGGTATAAGAAGTACGAGTAGATAATAACAATCGGGCTCAAACTTTAACAACATCGAATTCGAGTAGGCCGCTCAGCGCCAGCCGGCGTTTTGGTTGTACCCGCCGCCGCCGCCACCACGGTTGTTGTAGCCGCCGTTGTAGCCACCGCCGCCGCCACCTCGTCCAGAGTAGTCGTTGCGATTGTCCCAGCCGCCTCGGCCGCCACCGCCACGCTGATGTTGACCACGGCCGCGTCCGCCGTCATATCCGCCTAAAAACAAAGAAAATATAGCGACGAGACCCTTTAACTAAAAAAAATTTTAATTTTGCGAAACATATGGATCTTTTGCATTATCAGTGGGGGCTTTTCTAAGGATTCAGTTTCCCGAATATGAACCGAAATGTTATAAACCTGACCAAAATTTGATACAAAATGCAAATCGACTGCTTGACGAGAGTTTCAACTAACAAAAAAAAGATTTTTCAATTTTTAAAATCGGCTGTTTATACACAGAACACCAAAAAACAACAAGAAATTCACCTTGTCCTCCATGGCTGTTGTAGGGCTGCTGGCCGTACCCTCCGCCGCGACCGCCGCGATACCCGCCGTCGTTGTACTGATTGCCGCCGTAGGAGTCTAAAAATCTTCTCTATCCAGAAATTCCAGGGCCCAAAAGCCAGTATTTTCGATTTAGCTCAAATAAAGGCATCGGACTCAAATCAAAAATCCTAATACCGACAAAAATTGGAGAATCGTTCCGGTTTTTGGGTTAAAAAGCTAAAAGCTATATAACGAGCGATTTATAGCGAATAGTAAATCATATCGTGAATTTTCAAAATAGAGCTTCGGTACCGTAACTTTCCGGATTGAAAAACACGCAATTTTTCTTCGAAACCGTCCCAAAACTCACTGTAACCACCGCCCCGGCCGAACCCTTGCTGTTGATGGCCGCCACGGTAGCCCTGGTTGCCGCCATCGCGCTGAAAAAGCATCTTATCGAAGGTTCTCAAAAACCCACATTGTATCCACCGCCCATCTCGTGGCGCATATGGCGATGCCCAGAGTCGTCAAGCCGAGCCCGTGGCGTGTCACGGGAGAAGCCGATTTGCGGGCGATATTGGCCACTCTAAAAAACGAGTTGTAAAACGATGGCCAAAAAACCTGGCGTTCATTGTAGTCGCCAGGCTTCAGGGTTTTCGGGAGGTCGGTGGCGGTGGCGAGGCGGGTGGCGGGGAAGACGAAGCCCTCCGGATACGAGGGGTCGTCGTAGATGACACAGATCGCGTTGTTCTCCTGAAAAAGCGGGAAATTTGTTGACAGAGAGGATGTACACGATCAAATAATTTTTATAAAAGTTTCCCGTAAAGTTTAATCAAAGGCTTTTCTCAGTTAAAAAACGGTAAATTTTCATAAAATCACAAAATAAACTCAAATAGAGGAAAATCTTCTAAAATCACAAAATAGATATGTGAAATCTGAAAGCTTAGGGTTATAAAAATCTTCTCATTTGCGAAATGTCGTCTATGCCGTTATGAAAATCGCATAATTCGTGCCGACGCACCAAAAACGAACCGTCAAATCAGGGCACTCTTCGGCGTGGATCGGCGAGACGAAGGGGACGCCGGGCGGCACGCCAGTCTTGTCTTCAACGACTCGCCCGCTCATTCCGTTGGTCAACGTCGTATCGACATCACCTTCCTTTGCTAAAAAAAAACTAAAAAAATCATAAATTTGCAAATTACCGCCATCGCCCTCATACAATTCCTTCAAGAATCCGAAGGCTGGGTGATGGCCGGAGACGAAGAGACGGTGCGGGCCGGTGGTGTTGCGGAACTGCTCTTCGTCGGTGAGCGTCGGGTAGACGGACTTTAGCGTAGAGAGAAGGCGCTGCTCATCGACGAACGGCAACAGGGCGACGCCTATAAAAAAATGTGAATCCGAGAACGGGGAGCGTTTCTCGATACAGAAAAACAACAAGCTGAATCCGATTTCCAGACCTTCAGGCTATCAAAACTTGATCATAGGAGACAAGACCTTTCCTAGAGTAAAAACTACCAAAAGTAGAGGAAAAAATAGCACAAAATACGCAGGAAAATGTCGCAATTTGTACTCTAAAGTTTAGTTTTTGTGGTCTCAAAATGTGAAATTCAGCTCAAAAAAGTGGATTTTCAAGCAAAACAAGGTTTTGAGCTCTTAAACAGCTCCAAAAATAGCCTTACCCTGCCAGGCGAACTTCTTGCCGTTGAGATCAATGCTGAAGTCGATCGGGTAGAAGTCAATGATCGGCGAGTCGTCCTCCGTCATCAACAGCTGCCATTTCTCAGGCAGATGCTGCCTGGAAAAAAAATTAATTTGCCAAAAAAAACGCCACGCACTTGCTGGCGGCCGGGAAGACGCTCATCAGCTGCTCGAGCGGCTTGAACGGGTGCGTCTTCTTCGAGAAGTCGAGCTTGAACTCGGACACCGTGTCGAAATCCGAGGCGAACGGCGCGTAGTGGTAGGGGAAGTACCAGTCCCATGAAGCGCACCCCTGAAAAAGTGGATTTGGAGGCAGAAAGTAATAACTGTATACCTGATAATAATACTGCAACACCCAGCAGAGCCCTTCGACGTAGGCCCAGGCGACCTTCTTGCGGAAATCGAAGTCTTCGCCACCAACGTCAAACTTTGCGCGGTAGTAGCTGAAAAGTTAAATTAGTGACAATATAACTTTTTCCTTCAATCCGCCTCTTCTCCGCAGAGAAAGAGCTGTTTTTTGTCTCAGGGGCACGTTTTACGACTCCGGAAATCCGCAAATTCCTTACCGATCCTTCCAACCGCTCTCGTACAGCCGGATCTCGTCCTCGGGCTCCTTCTCCTCCTCCTCTTCATAGGGATTTACGGGCGCTTCCATCTTGCGCTTTCGGCTCCCCGACTTCTCCTCTTCCCCGCCCTTCATCATGGCCTTCAACCGTCGGGCAGCCTCCTCGTTTTCCGAGTGTCGAAGGGCTTCCCGGTGAGCGTCTCCTTGCAACTGACGGGCTTGGGCTCCGGTGAAGTGAACGGGCTGAAAATAGGGTAATTCTAATCAGTTAAAAAAGCAATTTCTAATTTAAGACTCCGCATTTTCGAGGGATCGAAAAAAGCTCGCGAAATCTTTCAAAAATCGTATTTAGGCTTCAAAAAGTGATCGTAAAAAGCGACAGAATTGACAAAAATCGATAAATTTCGTACAATTTTGTACTTTGACAAGAACTAATTTATCGGCTCAATTTAAGAAGCTATTTAATAAAATAAAGCTTGCAAGTCCATACCGTGGTGGTCGGCTCGATGAGGCTGCCCTTGCCGGGGATGTACGCGGGGCGCGCAGCCGGTCGCCCAAAGTGGCCGGGTACGGCGCGCTTCTTGGCTTGCTGGTTGGCTTTGTATCGCTCTTCGTTTTGCTAAAAAAAGGTGTATTTCAGGAGGAAAATGAGGCAAAAACCTGTCTGCGCTTGAAAATCTCGTCCTCGACCTCGCCCAGCCCCTTCATGATCATCTCGACGCGATCGAGATAGACGGACCCGTCATGTGTCAGATACCTAATCCAAAATATTATCGATATAAAAAAACAAATTGATTGCAAACAGAAAATCAAGAATTATAGAAATCCAAATCCAAATTCATACCCGTTCATTTTGTAAACCATGTCCTTGTAGAGGCGGATGAGACGATCGATCGCGCCCTCGCGAATTTCGAGTGACGGAAGATGCGGCAAGAAGTCGTTGCCGACGAAGAAGCAGAGGAATACCTAAGCAAGACATCATTACAGAAAAACTCCAGAAATTTACCCAGTCATCAATGGCGCGCTCGAACTCCCATTTGAAGGGCAGGTTTGGCATCTGGAGCTCGCGCTCCAGGTACTCGCGGAGGACGGGGATGCGCAGGAAGATGAAATTCTTCTCCTTTTGAAGGGGGTCGGCTTCGTCTTCGGCTTTTGCGCCGGACTCGTTGTCTTCCAGGCTAAAATCGAGGATAAAATCACCCAAATGTTGCTGTTTACCCCTGGCAAGACTTCAACTCGTGGCCATACTTGCCGCACAGCTCGCACGGGCGCGGCTGGTTGGGGACGAACTCTTCTCTAAAATGGGTTTTAGGGTTAATCAACTTATTATAACCTTATAATGTTGAAGTTATTCTCGTGGGTGGCCAGCCCGAGCATGATGAGATCAGCGTCGGCTCCGCATAGGCAATGAACCTGAAAAAACGATAGAAAAGTCACCTAATAGCAAATTACCGTATCCGGGTTGTGGGCGGGGTTGGAGCGCTGTTTCCGGATGAAGTCCATGATCTTGTGCTCGCCCTCGCCGGGAACGTTGGCGTCGGAGAGGATGACCTGGATCTTGTGCCAGGCCGGGTCGTTGGTCAGCCGATCGTGGATGTAGTAGCGAAGGGCGTCAGCCAATCTAAATGAAAATTTTATACAAGTAAGCCAAAAAGACGTTTAAATCGCCGATTTTAAACAAAGATTGTTTGCAGTTTTCAGGTAAAAAATCATGAATCAAGACCGGAAACGCAATAAGCACGCCCAAAAAAATCGGCCAGATGGACCTAAATCCCAAAAAGTCTACCTTGCCATAAACGGCGTGCCGGGGGTGATGCAGTTGCTGTCGAAGTGCTCGGCGTCGGCCTTCTTCGGCGGTAGTGGGATGCCCTCAGCGGCGAGCTTGCGGCGCACGTTCTCGATCTCGGCCTGCTTCTCGACCGTCTCCTTTGAGGCACGGAAGCGACGGCTGCGCTGTTGGTTCATCTGAAGATTATCGGGGTGTCAAATTGATCTCGATCACACAAAATTAGACCAATTAAATTTTAACTTTACTCGAAAAACCGATTTTTGATACTTCTGAATAAAATGTTGCAGCTTTTCACCCGTCGAACCAGCAAAAAAACCTGCAGAAACAGTTCCTCTCGTTTTAGTAACAACAAATTGGAAACCAAGGAAACTGCGTTCCGCCCAGATTTTCCAAAATCATAGCTGCCATACCTTAGCGCGTGGCGCGACCCCGTCGATGGCCATGTAAAGCACCTTCCTTGGGCGAACTATCGAGAAGATGCGATCGATGTACTCGAAGATCAGGACCTACAAAAAAGCTGAGAAAGCGGCTTTTCTAAACTTACAAACATCTCGTCCTCGTTCTTCGGGGGCGGCCGATCCTCTGGATGTGTGCAGGGATGGATGATCCCGTTCATGTCCAGGTATAAATTGTCAAATTCCTGGAAAACAATATTATTCGATTTTCTCATATTGCGCTAACTTGAAAATTTGGGTTCGGCGCCGTGCAGTCGATGGGGATGCGCTTGCCGTCGGCATCTTTTTGCCTAAAGAAAATCATATTTTGTTGGGAAAGATTAGCTACCGATCCTCATTGGCGTTGACCACAATCGACGGGTACTTTTTCGAGAGCCATCTGAAGAATGCTGGAACTCCCATCGAGTTCCGCTCTGGAAAAGATGATTTCAGTAATATAACGGCTTTGATAGCTACACCGAGGCGAAATCGAAGACACTGGTCTCAAAGTCCAATTGTAAGCTTTATAAGTTAAGTTTAATTTTAGAAAGCTTCGGATGGACACAAAATCCTCAAATTCGCTAACAGGATTGGTTATAACAGTTGTCCTAAATGGCAAACGCACAAACAGGGCGAAATTATTACAACGTAATTCTATAGTTATAAAAATAAATTCAGACGTAACTATTGTTACACAAGAGCTTCGAATTCCCTTTTTATAAATATCAAATCGCACGATTTGAAAAACCTGCTCGAATTTTGATAGAATCGTTCGAACCTAACGTGGCTAAACAACTAAAGAGCGATCCCACCCTATACCGTTAAAATGAAATTAAAAATAAGCTTAATCAAAACTTAGTTATGGAATTTACTAAAAACTATAATTTTTGTTTCGATTGCCGGCGTTTGGAATCGGTTACGAAGGGTTGGCTAGATGCCAAACTATCGTCGCCCGCCCGCTGCGGGACCCGACGAAAGGTGTCGCAAGAGGGCGCCCGGCTCTCTCTTGTATTTTCTCAGTGATTTTCAATTTTTTGTATCTTGACGCCGAAGTCATGCCAATTTTTCCCAGAAATCTATCCTCGACTTGCTTCTCTAATCATATGCCGCTATTTGTGCCCCGTCTCGCTCGTTCAACTTCCCTATTCACGTCTCGTACTAATTTTCTCATTTTCAGGGTACAATGGCGGCACGACCGCTCGTCACCGTTTACAGCGAGAAAAATGAGGCTACGCCCACTCAAGTAAAGCTGCCGGCCGTCTTCCGTGCCCCGATCAGGCCCGACGTCGTCAGCTTCATCCACGACCAAATCAGCCGCAACAAGCTCCAGGCTCGCGCTGTTTCCACCGAAGCCGGTACGTTTGCACCTTTTTGTTCTGCTTTTACGACGTATAGCCGGTTATAACTCGTTCAATGATTTGCAATATGACCGGCTATGCGGGTAATCGCGTTGTTTCTTTGCTTGTTTTGGTCCATGTTTATACCTCCTTTTTCAGGCAAGCAATCCTCGGCCGAATCTTGGGGAACTGGACGTGCCGTTGCCCGTATTCCCCGCGTTCGTGGAGGTGGTACCCACCGCTCGGGCCAAGGAGCCTTCGGAAACATGTGCCGTGGAGGACACATGTTCGCCCCGCTCAAGGTCTGGAGGCGCTGGCACCGACGCGTCAATGTTGCCCAAAAACGATACGCCATCACCTCGGCCATCGCTGCCTCCGGCATGCCAGCCCTGGTCCAGGCTCGCGGACACGTCATCGACCAAGTTGCCGAAATCCCGTTCGTCGTCTCCGACAAGGTTGAAGCTTTCCGCAAGACCAAGGAGGCCGTCGCTTTCCTACGCCGCGCTCACCTCTGGGCTGACATCGAGAAGGTATATCTTTTTAAATTTTAATGATAATCCTTGGCGGCTAGTGTTTGTTTTCGGAAGAAACGTCCTGAATTTTGAGGGGTCAAAAGTCTGCGGTCGTTCATATTAATTCACAATGGGGGAGGCTTTTCAGGTTCAAGCTTCCCATACGCTCCAAACGACTTTTTTTGATTTCTAGGCTTCCCCATAGGTTAAACCAAGCCCAAGCCGGAGATTGGATTCGTTTAAGCTAGGCTTGGGTTTGCCTAAGCTTAAAGGCAAATCTCGTAACCTTGACCGAAAAATTTTTGGGTGTTGCGCCTCCCCCTTGTGCATGAGCACCCCGACGTTTCGGCCGAAATCCAATGCGCGTTGCGGATACACCTCTTTTCTTCAGTAAAACGCAAATACCGCTACCTATTTGGGCACCCTTTGATCTAAGGATTATCACTGCAAAAACATCTGGCTTTCGTACATTCTGTTTTTAGGTTTACAACAGCAAGCGTTACCGCGCCGGAGTGGGAAAGATGCGCAACCGTCGCTACAAGCAAAAGCTCGGCCCACTTGTCATCTACGGCCAGGATGCCGGCGTCGCCCGTGCCTTCCGCAACATCCCCGGCATTGATGTCCTCAACGTTGAGCGCCTGAACCTATTGAAGGTCGCTCCCGGAGGCCACCTCGGACGTCTCGTTATCTGGACAGAGTCTGCTTTCAAGAAGCTCGATGCCATCTACGGAACCCAGAGCGCCCCATCTGAGCTCAAGAAGGGCTTCGTCCTCCCCACCGCCAAGATGGCCAACCCCGACTTCACCCGCATCGTTCGCTCCGAGGAGGTTGTGAAGGCTGTGCGACCAGCTCGCAAGGCCGCTGCCGCCCCGAAGGTATAGCATTCTCTTGTCATCCGAAATTTTTTTTCATTTTAGGTGCACCGCAACCCGCTGAAGAAGTTCGCTTTGATGAAGACTCTCAACCCGTATGCCGCCGTTATCCGAGAAGCCGCCCACAAGAAGCAAAAAGCCTAATTTTAATCTGTTACTTTTGTTGATAAATTTGTTGCGTTTAATACGTGGCATAAAAGAAATTACATGGATTTGACTGCACATTGTACGAAAGCTGCACTGTAATTTTTATACTAGTTCAATCTTTATTGATATCCGTTTCTACTGTTTGCAAGTGAATTGTGCCCGTCGAGAGGTGGTTGGTCATTGAATCTGCAAAACGCGTTTGGGCTATCTCTGGCTTGCATTACCTGGACTCTTTCTCCAATTTGCTCACGGTTTTTGATGATTTCTTGATCGAGGTATCAATCCGGTTTAGAATGTCTCGCATGCTCTGCTCGGGTTGGGTGCCTTTTGGCGGTGGCTCGTCGCGGCCCGGTTGTTTCTTTGCTAAAGAGGAATCTACAATTCGGGCATTCACTTACAAATCTTTCGAGGGCTTTCAGGGACGAGATTCACGGTGGGCGGACTGATCGGAGTGTCGCAATGGACCGGGATAGTGATTCTGCTCTTGAGGAAGAGGCTTTCGTTGGACCACAATTTGTTGATGCGTTTTATGTCGGTAATCTAAATAATTTGTGGGGTTGGGTCTAGGTAAACTTACTGAACTATTGTAGCGCAGCGCCAGCCCAGCTATCGTGTCCTCCGGGCGGATTGTGTGCTCGATGAGCTGAGGTGGCTTGCTGTGCGATACCCGTTGTGTTGTCCCGTATCTTCTTACCTAGAGTTTTTTTTGGATGAAAGCCTACAGTAAGAGAGTATACATAGCTTTGGGTGTATATCGATAGAAAATATAGAAATTAAGTCATGCTATCAGCGGGTTCGGTAAGCTATATGTTCATCTACAGGTTTAACTTCTTGCGCAACCCACTCTGTTATACCCGCAGAGGAAAATGCGCTCTTCTGGTGTCGCCGATAAGTAGAAGTCCATCCCAGGAAGGCATAATCAGCTCTCTAATGGCTCGGAAGCGGGACCATGCAGCTGGCGTCGGCTCACTGAATTTCGTTGTTTCCGGGGAGAATTCGATGAGCAGTTATATAGCGGAAAACGGAAATTTTTGAGCATGAGCTAATTGCCTTTTTAGAACTAGGATTTTCACCGGCCGAGGAGGAACTTTTTGCGGGGCAAAACTGTTCGTTGGAGAAGCAGATATGCAATACCAGAGGAGTTCTTTTATTAGTGCACTTTCATAATTTTCATTTTAGATGAAATATCAAGTTTTTTCAACGAAAAATGATCAGAAGATGAAGCCCGGGATATGAATCTAAATGTTCAAATCGGACGTGACTGCTCACTGAATTTGGCCCTTGGATAGATAGTTCGAGGAGCAGCAGAGGAGTCGATACAAAGGAAAACGGAACTATTTGAGCATCAGATTGTGACAATTCGTTTCTAGATGAGACTTCCGCTTTTCAGCGGCTCGAGAAAACAGAAGAAGCATCGTTTATGATTTTGAAGGCTCAAATCCGAGGGCTCACCACGTGAGTGGGGATGATTGAAATGGAATGGCTGTGTGGGCTGCTGGATTTGCCCGGAGGCAGGTTGCTCGTTTTCTGAAGGGGGAGCTGCGTCTCCGCGTCTGCCCCGATCTCTCGCCCTCACTAGACACTACACATTGATTCTGGCGGCGGGTTTCGCAGCGGTGCGAGTGCAACACTGGGGGTCACTACGGTTCCCTGGGGATACACCGGCATGCCGTTATGCTCTTATCAATTGGACCGTCGTGTCGATGGCCGTTTTTTTGGGGGTCGGCGAATTCGGCGTATGTTTTATTGGTATGGGACAAGCGGCTAAATTGCGTTATATGGTCACTAAACCGATTTTGAATTTTTATATGTCAAAATGCTCAGCAGTTCGAGCTGGTTCAGGATCAGTTGAAAAAACTATTGGGAAACACTTCTGGAGCGAGTTATAACACTTGAAAGTTGGCAAGTGTCGTATATGGTCACTAAACGGATTTTCGATTTTTCCATGTTAAAATGCTCAGCAGGCCGAGCTGATTCTAGAACAGTTGAAAAAACCTTTGGGAAATACTTCTGGAGCGAGATATACCACTACAAAGTTTGGCGTCACCCCGGCCCACTACATAACTTTGTCGCCCCGGCGAGTCAGTTTTCGGTGTTGCGAAAAATGGTTGGGTTCGAAATGGGTTTGGCATGACTACACACCCGATCTGAGCCTAAAAATAAGGCTTCGTGCCACCCCGGGGCCTAGTCGCTTCGGATGGGTGCGAGCTCGTACAGGGTTTCGAAATGGGGGCGCCAAGGCCGGCGAAGCGGCCGGGGGCGCCCCCATTTCGAAAGAGTGGAGCGGCAGCCCATCCGAAGCGACGGCCCACCTTGCCTGACAATGTATTTTTTTACCCATGAAACGGCAATTCTCCACCATTCCGTTTCTTTCCGATGTACAGTTGGCGTATTTTGGTGTACTACGTACTACTTCAGGGGCCGAATGGACGGTTTGTAAGCTAGATATCTCGCGACAGAGATTTTTCCTAAAAGTTTTTTCAGCTGTTCTAGAATCAGCTCGGCCTGCTGTGCATTTTGACATATAAAAATCGAAAATCCGTTTAGTGACCATATACGACACTCGCCAACTTTCAAGTGTTATAACTCGCTCCAGAAGTGTTTCCCAACAGTTTTTTCAACTGATCCTGAACCAGCTCGAACTGCTGAGCATTTTGGTATATAAAAATCCAAAATCGGTTTAGTGACCATATAAGGCAATTTTCCCGGACAAGCAACGTACTTTGAAGACTTGGCTTATTTGGACTGCCTTGGAGAGTCAAGCTTAAAGCAGCAGGATCAAGCCAGCTTCGTTTTTGGAAAAATTACGCTTAATTGATAACCTGTTGATCATGAACTTGTGTTTTTTAGCTAATTCATGGAAATATCTTTCAGTTACTGGCTTGACGGGATTGACTTGAAATGTTAAGCCTGGCTTGTGGAATCAACCGACCTTTGTGTTTTTGAAGAATTATATAAAAATTAATTACTAATTCGACGGGCGGGTTTTTAGCCCTCAGGCAGGTTGATTCCCGGGGCGCGCAATAGCAGTGACAGCCTTTTAGGTCGCGTAATGCAACTGATTACTCGATGTTTTGTTGAAACAAAAACTATTATAAGTGTAAGAAACTATATTGCTTTGATCGCAAGTTTATTTTAACGGCAAGAATAGTATAATAATGCACGACGGCCGATTGTATATATGATCAGGGCAGGGCTTTACAACGGGGCGATAAAACCTTTGCTTGCTTGTACGTATAAAACCAAATATCTTAGAAAAAGCAAGACGCATCCGCAAGGGAGACATTATCAAATATATTTTGTCGAGCCTTCTAGCTTCTCGGCTTGACAGCACGGGTGCAATCAACGGAAAAATTTTGGGCCAAAATCATGACTATGTATGCTTCGCGCAAAATTTTACCGATACCTTTCCGGACTCGACGACCACTCTGAATAAAGTATTTCATATTTGTAAAAGTATGCTTTGTTGTAACCGGAACCAAGGCAGGCCTGTTGTTCAGAATTCTCCTGCTGCCGGACAGCGTAAGATCAGCGCTAAAACTATGCTTACAGGAAGTTCGCCTTGGAAAGAAAGAAGCGGCTTAGTTTTGGATAGTTCTGGTCTATTTGTTGAAAACCTCCTAGTTTCTCAGCCCAACCTTGTTCGATTCATAATTGCGCTTCTTAAACCTATGTGACCTTAGGAAACCCTACTTTCATCGTGTATCGCTCGGAAGTGTGGCCTGAAAGCTTCTTGAGTGGATACCCTAAAGTCATAAGTCAGAACTGATTTTAGAATTCCCCTGTTAATCCTGATGCACCCTTGTGTGATGCGTCTTGCTGTTTCCAAAATATTTGGTTTTATACGTACAAGCAAGCAAAGATTTAGCGCCCCGTTGTAAAGCGTCGACCCTAGCAATAAGCCGTTGTCCATGTGATTATACTATTCTTGTAGCTGTAACTGTAAGATAAAATAAACTTGCGATCAAAGCAATATAGTTTCTTACACTTATAATAGTTTTTGTTTCAACAAAACATCGAGTAATCATTTGCATTACGCGACCTAAAAGGCTGTCACTGCTATTGCGCGCCCCGGGAATCAACCTGCCTGAGGGCTAAAAACCCGCCCGTACTAATTCGTAATAAACTCGTCAGGAATTTTTATTTTTTGCTACTTATTTGTAAGGGTAATTTCACAGCTGAGAGCGACGTTTTATACGTATTCTTCTTAGTCTCTCTCTCTCTCTCTCTCTCTCTCTCTCTCTCTCTCTCTCTCTCTCGCTTCAAAGTAATCCCCAAAAAACCATAACTTCAGGATGCACGATTCCTCGTCACCAACGTCATCTCACTCGCCATCACCGGTGCCATCGACTTCAAGCCGGCAGCGCCCCTTCTCGATGTTTCACCCCTTCCGGAAGCCGAAGCGCGAGCCGATGTTCGTGCCGGCCACAAAGTATAGCCAAGGTAGGTGAAGCGTTGATTTTGCTCCCAATACCGCCAATTAGTAACAAAGATCAAAACACGGCAAAGGGTTCGAGCCCAGCTATCAAAATTGTCCGCTGGTAGCCATTTTTGCCTTTTTAGCTATGGCCGACGGCTCGGGGGTGGCCTTCGTGCGGTCCCTGGCCAATTCCACGTTCTACGCCGCGTCGGATCCATTGACAAGGCTCAGCCAAAGTCAGTATTATACGGGCCGGAACTGAGAATGCTGATACAAGATGGTGTATAAATTGGAGAAAAAACACATAAAATATCTTAATTTGCTCTAACCACTGCTTTCCAGCGGTCGTCGGCCGGAACAACATCGACTACGGGCGGTCGATCTCCAGCCAGGGCTACGACACCATGTTCCCCACCCTGTCCCCGGAGGAGCGGAACGCGCGCAAGACCAGCGAGCCGGCCGAGTTTGGATATGGGAGGTTAGTGCTTGTTTATATTTACTTAAAGGGATACCCAATGTTTTGGCGGCAAATATATAGTTATGTATTCCGGGGAGTACAAATGACGCGCCAATTTTGTGCGGTAATGGATGCCCAGTGCCGCACAGAATTCGGCCTTCTCTCCCCCTTGTGGCGTCCCCATCTCCACCAATGGCTTGCCACTATGGCCTAATGGGTAGCATCCAGGTCTTGAAAGCGGGGGTCCCGGGTTCGACCCCCGCCCCCGTCATGGTTTTTGCTTTTTGAGCCCCGAAAAGGTTGGGTATCCCTTTAATAATATTTTGTAATTATGATTAACGTATTTTTGATATCATCAAATTTTCGGATCTTATGCATTATCGGAGGGGGGGCTTCCTCTAGGGATCCAATTTTTCCAATATAAATCGATGAAATATTGCTAAGCTGTTTTTTTACGAAACGCACAAACGTTGGAAATTTACGTTCGGCATACAAAAATATAGAATTTTTCGACCAATAACAGCCAATTTTCAACGAAAAATTTTTCTAGATTTTTTATTTTTCGAAATTTGTTAAATTTCACTGAAAAGGCTATGAAATCCTTGCTTGTTAGTTGCCATGTATTTCTGGCCTTGGAAAAATGCTCCTTCCCCCTGATATTGCCAAAGAACCGAAAACTACAATAGTTGAAAACACATTACTAAATACGCTAAATCCGGAATTCTATAAGAAACGTTTGGAAATTATTAAACAAGGCCAGGATGGCACGTATCGATCGCGAGGGCGCGAGCGATTTCCGATGAGAATCCCGAAAATCTGTTTCCCGAAAATCTGATTCCCGAAAATCTGAATCCCGAAAAATCTGAATCCCGAAAATCTGATTCCCGAAAATCCGATTCCCGAAAAATCTGAATCCCGAAAAATCCGTTTTCCGAAAATCCGATTCTCGAAAATCCGATTCCCGAAAATCTGAACCCCGAAAAATCCGAGCCCCAGAATCCAAACCTGGAAAGACCGCGCTCTGAAAAGCCAAATTGGAAGAAAACGAAGTTAAAAATTAACTATATTGAATTCACCGTCTTGGAAGTCGCCCAGGAACTTTAGAATGGGTTCTGGTACAATTCAAATCGACGGGGGGTGAGGATTTCGGCGGGGGAGGTGGGCCTATAGGCAGAGGGGTGCCTAGAGAGCAGGGCGGACGCTGAGACGCAGATTGCCCCCCGCCTCGTTGAATTGTACCAGGGTTTTTTTCAGTTCACAAACCGCAGATTCTTCAGATTCAGATTTTTCGGGAAACAGATTTTCGGGCAACGAATTTTTCGGGAACCGGATTTTCGGGATTCAGATTTTCGGGATTCAGATTTTTCGGGATTCGGATTTTTCGGGAATTCTATTTTCGGGAATCGGATTTTCGGGAAACAGATTTTCGGGAATCAGATTTTCGGAAGTATAATCGCGAGGGCGCGAGCGCCCTTTTCGGGGGCCCTCAAATAAGCTCTTTTATAGCTCATCGGCCGGCCATCCATCGCTGCCCTCCACCTCATCGTTGGCGCCGCTCAGCGTCGAGACGTACGGCGGGGAGACGGCCGGAATGGGTAAGAATTTTTAGTTGCTCTTATTTAACTTAAGGGGGGTACGATTAGGGTATTTTCGTTTTTCCCCAGCTGCTTCAAGTTCTTTCGCCTTATCGGGGGGGGGGGTGAGGTGGAAGTCGATCTTTTCCCTTAAAGCCTAGAAATCACGGCGACTTAATCGTAAGCATTTTAATATCGTTTTGAGCAAAATGTAGCTATAGTTTAAGCGGAAAAACTTGGAAAAACCAATTTTTTAGTCCAAATTTTCGTCGAAAAGGTGATTTCTTAAACAAAAAACGTTTAGGAATAGTAAAAAATGGGTTAGAAACTTCCGCGATTTTTGTAAAAATCTAGATAATAAGAAAAACGATAAAAATAATTGAGGAAAAGGTAGCTCGTCTTGCTCCCGAAGCAAATGGAATTAAATGACCTTAATAAAGTTTGTAAAAACATCTTGTTCGGCCGCAAATGTTGGGCAATTTTTGAGAGGGACATCACTTGGCAAACAAGAAAAATCGGGTGGCAGATGAGTCATCAAAACTACTGCTTTTTCGTTTTTCGTTCTCCTTGATAAGGGGCCCGTTCAAGCGCTTTTTTCGGGGTCGGGATTTCGCCATCGGTGTATTTAGCGTAACTATTATTGACATTTTATTCACTTCCAGGCATGGACTACGTGACGACGATGCTCGACGACCACGAGACGAACAGCCGGTCGATACGGTTGGGTACGGTTTTCGATATTTTTGAATGTTCTACCGTACCGTCGACCCAGCAAACGCCCTTTTTTAGCTCAAGAGATGGCGCTCTCGAACATGCGGCAGGATTTGCGCCGCATACGGGAGGAGATACAGCAGATGGAGAATGATAGGGTGAGCGGCTTTCCGGGGAATTACTTTCGAAAATAACGGTTTCGACAAATCGGTATTCAGCGTACTCAGTAGCGTCCTGGAATTGTCGGTACTTGACTGTTAGCGGGGGGTTTCGAGCTTACTCCCTAGTTTTTTAAACATAATTTTCTAGCATTTAAAGCAATAAAAGCAACTTGATACGCTTAGGAAAATAGACGGTAAATCAGCAGGCCGGTTAAGTCAACAAAAAATTAAAGAAAAGACAAGATTTCCCTCGTAGAAACCCCCCCCCCCGCTAACAGTCCAGTACCGAATTGTCTCTATAGGGTCCGTTTTTTTCCGAATAGTTACTTTCGGCTTTTATTAGAGAGATAGAGTTTTGAAAATAGGCAAGCGTTGTTTGTAGTCGCGGGGAACGTCGCGAGCCTTCTTCCGGGTAACCCTTGTCGACAATAGAAGACAGAAAATAGGTGATCAGCGTTCTCTGTAGCATAGCGGAAGTTTTTTATAATTTTTTCTCCTTTTTTACGGGTAACTACTCTAGATACTAGGAAATCCAAAATCGCTGTAGCTTCGTGGAACTATTTCTATAGCGATTTTCTCCCTTTTCCGGATAACTACTCTCGACATCCGGAAAACTAGGCAACAAGCGTTCTCCGTAGCGTTGAGGAACTATTTCTACAACCTTTGTCTGCCTTCTCTGTAGCCTCGTGAAATTGTTTCTGTAACGTCATGAGCTCGATTTCCGGGTAGCTACTATCGACAAGAGCATATAACAACAGAGGTAATCAGCGTTCTCTGTAGCCCCGTGGAAGTGTTTCTTCGACCCTTTTTGCGTTTTCGCGGGTTAATCCTGACAATAGAAAATACAGAGTTGCAGAAATGAACGTTCTCTGTAGCGTAGTGTAATTGTAATTCATGTGTATTTACACAATTTTACGCGGTGCACCTTTATTCAAAACCGCAGTAAATGGGTGGGGGTGGTGGGGAAGTAGCTTGGTGCAGACGTGGCCGACGTCGTCCAATCAGGGGTTGTACTCGATGGGGAGGTTCTTCCTGCGGACCATGCCGTCGCCCTGGAACCACTCGCGGCGGAACTGCTTGGCGGCGCCGTCGGGGGTGTTGGTCCATTCGATGGTGACACGGTCGTTGTTCGTGTCCTCAGCGCCGAACTGGAAGGAATCGCACGAGACGGCCACCTAGAAGCGGCGGGATTAGACGAGGCCGGGCAGTTCAAAGGAACAGAACATGCTCAAGCAGTTCATGCCGACCGAATCGAGCAGTTCAAAGAGTTCAAAGAGTTCAAGCTGACTCACCAGAACCTGCTCCTTGGGGTCGAGGACACCGCACGGCGGGTCGACTCCGAGGCGCTTCATGTTGGTGGTCTTGAAGGCCCATCCGATGCGGCGGCCGCCAGAGTTGATCACCTTGATGTGGTAGGTGTGCTTGTCATCGTAGGGGGCGTTGAAGACAATCTTCGTGCCGGGCTGGGTGGTGATGTCACCGGGAGCGACGGATTGGGCCATCTTCGAGGTTGAAGTTTGGGTACTTTGGGCTCGTCGAGGGTTTCTTATATACCGGGGAACTCATGTAAATCAAATGATGTAGATGAGCAACTTCCGGGATTTTGGTTGATATGTATTGATTTTAGCGATTTATGCAAATTTCTGATTTTCAGGATCTTCTCACCGTGATGTTGATGCACGACCTAAAGGAGCTGGAAACCGTGGTGGGTTCAATTTTGGTTATTTTACTATTTGTTGCTTAGGATGAGCAGCAACTCGACAGGGACATCGCCCAGATGGAGCGCGACATTGAGGCGATTCGTCGGACTCATCCACATTGTGTCCCGCCACCAAGTATGTTTTTTTTTGCTTTTTATCATATCTGCAAGCAGCATGCGCTTTCTGCCCTCTTTTTAGTTGCAAACTTTTTTAGTCCGATTCTCTCTCTCTATCACTCTCTCTCTCTCTCTCTCGCTCTTTCTCTCGCTCTCTGAGTATCATTTCGCTAGCTTCCTATTGTTTATTGCAGCTCTTCATCAAGCGCTTTTCCGAAATTTCTTGCTCTCTCTCTCTCTCTCTCTCTCTCTCTCTCTCTCTCTCTCTGTCTCTCTCTTTCTTCCTTTCCCGAGCTATTCCTCCAATTTTCGGCACCACCTTTGACACCCCGTGCATCCTGAAGCGACTCCGCGAGCAGAGCTTTTCGTATCGTGGGTCTCACTAAATTTAAGCTTTTTGTGCTTTCGCTTTACTACCCTGGCTTCCCTGTCACGCTTTTTTCCGGCTTTCCCTACTGTGCTACTGCTCGTTTCGGCTAACTGCTGATCTAAAGAATTTTCAAAAGTTTTCTATGTGTTTGGGTATTTTCTAGAATCTTGTCAGCTTTCAACTCCTTTAAAATTTCATAAAATCCTACATTTTTTAGTTCCGGTCCGCCCTCGACGCCCATCGCCGGAGCACGAAGAGTGGAAATGCGCCAGCCAGCACTGCCAGGCGGCCAACCATTTCGAGATGTACAGGTGTGTAGCGCAAGTCAATGCGGACTTGAAACTTGAAGCAGGTGCTTTCGCCGTATCGGGGGGGGGGGGGCGACTTGTTTCCTATGATTCCACAAATTCCTAATGACGTTAGAATTTGATGGTGTTTTTATTGTAAAATCTATAGATTTCAAGCGGGCAATCTATCAAAAACACTGCTAAAATAATGAAAATTTGGTCATAAATCTGAATTTTTCGCCAAAAAATCGATATTTTCTGTGGTAGATGAAAGTGGCAAAGTTTTAAGGTAGGCTAAGAAACTACAAAAAAATATCTGAAAAGAAAACGTCAAAAAAGCTATCTAAGACACTGCTAAAAAATTATATTTTCAGCATTTTTATTTATCAGAAAAGTTATCTGATGTTTGAAGCATCTTTCAAAAAAATTATAAAATATGAATGTACGATATAAAAAGCTTAAAAATTAATTAAAGTAAGCTCTTTTTAGGTGTATAAAATGTGGGTTGCCCCGGATGGCAATTCCCCCAGAAGAACGCCGACGATGCCCGTGCCATAAATGTCGAACCGATGGGGGTGAGTCCAAAAAAAAAATTTCGAAATAAAACTAAGAGACGAATTATGTAAAAAAATCGCTAAAAATTTATCAGAAATTCAAGTAAAAATTGAAAATTTTTAGAGCGATTATCGGTGGCGCCGGCGGGCGGGGATGACGACTGGATGCTCGTCAACCAATAAATAAAAACAATACGGGACTGTACTATACGCGTAATTACAATAAAATAACTAAAAACTGATGTTAATAAATAAGCACACCCAAACGGAGGTATTTAGGAAAAACGGAAAACTTGGATTTTTATAGGCACAAATTACGGCACTGGGCTGTTAGCCGGGGGGGCGACTAATTTTTTTCCCGCTTACCTGTTGGTAATATGCATATAATTTTTGGAGTGTTTTTAGTGGTTTTTGATTGTTAAATTATTCGACATTTTAAAAGCTTTAAAATGCGAAGGTTTAGACCTGTTTTGGCCATTTTTCATGCATTTTTCATAAAAAAAATCCAGAATTTTGGGAATTTTAAATTTTTGGGAAACTTGTTTATATCTAAAACGGTGCAAAATGCGATAAAAATGGTTTATATTCGTTATGAGATGCATGAGATTACTGGCAAAAATTATATGATACCCCCCCCCGCTAACAGACCAGAGCCGTCTTTTAATAAGCACAAATTACAAGGGGAAACAGATGATCGCGCGAAGCGCACGTCAGATATATTTGCGTTCCGCCCGTTTTTCCGGAGCTGTCAGAATCTGGCGCGCGCGAAACTGCCCCCCCCCCCCCAATTGATTCCCCCAGCGCGCAGCGCTCGAACCCAAATTCATTTTTTTTAATTTTCGATGGGACTGCTCTCAAAATTCGGTCGGATTTTGGGAGGAGAACGAGGTACAGCCGATTCCGCTTTACCAAGAAACTCCAGAAAAATCGGCTTATGATGGGTTATGGGTACGCGGCGACTCCACCGCCACCTTCCCGCCATTTACGCAGGCGCAGGTTGTGCGCGGGTTTAGCGCTACGGTATGGGTTTGCTACGCTTTCTGGCCCCTTTAAAAGTATGCGGTGCTTTTACCTTATCGAGGGGGAGGGGAGAATTTTTTCTGCAAATCCAGAAATGCCTAGTATCTTAATATCGAGTGTTTTAACTGCGTTTTTACTAGAATCTACGTAAACTCGAAGTGGAAAACTATTTTAAATACTTAAAAATGTTTAAATTTTAATTTTTTGGTCGAAAAATCGGTATTTTTGTACTTTGTATCAAAAAGTTGTGAGTTTTGGCATAGGTAAAAAACGGCTTAGAACCCCCCCCCCGATAATGCGAAAGCACCAAAGATACTAAAGTAAAATGGCAGAAAAATTTTAGTAACCTTGAAGCGGAAAACTTTTTGAAATACTTTAAAAATGTTTAAATTTTTGAATTCGTCGAAAAAATCGGCATTTTTTGTATTTTGTAATAAAAAATCGTCGTTTAGGCTTTAAAGAATGGTAAAAACGGTTTAGAAATCCCCCCGCTAATGCCAAAGCTCCAAGTAAACTAATAACTAGCTATTCATTAGGTGAACGATGAGGTATCGGTGACGGTTGGGGCAGAAGTTCGAGCCGTTTACAAGGACCACGAGTGGATCTACGTCGAAAGGGCTGATGGTTAGTGATTTGTAATTAATTTAATGAAATGTAATTAAATTACGCTAAATTGCGGGTGAACTAGCACATACCCTTTAGGAATTTATCTCGTTGATTTTCAGGCCGCCGCGGCTTCATCCCAGATGATCATTGCCGCATCCGGGTGCCGCTCAGCTACGACCCCACCCAGAGCACCTCACCCGTTCCGCCGTTGCAACGTAAGTTTTGTATTTTTTTGAAGAATCAGCCCTTTTAGCGCGCCCCAAAATCAGCCGCCGCGACTCGGAGAAGATCAAGCGGGAGCTGCTCAAGCACAATCGATGCCTCGAGCCGCACAGCCAGCCCGATGCGACGGCCAGACATCCGATTTCGGCGCACACGATGCAGCGAAGGCCCCAGGAGACCAAGGGAAAAGTTGGTTTTTCATCAGAAACTTTTTATGGAAAAGCTTACATGGAGAGGTCCTGCTAGCAGCGATTCTTTGCCGAATAATTCCGGTCTTTCGCGTTATCGGGGGGGACTTTTTGAAGGATCCATTTTTTCTAATATCAGATAGAGGAAATGTCTCTAAACTGTTTAGTAATATTCCTACTAAATAAAAACTTGAGAAATTCTGCTCCAAAAAATTTCGATTTTCTGACCAAAAATGGACGATTTTCGACCAAACCATCGCCCAAATAATTTTTCCCATATTTTTGTTGATTTTCCAGTTCAAATGTCATTAAATTTTATCAGAAGACCTTATTGCAACAATTAATATTACGTTACACGGCATTTATGAAATTGTACAAGAAAAAAATCTATTCGCGCCTCCCCCCCCCCGATAACGCAAAAGTGCTAATCATATCACTAGGAGGCTAGCTAGCAGGGATCCCTAGCGGAAACTACAAAACCCCCCAAATAGCGTATTTTCCAGGCCCTGCTCCGCCGCGCCGACACTTTCCACGCCGGCGACAAGCTCGACGAGTCGAACCTGGAGCGCTTTTTGAAGAGCCTGCCCGTGGAGAAGCACGAGGGGCAACCCTTTGTAAAGGTATCTATTAAAACGCTTTAAAAGATAATAATAAACTCAATTTAACCTAGACTGCAACAATTTTCATAAATGGATCGATTTAGGCTCCCCAGGGCACGGTGCGCGTCCGCGAGCCCTTCGAAAATCGAAACGCCGAAGAGGTGGCGATCGCAAGAGGGGAGCAGGTACGTTTTAACGGTAAATCAAACCCTGTCATTTAGGTGACCCTGCTGAACACGTCGGACCCGGATTGGACGCTTGTACGAAATCAAGCCGGCGAGGAAGGCTTCGTGCCCTCGCACTGTTTAGCGTACGTTTAGAGACGGCGTATCACAACCTAAATTTTAGCGGTTTCCCGGTGCTGACGGAAAATCGGCCGGCTCTCGACGTGCTGGTGGTGGAATCGTATCGCTCGGACGCGAAGCTCGACCTCGAGGTGGCCCATGGGGAATGGCTGAAGTGTGAGCAGCCGGAGGTGAATGGGTGGTTTTGGGCGGAGAAGCTCGACGGCTCGGCCAAGGGCTTCGTCCCGTCCGCTTTTTGCATTGTGGCTACGCATATCTAAAGTAATACTAGTAAGTAAGAGTAAGTAATACCAAAATTTTGAGGTTCTTTCGCATTATCGGCGCGGAAAACCAAATTTTTTGCTTCTTTGGTTTTAATTATAAGCCAAAATTAACCAATTCCAACCAGATTATAAAACTCATGATAATTTCCAAACCATAGCCCCAAATTTTTAGCGTAAAACTTGTTAATGTATCATTTATTTATTGCTTTGCTACTTTTAGACATAACAATTCGAAAATATTGATAAAACATTAGAATCTATCCATTTTTAAACCCAACAATACTAGTACGACGAATTTACAAAAATGTTTCCAATAGTTTTAGACTTCGTACAAAAGTTTCTCACTACTGACATTGCTAATTTTTATAAAAAAGTTAACTAAAATAGTTTTTATTACATAGTAAGTAGAATTTCTAGGTCATAGAGAAAAGTTTGCGCGCCCCCGACTTTTGCAAAAGCACCAATAATCCGAAGTTTCGTAAAACACGTCTTTTACAAATATTCAACCTTGCTGGCCAGTTGTTCGTCTTAATTTTACATTTATAAATGCATTTTACGCAATACATGTGCCACACAAGTGAAAAAACGCCAAACCTTTATTAGCGACAAATTTCGGGGCAGCGGAACCGGTACAATGTGGTATGTACATCGAATGGATCGAGACGAGTAAACGGGGCGACTAGCGAACCGAACTGGACGGGGGGCGGGGGAGGGGAAATCGAGCTAATTGAACGCCTAGAGGGAAAAAACAGACAGTAAGACCGATATCACGCATTCGTATCATCCCGCAATAGAAATAGAGAGACAGCGCGACAGGGGGGAAATCATGAGGGCCTGACGAGTATGAAGAATTCAGTGATAACCGGGCGAATTTTCAATTTGTTGCTAGACACGGGAGAAGCCCCCAGAATCGGCGAAAAAAGCCTAAGAAACCGCAGTAAAAGGCACTACTTACAAGGCGCCCACATCACAGATGCGAAAAGAGTAGAGGGGATGGGTATTAAATGAATATACACAAACAGCAAAATATAGATATTCGCACGGAAGCCCTGGAACGGGGGAACTACTCTTCGTAAAGCCAGTCGTAAAATGGAAGTGCAGGGGTGGCACTTTAGTTGAGGTTGGCCGGCACCGGGTTGTCGGGCACGATTGAAGTGAAGAAGGCGGTGATGAAGGAGTAGGCAGTCGAGAGGACGATTTGGCCGGTGGTGGGCTGGTCGACGGGGATCGGCACAGGCTCGGGACCCTCATCCGCCTATAAAAAGAAAGATTATTATCAGTGTCATAGCAAAAAAAACAGCTCTAATCAAATCCAAGAAACAAGAAAAAGCCGATAGCACTTTTCAGTGGTTTTCATATCTATAAAAATCATACAAAACTTTTATGAATCATTTTTGAGCTTTTTGGCCAATCTTCGTAGCATTTTTGACCAAAAGTGCATAGAATAGCAATTCTGGCGTAAAATTCTATTACAAACAACCTAGATTTCATTATTGGACCACACGAGACTCGGGGGGAAGTAGCCCGCCGCCCCCGGTTAAAAGAGAAGCACCGAAAAAAAGCGTTTAAAAACCAACCGTCGGCTCTCCGGCGTTGTTATTCGTGACGTTGCTGGGCGGCGGGGGCGGGCTAGCAGCCGCGGCGGCGGCAAGGCGATCCCGACGTAGCTTCATAAAGTAGATGAACAGTCCCATGCAGAACACGACGAGGAAGCGCTCGATCGACGAGTACAGCCAGACCTGGAAGAATGGGCGTTAAAATATATAGAAAAACAATAGAAAATCATTTTCATCGCAAACAAAATAGAGAAACGAAGCGCAAGGTTCAAAAGCTTACCACCATCACGAAGAGGCCGATCCGGAAGGTGCGGTACATCAGATCGAGCAGGTCAACGCCATGTCCCTCTTCGTCAACCTAAAAAAAGTTCTTTAGGTGTTTTTTGATGATACGAAATTTGCCTATAAAAACACCAATTCCCCTACCATCAATGGTTGAGCCGGGGCCGCCGCGTCGTTCTGCGGCATCATCATCTCGGGCTGCGGGTTGACGTTGGCGAAGGTGGGCATCTGCTGCGTGAATTGCGGGGTGGCCACCATCGCCGGGTTCGCCATCCCGTAGGCCGACGACATGTACTGCATGTAACTAAAAGAGCATTAAACGACTAAAAATGATTTTTTATATAATTTCAATCAAAAACTATTATAAAGCCGCCTCAAACTTAAACGTTAAAAACCGACTTATTGAAGCACATCTGCTGGTAGGCCTGCCAGGCCTGCATGTACTCCTGGGGGTTTGTCGGTTGGGTGAAGCCGTAGGCTTGTTGAGGGGCGGCTGGCTGGCTGGTCGGAGGCGATGAAGGCGTCGATGGGGTTGGGTTGGCCGTGCTAAAAAAAGAAGTGTTTATACGACTTCATAACTTAAAATTAGTGCGAAATCGACTAGATAAAAAGTTAGTTAAACTAGTGAAAAGGATACAATGTCTTTAAAAAGCGACATAAATATACAGCCAATTTCGTACAAAATAGACTAGAAAAAGCATTTAAAATGCCGGTCAATGCCGGTGCCACAAAACGCACCTCCTTTGCCGAACTTCCGGTGCGGCTTGCTGGTTCATCGGGCAGACCAGGTGGAATACGGGCTGATGGTCGAAATGCTGGCTTCGGGCCAGCACCTCCTCCATCGTCTGCTCGTCCTTCAGGCATTTCCCGCCGTAAATCAGCCGCTGCGTAGCGACCGCCTAAAAATGTGTATAAAAAACGCTTCAACTACTAACAATAATCAAAAACCAATATAACAATTGCTACTTCTCAAGAATCAAAAACCAACCGGCTTGAGCGTGCAAACTGCGTACAGATGCTCCTTCAACTGCTTGACCGTCCAGTCCGTCGGGCAGTCGACCGGAATGTCGGCGCCCGTCTGGATGGCGCAGCGGACGATGATGCCCACGTTTTCCGTCATTTTACCTGAAAAAAGGCCATTTTACATGTCCAAACTGAGGCGTCAAAAAATGAAAAAAACCGTCATGCTTAGGAAATTTCCGGAAGAAGGTGACCCGATCAAAAAACGGTGCTATCGGCCCGCCGACCAGAACAGGTCCTGTGATATGGGGGAAGCCCGATCGAAAATCGATGCCAGGGGCTCGGGAGGAGAAGCTGCCGAATTTTAATGGGGTAAAGAAAAAGGGGTTATGAAATTTTGTCACAAGCTTTATTGAAAAAAAAAACTTTGGTGAAAATGGCAAAAACGGCTAGAGTGATGAAATAAGCGCCGGATCAACGAGATCAAGGGGTTCCGAGCGTTTAAGAAAAATGTAAAAACGGCTAGGGTGATGAAATAGCGCGGGTTCGACGAGATCAAGCGGTTCAAAGAGTCTAAAAGAAAGTGAATTCTCCAATTTCCGGGTTCGACAAATAACAAGAATAGAAATAAACGATCAAGCTTGATCGGAAAAACTCAAAATCAAGTCGCGAAGTTCGATAGAATCGGAAAAGCTTTAAATTAGCTGGAAGTCCACATTTTCAGTGAAGAATCTCTATTAGAGACAGCATGGATCTGGTTCAGGGAGGTGAAAACGAGGCGCCCTGTGCCGAATGGGGAGAGACAAAGCCAGCGAAAGAACAAAGGGACAAGATTTTTAGTTCCGGGGGAGCCGAGCAATTATGAAACTTTCAAGTAACGATTAAAAAGTATTATTACAAGATAAGGTGCCACTAGACAGAATCGCTCTTTCGGGCTGCCGAACCCTGCCGTGTGGTCCGGTTGGTCTTCGCATTGCCCGGCGGTGAGGAAAAGCTCTCTGTGAAGAACGAGTCTTTGAGGATCGATCTCCCCTTTTTGACAGTCCACCTCTGCGCCCTCCACCCGTATACCTCACTCTCACCCATCTCTCGCCGTCTCTACTCTCCATCCCCTCGCCGCTCTCTCGCCACCCCCCGATTCCACTCTGAACAGCTGACGTCGCGGGATGGCGCGTCGCGGCTTTATGCGTCGTCAGCCAATCGGGGTTCTGCCACGAACGCGCGCACACCTTTCCGAATTTTCTCTTTTGCACGTCGCCCTCCACGGCGTCAACGGCCTAAGGGCGCGTGTAACTTGGTAAATTGGTTGTAAAAATGTTTGTAAAATGAGCGTTCTTGCTGGCAGGTGAAAGTCGATCTGAAAAACGAGTTCCCGATACCTACCCCAGCGCTTCCCTTCTTTTTATCGCTTTAGAAACTCTTTTCCTTGACAAACGTTCTTTCGCTTTTCAAAAGCGGGCGGATTCCTCAAATTCTAAGCTTGTTTTCTTATAAAATGACGGTTCTTGATGACGAACGATTGTTGCGCTGCTCTGAAAAACGAGCTTGCGATGGCTACACCAGCGCTTCCCTTCGATTTCTCGCGTTTCGAACGCTATTTTCCGTGAAAAATGTTCAAAATTCTTGTGATTCCTGGTCATAGAAAGCTATTTCTGGTTGAAAAACGTTCTATACCTCCTTTCAAATGCTGGGTTACCTATCACATCGCTTTCGTTCTCTAGACCGAAATAATGGTTATCTGAAAAACGCACTTTATCACCCACCCCAGCTTTCTTTCTTTCCTTCTTTTTCCTTGCAACGGGTTCGATCAAGCCTGCTTCAAAAACCGATATAGCTAACTTTGAATTATGTGTTGTTTTGTTTTCCTTGTCCTTTTCGTTTTCTTTTTTCCTTTTTTTTGCCCGCGCAACCAATCCTTTTCCAGATGGCCGACAGTATATCTGGGTGGTTTCAAACCATCCCCCTCATCACGCGATACTGGTTCGGCGCCTCGATCGTCGTGCCGCTGCTCGGAAGATTTGGGCTGATCTCGGCGAAGTTCTGCTATCTATCATGGGAGCTCGTGTTTTATAAATTCCAAGTGAGCCTTTTGCTTTTTCTATGTATTTTGGCTTTCTAACTAGTGTATTGTCTCTTTCCAGTTCTGGCGGCCGTTCACTGCATTGATCTTCTACCCCGTAACACCGCAATCCGGATTCCACTGGCTGATGATGCTCTTCTTCATGTACAACTACTCGAAAAACCTGGAGAGTGAGGTCTTCGATGGCCGGCCCGCCGACTACTTCTATCTGCTGTTCTTCAACTGGGCGGTCGCAACGGTGAGCACTGATCTAGTAGTTTTGAACTTTTTTCTAGATCTTGTGTATGGCGCTGGAAGTCGGGTTTTTGCTGGACGTGATGGTGCTCTCCGTGCTCTACATTTGGTGCCAGTTGAACAAGGACAAGATCGTCTCTTTCTGGTTCGGCATGCAATTCAAGGTATTTTTTTTCGGCATTTTCTTATAGTGGTAGAAATTTTCTGGATTATCGTGGTGCCTTGACTATAACTACTTTTTAGGCTGTCTACCTGCCCTGGGTGCTCTGCGCCTTCAACGCTGTGCTACGAGGCGGCGGCTTGCACGAATTGATCGGGATCTTCATCGGGCACTCGTACTACTTCCTGGCCATCGCCTACCCACAAGAGCACGGCGGCTACTCGTTCCTGGAGACGCCCAGCTTCCTCTACAACTTGCTGCCGAATCAACGGACCGGCGTGCGCAACATCTTCGGCACTGCAGCGGACCGTCGTGATCAAGCCGAAGCACGACCACAGGCCCCCCGCGGACATGACTGGGGTATGGGCCGCCCTCTTGGACAGTAATTTATACCCCCCTTTTCTCTCCATTCGGATTGTGATCGTGATCTGAGATATGGGTCCAAATGTAATTGCCTTTCGCATATTTCCCAGGCCGTTTTTAATTTATGTCAAGTCTCCAAAGAATTACGGTTCATATATTTTAATTTTTTTTGGGTGTACATAATGATGCGTCTTGCTTTGCTTGCCAGTAATAAAGTTTTTTTTGATTAATTTGGTCTTTTTCACGAGAACAAGTTTGATGCTTTTGCTATCTTCGCAATCTGGAGCTACTTGTTGATCATTTATCGCGTTTGGCCCGCGTCATTATGCGATTTTAGGTAAACATGCAGAACGACGCCGGAGAGGTTGTTGAGCTCTACGTTCCGCGCAAGTGGTAAACTTTCTATCTAATTTTATATATTCCTTTTTTAGCTCGTCTTCGGGCCGCATCATCGCCGCCAACGACCACGCTTCGATCCAGATGGACTTTGTCGACGTCGACCCCGAAAGTGGCCGTATGATCCCCGGAAAGGTAAGGATTTGCGAATTTTCGTGGTGCTACGGAGTGCTGATTGCGAAGTTGTGCAAAAAGCTAATTTTTGTTTTTAGGTCACCCGCTACACGATTGCCGGCAGCATCCGACGAATGGGCGAAGCCGACGACTGCCTCCTGCGACTGGCCAAGAGGGACGGCATCATCCCCGCGGATCATTAAATCTTCGTTGTTCGTTTATTTTTGTTATGTTTTTGAATGAATTTTCAATTCACGCGCCAGGGATATCACGAGACACGTTAGGAAATTTTTCAGGAACGATTTGCGGATTCAGTAGTTACAATTTATGTTGTCAAACCCGGGCCAGAAGTAGCAGAAATCGCCGACAAGGGTGAAGCCTTTTGCAGCCAGGCCTTCGGTGCTGTTGCGTACGACGTAGTGGCGATCTAAATTTCGTTGACGTGTTAGATCGTTGTGGCCAGATACTCATGCGGGTCATGAATTCGGAAAGGGCGCGCTGTTTTCGGGAATTCGGCTAGGCGCAAACATTAGGTGCCAACGATAAATAGAGGCGGATATTGTGTTCCTAGGCGTTCCTTGTTGATAAATATGGGGGCAAATCAAAGGTTCTTCAAACAACTCAACTCTCGAGATCTAAGAAAAAACAAACCACTCCCACGTTTCCATTCTTGGACCAATTGCGTCGCGCCACATTCGCCGTACGTCGCGCCACAGTACCCGATTGCGGTTGCGTAGTCGGTTTTCAGAAGGCGGCCTCCTGAAGTGATTGATTGTTTTTGATGTTTTTAGCTTACCGTCTTTCGACACGCCGAAAGCGACGAGTTTGCAGAATGTCGGGCTGGTCGACGCATAGCAAATTCCTCTAAAAGCCGTTTCAAGCGGCTACTTTAGAATATTTTTTTTCGATCGATTCATTCCAATCCGTTTGTCTTACGAGTTTTCCGGGGTCTTTCCGGAAATCGCTGGTGTCCAGCAGTGGCGTTTATTGTCGGGGAACCAGTACCGGTAGAGTCGTTTGAGGCTCGGGGCGATGTCTTTGAAATTGTTAATCTTTTTTCACTGAATCAACCTATGCACTGGTTGGCCTTTAATTTGATTGCACCCTTCGTCGTCAGCGCTGTATTCCCGGGCTTCGACTCGGTTTCAATGGAGTAGCATTGGCCGGTGAGGAGCTCGACTCCTGAACAAAAGAAGCGATTTTGAGGCTCATGTTCTGCTCTTTCTTAACCCGTCTTTTCTTTTAGGGTAGCGAAGTATCCTGATCAGCCCTGTCCCTTTAAAGTAGCGATGTTAACGATGGCTCTGGACTATTAACTAGGGGGAAAAGGAAATTCGCAAAATTTTGCACATTTTATGGCGTTTTTAAAAAGTTTTCTTTCTTACCAAAAGACGTCATCAAAGTGTGAAATTTTTGACCAATGAGAAAGTTTTCCTAATTATTTAGGGACTTTCTACCCTCCAATGACGTTTTTTACGGGGTTGCTTACAAAAAAATCATGAAAAAAAGGTTTAGGAAATTGAAAACTTTGAAATTTCTGACCAATTTGATAAATTTTTCCAACATTTTGAACATTTTTAGTGAACCGTCTCTACCCCAAAAAGGCGTAAAAAGTTAGATTAAACACTGGTTCATTATATTGATAATAGGGGGATGGGTCCAGGTTAAGTTTCCACCCCCGCTAACGCGCCAGCACCCCCGCTAACGAACCAGAACCTCAACCATCACCCATTCGTGCACCCTATTCGACCGCTACAGATTTCATTTGGCATCATCATACCCCTTCACACCCCCGTGCAATACCCGGCCGAACGTGTGCCCTATGGGGGTGAAAATTGAGGGGGCAGCCAGCCTGCCTATCCGTCATCCACCCGACCCCCATTGTGCCCGATCACCAACTCATCTCTTTATCATAGCGGGGCCCGCGGCGGGGAACCGTTCCTCCGTTTTTATTATTGTTCTCTCTTTGGGGTCGAGCGCCCGCCAGCCGGCTGCCGGTAACTTACAGGGCTGAAGCCCGCAACTTTATAATAAAAAATTGATGCGTCGGGCGAAATAGAATCCGTGTTCTGTGATATTTTAAGCATCTTCGTTTTGAGCTGCTTTTTATTTTTCTGTAATTTCGCGGGTTCCTTTTCTGTACTAATCACGAAGGTGGAGCGCGTTTTCTAACCTGCCGTCCTTTTCGATTTAGACTTAGAAATTTTATCGATTTTCGTTTCTTTGTTTTAGCTTCTTTTTTGTGTAATTTTGCGGTTCCGTTTCTGTACTCATCACGAAACCGGAACGTCTTCTAAACAGCCGTGAAAATACCGTAGCTACCGTATACGACTTCGCCATCGAGCGTCCTTTTAATCCGATCGTTTCGATTTTCTCCCTTTTTGGTGGTTTGGCTTCTTCTTTCACCGCAAACGCATGCGAAGTATTTTGCCGCTATATCTTTGAAATTCAAGTGCGCCATGAATTTTCATTTTTTTCAACCGGAACTTTGATCCTGCCGAAAACCTATATTTCTTGGAGACCAGGCATCTCTTCTTATTTTTTTCATTTGATGTCTTTTTCTATGCCTTTTCTTTTTTTATGACGTTCTCCTCTTTATCTACACTTTTCAGGTATGGCGTGGGCTTTGGCGGTGGCGACGGCCTTGTTGTGCGCGAGCGCCGTGCACGCGGATGATGAGCGGCCATTGAGGGTGGCCGTCGTCGGCGAGGGCGTCATCGGCACCTCGACTGCGTTTGCCATCAAGTCTCTCGACCCGGAAGCGGACATCACGGTATTTCATTTATATTTTTCAGGTTGATTTTCTTTAGGTTTACCATGACAAGGACTTCAACGACATCCTATCGAAGGGCATCGCCGGGCTGTTCCGCATCGACGACGGCACGCCGATCAACATGATCTACGGCCGCGACACGTTCGACCGCCTCGCCTACCTGTGGCGCACCGTCGGTGGCCACAGCGGCGTCCAGATGCTCTCGGGACACATCCTCAGCCAAGATCGCTCCAAGCTCGACTCGCAGGTTTGTGTCTTTTGCTTTTCTTTGATTTTCTTTTTAGTGGCATAACTATGGCGACATCGTCTACAACTACCACAACCTGACACGCCGCGAGATGCAGAGCCAGTTCAACATCGAGAGCTTGGACACGTACGAAGGCATCCACTACACCGCTTACACCTCGGAGGGAGCCAGGTATGTTTTTCTATCATATTATTTTATTCGTTGTTCCTAGATATGTGCCATGGATGAAGAAGCAGCTCCTCGAGGTCTACGACGTCAAATACATCAAGGAATTCATCTCGGACCTGGAGGAGGTAAACCGTGCGATGGTTCCCATTTGAACTTGGATGTTTAGTTAGCCAGCCGTGGCTACGATGTCGTCGTCAACTGTGGCGGGCTCGCCGGCGGGAAGCTGGCCGGGGACGGCGATGAGGTGAATATGTTCCCGATCCGCGGGATGCTTCTCAAGACAAAGGCCACCTGGCAGAAGCACTTCCTCTACCGCGACTTCCTCACCTTCACCATCCCCGTGTAAGTTTGGTTTTTGTCTTGCTATTTTCGGCGTGTTTCAGTTATAATTTTCTTTTTTTAGCATTGACGCCGTGTACGTCGGCACCGTGAAAGCCGAGCACAACGACTCGCTCGTCCTCGACCAAGCCACCGTCAATCTCATCTGGAAGAGCTACCTCGAGCTGCAGCCGGCTTTCATGGTACTTTATCCTTTTTTGCAAGATTTACATTTCCGCTTTAGGAAGAGGAAGTCATCGACACGTTCGTCGGGCTTCGGCCGGCGCGCGTGGGCGGTGTTCGAGTCGAGCGCGACGATCGCATCTCCAAGACCGGCGCCAACTTCACGGTCGTCCACAACTACGGCCACTCGGGCAACGGCTTCACCCTTGGCTGGGGATCAGCCATGCACGCCGCGAAGTTGGTGCTCAATCGGGACGTCAGCGAATACATCAAGGCCAAATCGCAGGTAAACTCTTTAGCACGTTGCTTTATCTTTTGCTTTAGTCTAAAGTCTCCAACTCGGTGGAAGATCTGCTGGAGAAGTAACGACATCATCTACCTACTAAATATTCCCGATTTTTTTTCTGTGCATATTGTCGTGTGATTGTGATTTGCAATATTGTGATTGCCGCAGGATTTGACTGTAATTTGCACTTTGTCACATTTTTTGCCGAATAAATGGCTTATGACTTGAACAAGCTGAGAAAGAGCACGGTAATAGCAACCACGCGCGCATCGGTATTGCACTCGCAAAAGCAGGAAGTGAGCATTGAACATACCAAGACATTCTGCCACGGTTGCGCATTCCCACAAGCAGGTTGCTGGGTTTAGGGCTTTCGAGCGATAGTAAATCCAGGGGACGTCAGTTAGAGCCTGGAGAAGAATAATGAGGCTTCTGATTGTGAGGCGGAAGCGTTTACCTTTCCGTTTGTCGTTCCATAACATCGCAAAAGTGGCTCACAACGACATTGAGCTACGATTTTATGAAAAAGGAATAGAAAGTATACGAGGATGGGCATGTTTCTTTTGGTATGGGATGACACAGATAGGGGCGTGCGGTCATACAGCTGCGACCCGAATTGCCCATACTTGTTTTAATGATAGCCTGGGGCGAGGGATACCTAGCGAAACTAGCGTTGAAATTATACTGTTGTCCGCAAATCACTTTCCTGTTTCTAATTCTATAATATGCGCTCGTTTTAACGTTTTTTACAGATTCGATGGCAGAAACGCTCCGGGATCAACTCCTCAGCGCCGCCGAAGACATGCACGCGTTAGTGAAACAGGTATTGAGTCAATTTCGACGACGATATTTTTTAGGTTCGTGCGGCACTGCCGAACTTTCAACAGAAGGGCGCCAAGCTGGAGCTGCCCAAGACGTTCAACGATGAGTGCGAGGAAACGATGAAAGAATTGACGACGATGCTCGAGACTGGTAAACCTCGTTTTTATCTGCCTTCAAACGTAATTTAGTTGAAAGACAACAGGAGCAAACGGCCCTTATCGAGCAATTGGAGCAGCTGGTAGACGAACGGAATCAGGTAACTTTATTAAAAATTAGTAAAATTGGCTCTAGATCATCTTCTCCGTCGAGGATCAGCTGAGAAGGGCGCAAGACAACCTCCACGAAAGCGTATTCCAGGTAAAGCTAAGCTTCTTGTTTGACATCATCGTAATCTTTCTAGGGAAAGTGCTTTCTGGAGAAGCTGGCAGTAGCGCGGACGAAGGGAGTGCTGTCAGAAGAGGTAAATGAAACTGTTTGATCTGATCAAGTTTTTTTAGGCTATTGAATTCAGCGCCAGACTCGCAAAAAGCCACTCCCTGGCGGCGCCTTCTACATGGAATGCAGGTTTGGCTTTATAGCAATCTCTAGAACTGGTTCTTCGCATTATCGGGGGCGGGGGCGGACATAACTTTTTTCGTAAGCTCCAAGTTGGCAATAAAGGATAGCGGAAGTGTTCTAAACAGCTTTTTACTAATCATAAGCGTAGAAACGTTACAAACTTTCATTACAAAACACCGAAAATACGGATTTTGCGCCTGATGACCGATTTTTGGCGAAAATTCTGCCTTAAATTTTTTGTATAGTTCTTCTAGTTGAAGTTTGGTCTTAATTCTCTAAAAATTCTAATATAGCATTTCCTATTACCTTGCTAGGCATTTCTAGGCTTCTGAACCCCCCTCCGCCCGATAATGCGAAAGAACCTTATGACTGTATTCTAAAAACCTCGAAATTTGTCTAAGAAATCTTACTTCCGCTTTCCAGGTGACTCTTCTCGTCCGTTCCCCAGCCAGCGTGAGATCTCCAGCGGAATTTTCGGGAAATCGTGAAGCAGGTTGATTGACGGCATTTTTTTGTTTGGCTATAAATTGTTTTGGCAAAATGGTTTTCGTTTCTGATTCTTATCCAAGCGGGAATTCCGGTTGTTTCTTGAGATCGCGTCTCCGTTACTTGATGGGGGCCCTAGACTAGTACTGTTTCTCTGCAAATCTTTATCTAATCTATCGGACCCCTGTGCATTTTTTTGAAAACCTTCGAAAACAGGGCTTGTTTCCAGCCCGGTTGGCAGCAAGCCCCCCAGTGATCCCGGTGTTCCTCTCATTCACCTCTGCCCTCCCCGTGCTCCATCTTGTTTTCGCAACGCGCCCAATTTGCCTGCCCTCCTTTGCGCCGTTCTCTAGCCCGCTTTTGCATCGGTCGTCTCTAGCCCTCGCTCATTGTCTCGGGGTTGAAATCTTTAAAAGCGGCATTCCCAGTTGCCGGTCCACGCTTTTTGCACGCTATCTGGGGCTGTTTTCAAGATCTTTGGTGCTCAATTTTAGAGGAAGTGGGTTGTGCTAGGGTTTTTTTTTGTTGGACTTTGCTTTAGGTTTTCTAGCTTTCTGCTCCTTTGGCCTCCATGAGTTTTCTGACTTTACATTAGCCAATGCTTACAACTTTAGATACCGAGATACTTCAATGACAATCTTGTTTCAAGTTTAACCAGCTACGTTCCAGTTTCAGGTTACGACGCCAGGTTTTGCTTAATTTTCGTCTCATATCCTTGCTTTGAAATATTTCCGGGATTACTCGCTTTACAAGTACCTTGTTTCCAGAGACTAGAAAGTTTAGTCTGGATTTGTCAGGGCTTTATCGCTATTTCGGACTAGTTTTTATCGACAAAGCCTTCTTCACTGTATTTTAGGCTCTGGTTCCCCTGCGCTTTCAAAATCTTAATCTAGATCGCGTCGCAGATTTCAGGGCCTGGGCTCTAAACGAGGAATCGCTTGCTTCCGACCGCCCATTTAGACCAGAGTTTCCGCTTCATGTTTAACGTTTTGGAATAGTTATTTTGACTTTCAGGTAGCCAAGTTCTTCCGTTTAGATACCCAACGGAAACGGGAAGTTTAAAAGTATGGATTTTCCAGCGCTTCATTTCTGTTCCGGCCTTGCTCTTAAATAAAAAATTGTTGAGCTGATTTTTGTTTATTTAGTAAAGGCTATTTTCTTAGCTAGAAAGTTTCTAGTAAAAAATCTCAATTAGCGTAGCTTTTGATCTGTTCTTCTTACACTACTCGTTACGAAAACTTCTTTAGTTTTTTCTGTCGATCCGGTTTACTTCCGCTTTTAGGGTACACCTTTTTCGCTTGACTGACTTTTAGATAACTTTCGCCTGACTTTTCGATACCCATCATCGCCTGCCCTCAATTCCACGAGTCCTCTGAAACTTCCAGGCTCAAATAAACACGAAATCACCTGTTTCCGCCCTTTGCGTTCAGTCTGGCCGCCGCTGACACACTCACAGTGCTATCGCACTTGTTTTTCAGGTGCACTTCTATAGGCAGTTGGCTGTCCGGGTGTTGAGCTGTTTACTTGGCACACTCCAATGCCATTTATTACATCTACTTCTCCCATAAACGTTATCCGCGCGTAGAACTCAGCCAGACCCGCGCGTTCTTCGGCCTCCATCTATTTTCGGGGGTTCATTGGGGGATGCGCCGGCTTTTTTTTTGCGCACGCCGGGGTTGCCGGGCTGTTTTCGTTGATTTGCTGGCTGCAAATCGCAAATTGTCGTTTCCAGGCTCGGCTTACCCTCATTAATCGATGGTCCTTTTGTTTTTAGCGTTATTGTAGTTCATTAGTTGATGTAAACCAAAAAATTCCAGCACTAGCTTCTGAGGTTCTTTCGTTTCCGGGGGATCCAAGTTTTTCTGTCGGCTAAGATCTGCTCCAACATGTTCTGTTCTGCTTCTATCATCCTTTTGTTTTGTTAGTTTTGCTTTTAGTTAGTTAGTGGTTGTAAACAAAAAAGCACTAGCTTCTGGTTCTTTCGCATTACCGGGGGGGGATCGAATTTTTCTATAAGGATCTGATTTTACTATGAATAGAGCAAGTGTTTCTAACCAGTTTTTACTATTTTTAAAGTAGGAACTTCACAATTTTTGAAAAACACTAAAAACTTAGATTTTTCGATTAAAAGGGTCGATTTAGACTAAAATTTCAACTTCAAAATGTTTTGATTGTTTTTATATGCCTTTTGTGCTTTTGCTTTTGCTCTGCTAAGACTATCAAAACACTTCCTATTATGTTGTTAGACATTACTGGACTAGGAAAAAAACGTTGTTTTTCCCCGAAGATAGCTTCAATTTAGTAAGCTCAGAGCGGAGAAGAAGCGTTACTTGTGGCGCGGCGAGGCAACCGGAATTCCAAACTTCAGGAGAAGCTTTGAAAGACCAAGCCAACTCCGAAGAATTTTGAAGGCAAAAGAAGGCCACTTGAGCGCAAAGCAACACCGAAACGGTGTGGCTTGGACCCCGCGACTTACGCCAAGTTCGAAGTCGTTTCAAGCTTGTGAAGCTTGAAAACGAAGCTTTCGAAGCTTCTGAAGCCCAGAGGCTTGGCGAATGCACACCCCCGAAAAGGGTTACCAAAAACCCGGGATTGCGGCACAGAATCCGGGAGCCAAAAATTTGATAATTCCGAAAATTCTGAGCATTCCGTGCTTAACGTCGCCCGGCTACTCGGAGATGAACAGGCTTTTGAGGGCGAGTTCATGGTCCATGTGATATTGACCGGTCTAGTAGAACACTAGCCGGCCATTTACACACTCTCCTTGTTCACAAGGAAGTGGCAGTGGGCTGCACGTGGCCAACGGGACGGTGGAGGACGTCTCCTGACACCGACAAATTCCAGCGAATTTCCTTGTGCCTATGTGTCCAGGGGGTGGTCCAGGTGGGGGGCGAGTGGGGGGGAAGGCAGAGGGGGTTGCCGTTGCCCCCATTTTTTAGGCAATTTTTGGTCTAATTCCGCGTACGGTTAATTAATAATAATGTCTTAGTTATTTTATAAAACTAGTTTATTCTTCGTAGGCTGATTCAATCGATTTTAACACCTCTTTTTTGGGGCCTAGCCCTAAAACCTCGTCTTAAAAATCGTGTTAAAATGGTTTTCTGATTTATTTTATTTTCGTTCTATCAACCTTTCCTCTTTTCAGCGCGTAATCGATTAGGCTCACTTTCAAGGGACGGGTAATGCCTTTAGGGTTTTTCTTTTTACCAGTTTCCGCGACGCGCGTTCTAGTTTTCTTGCGCGATCCTTTAATTCCACTTTTTTGAAACTCCAATCTATTTGCTCAGACTTGGCGTCATTTCCTATTTCGACGGGAGTGCGAGAAGGGCATTGATAAATCGCCCTCATGTGTGTGTTATTCGCTCAAGAACGCCCGATTGGGGGCGGCTCTTTTGACCTTTTTCAGTAGCGGGGGGGGGAGAGAAAAATATTGCGGATGTCTTCCCGGTTTCCTCGTTTTCTCCAGGGTTTCGGGAGTTATCCAGGTTTTTTTTTGTTCGATTAAATTTAATTTTCTCTTTTTTCTAAATTTTAAGGCCTTTTCAAACACCTTAGTTTGTTATCACAACGTGCCTTTTTAGCCTTTACCTTTTTTCATTGCACTCTAAATTTTTTCATAACATTCTATTTTCTATTTTCCATAGTTTTGTATCGACGATTCATATTAGACGTTTTAAATCGATTAAAGAAGCCTCCAAATAGCTAAGGGTAAGCGTTAGATTAGATGAATAATTGCTTAAAAATGGACCGCCAGGCTTCAACGGCTGCCTCCCCCCAATGCCCCCGACCCGCGCCCCACCTGGCCCACCCCCTGGTCACATAGGCCCAAGGAAATTCGCTTGAATTCGTCGGTGTCAGGAGACGTCCTCCACCGTCCCGTTGGCCACGTGCAGCCCACTGCCACTTCCTTGTGAACAAGGAGAGTGTGTAAATGGCCGGCTAGTGTACTACTAGACCAGTCAATATATCATGGATCTTGAACTCGCCCTCAAAAGCCTGTTCATCTCCGAGTAGCCGGGCGACGTTAAGCACGGAATGCTCAGAATTTTCGGAATTATCAAATTTTTGGCTCCCGGATTCTGTGCCGCAATCCCGGGTTTTTGGTAACCCTTTTCGGGGGTGTGCATTCGCCAAGCCTCTGGGCTTCAGAAGCTTCGAAAACTTCGTTTTTCAGCTCGAGATGCTGCTTTGAATTTATAGATCTTTTAGCTTTTTTCAATAGATTATAACTTACACTTTTTCCTATAAGGCTAGAAAAGCCTAGTAACGTGATAGTATGCGTTACAATATTATTTTTGCCATAATTCAACTATACGAGCTATCGGAAAGTCAAATTTTTCATGCAAAGGCACAATTCCAGCGCCCAAGGCCCGCGAAGCGGGTTTTGGGCGCTGGTTTAACTATATTTAAATTGTAAAAACAATCGTCGCGAATTTTTGTAAATTTGTAAAGTTTTTACGTTGAGACGAGAAAAACAAGTTTGAAACACTTCATCTATGTTTACTAGTAAAATTAGATCCATAAGAAAAAATTACCCCCCCCCCCCCGATAATGACAAAGAACCAACTCTTTCATTTTTTCTTTTCCTCCTTCTTCCTTCTCCTTCTAGTAGATTTTACTGGTCCAAATTGTATGTTTTCACTACCTTCTTTGTTTTCTATTTTTATAAAAATACAAATTCTATTTTTTTTCAGCCACCCGTTTAACGTACTCATCCAACGATGGAAGCCCTGCCGAACGAGCTGAAGATCGCCATCCTCGAACGCGTGCAACCCGACGATCTGCGCAAGTTCACCCTGCTCAACAAGGCATGGCGCCAGCTCTTCAAGAAGAACCGCAGACATTTCAGGTACGGGTTTTTTTTTGGTGTTTTACTTTTTAAAAGCGTAGTACGTTTAGTACGTTTTTCCAGTAGAAAACTAAATTGTTGTTATAATTAGCTAGCTAATATAGAGCTCAAGCTAAGCTGGCTGAACCTACGCTGGTTCTTTCGCATTATCGGGGGGGAGGTAATGAAATTTTCTTTGACAATCCGGAAATGTCTCGGAACAGAATAGTAAGTTTTTAATAGCGTCTTTTTGGCAAATTTTTGCTATATTTTAAGTTGAAAAATCGATAACCTATAGAAAACGATAAAAAAATTGAACAAAAACCGGCAATTTTTTATCGAAAAATCGATATTTTTTCGAGTTCCAAAGTTTATCAAAAGTTGTAACGTTTTTTTAGCAATATCAAAAAATCTTAGAAACCCTTCATCGATTTATATGCAAAAAAATTGGCGCCTTAGAAATAAAGCGCCCCCCCGATAATGCGAAAGAACCGATGCAGCTAACAATCCCATGTAAGCCTAACTATTATTTAGCTTAAGTTGGTTAAGAGCTTATTTTTTACATAAGCCCGAAAATCGAAAAATACTAATAAACTTTTTTTAGAAGAGCCGATGCAGAGGAGATTCGCTTCCACGACCTCGGTGACGGCAACATCCAAATTCACATCGTGTTGCCCGGAAATCCAGCGTGGACCGTAGGTTTTCATTATCTGCGCTGAAATTTGTTTTTTTTTAGAAACGGATCGTCTCCAAGACCGTGCCCGCCGCCGAGGCGTTCGACTGCGTCTGGCCCTATACGACGGCGGATTTGAAGGTAGAAGCTTTAGCTTTCAAAAACCCAATTAATTTTTACTTGCAATAAACGGTAATTTATGAAAATAACGGGGTTTTTCCTATTAATCCGTTTCTATAGAGAAATCTAGCCTGTTTTTATAGCCTTTCAAGCAGTTTTATTATTGAAAAAGGTCGACAAAAACAGTAGCAAAATTTTCGAACTTTGGAAAAACTTAATTTTTTTACATTCTTGCCGATGACGATCAACTAAAAAAAGCTATAAAAATACGGGGAAAATGGAAATCAGCTTCCCTTGCTACCCCCCCGTTAAACGAGAAACTCCGACCCTCTAACGTTTCTTTTTCAGGTAAATTCACACTCGAACGCGCTGCGCTCCGTGTTCGAGGAGATGCCCGATTACTGGCTGAAGGATGTGTCGACGGTCAGTTACTTAAACTTGTTAATTTTAATGGGATGGAACCACGCCAAAAATTACGACTTTTTTGGTACAGGAAGATAACCGGAATCGGCACAAGCGCTTTAATTTTGTTTGAAAATTAAAAACACGGCATGCGTCGTCATGACGCGAAATTTTTCGGACTGCCGGTTCTTTAGCATTATTGGGGGGGACTTTTCTTCTTTGTAAAGGAAGTGTCGCTAGATTCGTTTTTTTAGTATTCCTGAACGTAAAACTTAGAAATTTTGATTAAAAAATGCAAAATATATGGAGTTTTCGACAAAAAATAGCCGATTTCGGCCAAAATCTCAACCAGGGTTGTTCACCGATGGACCCGGATCGGCAAGGATCCGGATCGGATCTGGATCCGGATCCGGATCGGATCCGCAGCAGGATCCGGATCCAGATCCAGATCCGGATCCGCTCGGATCCGGATCCAATGCGGATCCGAGGAAAAAGGGGACCGGAAGGAATATTCTCGATTCTGATGCTGATTCGGTCATGTTAATCGCAAAACTACATAGCCCAGAGGCAGAAATGATCTTTGCATCTAAGAATTAGCACTTAACTCGGTTGCATGATCCATTTCCTTGGATCCGGATCGGATCGGATCCGCCCTGGATCTGGATCCGGATCCGGATCCTACGGCGGATCCGGATCCGGATCCGATCCAGATCCAGATCCGGATCCAGTCCGATCCGAAAATGACCAACCCTGATCTCAACTAAAAATTGCTTCTAGTTTTTTTGATCGCTTTCCCACATAAAATATAGGTAAATTTCACTATAAACGCTATTACAACGCTTGCTATTACGTTACTAGGCAGTTCTGGCATCACACTCATTATTGGGAAAAGTTGGCGCCTCCCCCGATAATGCAAAAGAACCGCTCTTATGATTTTGGTTATATTTTTAATTGTTATCGCATTTTTTTGCAGCTGGGCATCTTCGAGAACGAGAGCAACGTCGACTCGCTGGCGATCCTGGGGCGATGCCCGGCCGTCTCTTCGCTCTACATTGATCCCTGCTACTCGGCCATTGATGTCACTTCCATTGCGAGGAAGATGCCCAAGATTGAGGATTTAAAGTATGATGCTCTATAACTTTTCTGTAATTTTTGTTTTTCTAGGCTGCTCTCCTGCAATCGAATCATCACCGCCGACGACACGACGCTCGCTGAAGTGATCGAGAGGAGCCGCAAATCGGAGAATGGGTCAGTTTTTAATTTTAAAGCTTGTTATGCTATCTTGGCCAATTTTCGGTGCTAGACTGTTAGCGGGGGAAGCCAATTTTGCTTAGTAATCCGTGATAACGACGCACAAACCGTTTGTTTTTAGTAATTTGATCAAGAAATTCGATTTTCGGATTTTTTTATTGTAAGATTTAGATTTTATGGCGAAATATAAGTTATTTTTATCGGGTTTTGCGCGGTTTTTAGATATCTGCGCGCGCATCAAAAATTTGAAAATGGTTGAGAAATGTATGCTAAAATTATCAGAAGATTTATTCCCCCGAATTTTCGGTACTGGGCTGTTAGCGGGGGGATCCATTTTTACAGTAATCCTTACGGTACCCTATGACGAAATATAAATTAATTTTTATTGGGTTTTACGCAATTGTTAAATATAAAAAGTCTAGAAATTTGAAAATTAGTCGAAAGAAAATTACTAAAAGTTCATTTTGCCGAATTTCTGGCACTGTACCGTTAGCGGGGGGGGGGCAATTGTTCTTAGGAATCCATAATAACGAAATATAAACAGTTTATTAGAATTTTGTCAAGAATTTCAAATTTTCAGATACTTTAGATGATTAACAGACGTGCAATTATAACGCGAAATCAGAAATTAACTCCCCCCGCTAACAGTACAGTGCCGATATTTAGGTTTATTATTTGATTCGCGGGTTTGGGTTGAAAAACTGAAGCTCCTCGCCGTCATAAAAAGTAATATTTCTTTTTCAGACTGCGCACCTTCTGGGTCGACTCAATTCCGACCGACTTCTCCATGGCTATGGTCCAGCGATTCCTTCTGGTAGTTGAAGCTCCTTCTATTTTATCCTTTTTTTTAGGAAGCCAAGTTCAGCGAGCGGTGCTCAATTCTGTTGGAGAAGATGCGCGGATCTCGGGCCGTCTTCCTCGACTTTATCAATCAGCATTTTGACGACACGGTGCAAAGCGGAAATGCGTACAACTTCAAGGACGCGCGTGGCTATGAATTTTCGCTGATTATTGGATCATTTATCGCGTAGTCGACGCTACTACGGTCTAATATTGTGTAGTTTAATCCTTGGCCGTAGCTGGCAAGCTGATGCTCATTATTCTCATGCTCATGAAGCTCATACGATGTGTTGAATTGTATATACGCGTTATTTAACTTTCAAAGTGTGACCCTCCCCCCCGCATATTTCACTTGTTCTTATCTTGTCATGTTGTCTCTCTCTCTCCCTCCCTCTATCTCTCGCTCTCCCGGAAAGCTCATACTAGAAATACGATATACGGGTTTCGGTCTCGATTGTGATTTTGCAATATTCTTGTATCCATTATTACATTGGTAAAGTTGTTTTGAAGGACGTTTTGAGAAGTACGTTCAGAACAAAGACAAATACACAGAGAATACCTTACAAGACCCGTAAAAAACAGCCAAAATGGTAGCCCACGAAACGACTCTTTGTGCATTCTTTGAGTGTTCTCTGATTTTTCCCCACTCGCCCCCCATCTGGCCCACTGTCAGGACATAAGGGCGGACCCCGACCCCTGGACGCGGTGGTTCGGGCTACGGTAGGTTATGTTGCCGTCAGTCCGCCACCCACGCTAAGCGGATCATTGCCCCGCTGAAGCTCTGCTCATTTGCGGAGCCGAAGCATGGGCAAGTCCTCAGAGTCACGTCACCAATTCTCTTCGGAGAAACGGGACCACCTGATTTCAAAATTGAAGTTTCGGGTTATCCTGAACTTCACTTTTTGAAAATCTATGAATTTCTATTTTCTAACTTTTCTTCTGAAAGTTAAAGTCAGAAGAGGAGTTTAGAATTTAGTAGTTTCGAAATTTTGGATAATATAGTCTTCTGAGACTAATAGAAGAGGAGTACCTTTGATACTATTCTTTTAATAGTATAGTATACTCCTATTCAAAAAGTATCTCAAAATTGCATAGTAGGTCCACCAACCTCCCCGACCACCAACCCTACGTTTTTTGCCGAGGTATAGTTTCAGAGTGGTCCAGACGGTTGGCTAGTCGGAGATGATCAAAGAACACTCAACGACTACTAGCCGTAGCAAGGTAAAGTTTAATTAAAAAACTTGGAACAATTTCCTCGGCTCGGAGCCGCACATCAAAATTTGCAAAATCCGCCATTTTTGGCGAGAGGCAAGGCTGTGTTATAGGGTCGGCGCATTAATGGCGTAGTAGGTCCACCAACCTCCCCGACCACCAACCCTACGTTTTTTGCCGAGGTATAGTTTCAGAGTGGTCCAGACGGTTGGCTAGTCGGAGATGATCAAAGAACACTCAACGACTACTAGCCGTAGCAAGGTAAAGTTTAATTAAAAAAAACTTGGAACAATTTCCTCGGCTCGGAGCCGCACATCAAAATTTGCAAAATCCGCCATTTTTGGCGAGAGGCAAGGCTGTGTTATAGGGTCGGCGCATTAATGGCCTTCCATCCCTTTTTGATAACAAAAAAAATACCAGCCAAGTCAGCCTCAGCAGAAAAGTCGACGACCGAGGTCATCGAGCAGTTCAGCAGAGAGGCTTTTTCCGCGAGGAGAAGCCCCGAAGGTTTTCTCCTTGAGAAAATATTGGCTGTACGGAGCCACCGGGACAGCACGAACGGCATCAACCGATCGACCGACCATTGAGGCAATTCGAGCTTGGCTATCTGCCCTGACAGTGGGCCAGATGGGTGGCGAGTGGGAAAATGCGAAAGTGACAGTCACGTGTGCGGTGCGAGAAACTAGCTAAAAGAACAAGCGAGAAACCTTCACGCCCTTGCCCATCGTCAATGGTCTCTGCTAGATTGCCGTTACCAGCCTCCCCAAAGTGTTTCTGCTAGCTTGCCGGAGCATGATTGCAATTTCCGCAAATGAGCTCTGCTAGCTTACCATAGTTTTAGCGAGAAACCTTCACGCCCCCCGCCTATCCTCAATCGTCTCTGCTAGATTGTCTAGTTTGCCGTTTTTGGGGTGTGAGAGATTGGGGTTTTGGGGTTTGGGGGTTTTGGGGGATGGGGGTAGGGGACGGGGGACGGGGGCCGGGGCCAGCTAAAGCATTGGGACGGTGGGGGGGAGGGGCAATGCAAAAATTGGAGGGAAATTTGCCTTTTTTGGCCACCACGTGTATGGGCCAGGCTTTTTCGTAAGTGCCGCGCCTGTGGCTGCAGCCTTACCAACCGGTTGCTTAGGCATTTGGACTACGTAGAACACGTAGCCAAGCCAGTATTTGACTGTAAAGCCGAAGCTTTCTCTTGGCATTAAGGGGAGCCATCCACCCATTTTCAGGCATTAAGGGGAGCCCTGACACCCATTGGTCAGAAGGTTGGGGTGAACCGACTGACGAATTGAGGTGGAGAGGGCTGGACTATCTGCCCTGACAGTGGGCCAGGTGGGGGGCGAGTGGGAAGTTGCGAAAGTGACAGTCGTGGCCGGTTTAGTTACCCAAGTTTGAGGTTAGGTTTGGTATGTCTTGTTTCATCGAATTTAACGCCTTTTCGAGAGGTTTCTCTGTAGGTGGTTGGGAGGCTAGCAGTGATTCTTTCGGAACTGTCATAGAAAGGCTTAAACTTTGCCAAAAACTATGATAATAGGCTCGTTTAAACGCGGTTTTTTGCAAGTAAAACGCTGGAATTATTTTAGAACTCGTTTTATTTCTTCGATCATCACATTTTGTGGGGGGTTTAATGGGGGGTTCGGGTGGGGGTTTATATAGACAACAAAGTGGTGGATTAAAAGGTATATTTTGTGTGTGGTATATCGGGGAGATGAAGAATCGATTCGGCTATCAATTTTCACAGAGTCGATGATAGATAAGGCAAAATAGGATGTGGGGAGAAAAAGGCACAAGGGCAAAGGAAAAGACACTCAAAAACTTTGGCTAGAATCCGTGAAACTGGGTGGGTGTGGGGAGAGGGTACGGTAGAGGTTGAAAAACGGGAATTTTTCTGACCTCTAATTGTTTTAAGGAAGGCGGAAGCTTTAGAAACTTCGTTTAGGCTTAGGCTTATCCTAGCTTAGGCTTAGGCTTATGCTTAGTTTAAGCTTGGCTTAGCCTCAGCTTTCTTTTCAAAAGTTTTCAAACCTTCCAACCGCCCCAAAAACTACACAAAATTACAACAACGAAACCTGCTACGCTGAGAAAAAGTGGGGTGACAAAAACCGATAAAATCGATAGAGTACGAGACGCACTATGTACACACAAACAATAAGTGAAATTCCCCCGGGGAGGGACGGGTGCCACAGTATATTTCTAGAGGGGTAGAGAAGGTATCGAGTTATTACGGGGGCTTCAATAGTGGTTTTTTGTTGGAAATGAGGATCAATGGGGCCGACGAGAGGAATTGGTTCGCGGCGGCTAAATACTTGTTCATCTACGGGGCGCTGGAAAAACGCAAATCTCGGCCTAGAAACGTCGGATTCGGACAGGCCTAGCTTAGGCTTGGGCTTGGCTTGGACTTGGCTTAGGCTTGGCTTAGCTTAAGCTTATCCTCCGGTCCGACTCCCCTAAACCAAGATACAGTAGCAATTTCCGGAGCGTCCCGTACCAAAAAATCAGGCAAAAATAAGTAAAAATGACAAGTATACGGTAGGGTGGGTGAGGCGATGGGTTTTTCAAGGGGTTGGGCAATATATAGGCTTTCGGTATTGGGGTGAACTGCTTGGAGTCGGGGGGCTGAAAGAAGTGGGGGAGCACCGATTCGAGAAATCCAAAAAGACAAAAATTACAAAATTCGCACGTACAGTAATTTTCCAAAAAAAAGGATATTGCCACTAACCGGACTAAACGGGAAGGGAGGGAGGGGATACTGTAGCCACGCCAGGGTACGCTACGCGACATTGCAACTGACGCCAGGGGAAAGGGCAAAATGACGAATTGAAATACGCGAAAAATTGGGTTTTTGGGCTACCCGATTTTGGTGGGGGGAAGGGTGAAAGGCGGAGGCGGGTAGTAGGTAGTATTTAGGGGGTGTTCAGAGGAGCGTAGCGTAGCCGGAAAGATCTAATTTTTGGATTTATTACAGCAAAATACTTAAATATATATTTGTAAGTTTTAAAAACAAATACTAGACAAACTTTTAGAATTCTAGTTAATAGATTTAAAGCGGCCGGCTACGATCCACACCTCCGAACGTAAATCCGTTTAGAGGAGCGTTGCGTAGCCGGAAAATTTGGAATTTTTTAATCTAAAAATTACGTATTGAATTCACTTAAATCTAATTAAAGGCATCGGTACCTACGCTACACGCCTCTGAACAGCCCGAAAATGTGGGCAACGCAAAAATCAAGACCGGCGAGTTCGGCGAGTTCAAAGAAATGAAAATGTAATACGAGGGGAATGCACGGTTTCTGGAATATCATATGAGGGGCGTGAAACTTGCACGACGTCTTCGGGGCGTTCAGCGTCTTCTGTTGTTTTTGGAAGGGACGGCACGTCACTATGCTTGGTGATCGTAGATGGGCGCCGGGCCGCTGGGTGGATTTTCGATGAGGAAGATGGAGTACATCGACGGGTCATCCTGAAAAACGGGCTTAAATTCGGCCTTCATGGAGTAATTGGTTAAGTCGAAAAAATGTTAGTAAAATAAAGTTTTTTCCCAATTACACGTCGTAAGTGGCTGCAATTTTAACAGAGAGACGATTTTCTAGTGTGTTTTGCTAAATTTTTCGCGTAAATAACCTAATTCTCGATTTTTAGCACTTAAGGTAAAGATGTGCATTTCATGGCGTAATTTCTTACATCTAAAAAATTCCAATCAAGAAGAAAATGCGCCTTTTTTGGGAATTATACGTCGTAATCAAAAGTAAAACCGTAAATATACGATTCACAACGAATATTTGCCTTTTTTAAAAACTGTTGCGCGATTTATATATCTTCCCAATGCCAGATGTTGAAAAACGTCAATTTCGAGCGGTTCAGCCTCAAAATTATCGCTCTAAAAGCTGGATTTTCTTGCGTAGCGGCGCGTAGCGTATGTTAAGTTAATAATCATTCTAAACCCTTAAAATCGCACCGGGCTCGTCTCGACGTCGATGATAAACGTCTCCTCGTTCTCGTAGTGCCGCAACATGTCGTCGTCCATGCGTACCGTAATCCCCTTGGCGCACCGCTTGTAGACGCCGGAGATCTGGAACAGGGTACTGTAGACCGGCAGGGAATATATTTTTATTGTCTCCCTCTCCCTCTCTCTCGTTCTCTCTCTCTCTCTCTCGCTTTCTCTCGCTCTCTATCGCTCCCTTTCTCTCTCTCTCTAAGCCAAAAAATCACAAAAAATCCCTGAAAAAGCACTAACCTTCTCGGCATCGATTTGAAACTTGTTGGAGATGCCGATGACGAGGCCGCTGAGATTGGGCGGGACGATGTGCAGTGGGAGGTAGATGCTCTCTTCTTGCTTCTTCACGTACAACATCACTAAAAATGGGGAAAGTTAGGGATTGCGTAACGATACGCTAGGCCGAGCTCGAGCAGTTGAAACTGCAGCCAACCAAATCAGTTCGCGTGTAGAATTAGGCAAATATAGCCCTCAAGTTCGAGCAGTTCAAGCGCATGCTCACGGCGTCGAACGAATCTCCAAAAACTCACATCGTTCCATCCGTCTCCTGCCGGCTGTCGTCTCGATGTCGAGGTCGTAACCGATCGGCGCGCCGTCGATGAACTTACTGAAAAACAGGGATTAGGCTACGGTAAAAGGCGCGTAATTTAGAAAGTGTGAAACGCGTATGGCCTAAAGGATCCCTGCAGGCTGATCTGCATAAAGAATCTATCTCTGATCGCTGATAAATGGTTTGGCAGAATCCTGGATTTAGCAGAATTCCTCAATAATCCCTGCTAGCCTGCCTCGAATACGATCGGCGATTCCCCAATAATCTCCGCAACCCTGCCGCGCGTACGATTTCTGAGAATTCCTGAATAATCACTGCTAGCCTGTCTACATCATTTTTCCGAATTTAAAATGATCTCAGCTAGCTTGCCGATTCCATTAGAATCACTGCTAGCCTGCCCCAAAAACCAAGTTTCTGCGAATTCCTCAATAATCACTGCTAGCCTCCCCAAATTTTTTCCAAAATGATCTCTGCTAGCTTGCCCTGCCGATGTTTCTTAGACGCCACAAGATTCTCTGCTAGCCTGCCCTGAAAACAAGTTTCTCAGCATTCCTCAATAATCACTGCTAGCCTCTCCAAAATTTTTGCTCAAAAATCATCTCTGCTATCATGCTTACCCGCCTAATCACTTAAAAACTCTGAAAAACTGTTAGAAATCACCAAAATCTTTCGATTTCTTCATCCTACAATGTTAGTGACCTTTAACCGGATATACCGTAACCCAAAAAAATCGTGCCAAAAATATTACGGTATCACGGACCGGTCGTAGTCCTCGGGGGCGATGAAAAAGGCGGCCGGCTTGTCCAGCTCGCGCATGTGGTAGAACTCCGAGCGATCGCACGACTCGTGATATTCTCCATCCGTTTTCTTTCGGCCGGCGAGGGAACCTAAAAATTAAATAAATTTGCATAAAAACATTAAAAAATCGAAATGTTACTTAAACGCGTGATACGGTACATCTTATTTGTTCCCGGAGGTCTCGTAACGTACTTTAAATAATTTGAAAGGTTTAGTTCTGGTTTTAAAGGTGTCTTGAAGGCAAAAATCTATAGAATCTGGAAGCCAAATCGGCTTGAAAATGCTTAAAATTCCCAAAATTCCCATGAATTTAGCATTTTAAAGGTACCCGGAAGGCAAAAATCTATCGAATTTAAACGCTAGAAGAGCCTGAAAAATTCCAGAAATCCATTAAAATTTGCAGGTCGCATTCTTTTACGTTTTAAAGGAGCCTAGAAGACATAAATCAGTAGAATTTCAACACCAAAAACGTTTAAAATCGCCCAAGAAATTCCCAAAATTTGCATAAGAACTTTTTCAACTTTTTAAAGGTACACTTCAGGGAGAAATCCATAGAATTCCAACCCTAAAATGCCACTAAAGACTAGAAATTCGAAAAACTGATTGAAAAATTCAACAGTAAGTTATTTACGGTTTTAAAACCATGGTTACGATACCCCTCGGGACAAATAAAATGACAATTCCGCGTCGCTCCAATTTACACCAATTTACGGAGAGTGGTTAATCGCAAAAAATGTGCGTCATTTGTACAGATACGCAAAATCGTGGAGGTGCCGAAATCTACTGTAAAAATGGCATTAAAATCGTCTAATTTTCAAAGTACTTTTTTAAATCCTTGAAATGGTAAAAATGGCGTTAAAATTATTTAGAAATTTTGTTGAAAAATAAAATTAGTTTTTTTGTTTTGGAAATTAAATTTTTAATTTTAAATCGATATTTAAATTGAAATTAAATAAATAGCGAACCTTGTTGGCCGGCCGGGGAGCTCCCGGCGGCCGCCCACAAACCGTTTGCCTGCACTTGGCCTAAAACATCGAGATACAGCAAGATTTTCAGTTGAATTTAAATCAAAAGGGTGAGTATGGCTGGGATTAACGTATATATTAACTGGGTGCTGGACTGTTACCGGGGGGGGGGCAGCATTTTGATTTTCTCACTCAATAATGGTCCCCCGCTAACAGTACAGCACCACAAAAATTAGCATCTTCAGGGGAAAACGCGAAAAACATTGAGAAAAACGGGGAACCGGCGTGGGCGTGCTGCCGGCGGAAAGAGGACAGTTTTGGAAAGACAGGATAAATTGATAGAAAACTGCGTATAAATTTACAGCCTACAAACTACCGTACACTTTTTGGAACTTAAAAATGGGTTTAATTTTCTAAATTTTTAAATTAAAATTAATGAAAATTAAATTAAAAAATTTTACGGAATTTTCACATTGCATTTTTTTCATTTTTCTACAGTAATTTAAGCTTATTTAAATAAATAGCAACTCCTTGTGGCAAACGGTTCAGCGGGCGGCCGCTTCAGCATTTATTAATTTAATTTAATCGTCAATAATTTTTGTAAAATTCCTTTTTCGTAAATTTTGTAAATTAAAATGGATTTAAAATATTCTGGGTGCCGAAAAAACCCTAAAAAGCCGTGCCGAAAAGCGGATCTCAATTTTGTGCCGGGGGTTAGAACAGAAATTAGCATGCAAACACTGAACATAAAATTAGTACGCGCAACATTCAAAACAATGATACACACAGAGAGAAGCAGGACAAACAGAGGGTTAGCGTGCTTTTTTGGGGAAAGCTCGCTGACTTCAATGGGCCTTTAAAATGCCAAAAAGGCAATCAATAAAACAAAATAAATTAGCAAAAATCGCATTTAAATTCGCTTTTTTCAAAAATTGTTTGTAATTTTCTGCTACTCATCTGATGGAAAATTGGTCTAAAATTACTAAAAAAATTTAAAAATGCCTGTTTTATCAAGCAAAAACAAATTTTTAATTTTTTATGAAAATACTAGAATTCAAATTCACAATCTTCAATATTTAAGTTTTTTGCCTTTTTTCTAGCAAAAATCGCAAAAACTTGAGAATTTCCCGAGTTTAAAGGGCCACTGAAGGCAGGCAGAAAAGCGGGGAAAGGGGGCGGGGCTTGCTGCACGCTTTCTCGGCTGTCGCTCTACCTTGAATCCGCCGCTTCTCATCCCGGCGCGTTTCGTGCAGCATTTTTCGGTTGGCGCCCTGGAGATGGGGGTGTGGGATGAGAAATTTGGGGTGGGAGGTAGGCAAGAGTAGCGAAAGTACGCAGTGTACGCTACGTGAAAGTACGCAGCAGTATACGAACACTACGTCACAGTACGGTCTACGCGGGAGTACGCAACGTTTGGTCTACGATACGCTACGCAACAGTACGGTATACGCGACAGTACGCTGTGTGTGGACACGAGGTTATTTGACGATTTTACGATACGGTGGACGCGACGCGCTAGGACAGACTACGCGACGATACGCGACGATACGCATACGGTACCTGCCATCTTGCGCTTTTGCGCCCGCTTGTCCTCGTCACGCAGTTTGCGCTCGGCCCCCTAATTTGCATAAATTGAGACGGGTTTTTGAGGTGTGTATTTCGTGATTTTACCGGCTACATAATACGCTAATTTGCGTATTTTAAGCAGCTTTAACTTAATAGAAAGAGACAGAATTTAAAAAGTCACAGTACGCTGCGCACGAAATTCATCGTAATTTTCGTATTTTTATGTACTTAATTTTTTAGCAATTTTAAAAGATACTGTATCCTAATTTGCATATTTTAACCTTTTTAATATTTGCTTAAATGCCGAATTCTCAAGGCTACAGTATACGATAGGCGCAAAATTTTTTAAACACGCCCACAGACAGACGGAAACGCATTTTAAAGGGACCGGGAAGTCGAAATCGACACAAATAGTAGGTTTATTCCTTGGAAAATTCTTTGGAAAATCCTTGGAAATTTTTTTAGAGTTTATGCTAATATTTCGAATTTCCAAAGCCGTTTTGGTTTGCCAATCCCATTAAAATAATTTTCTATAAGCCTTTTAGTGATTCCCGGACTTGCCGGGCCCGTTAAACTACCGTATCCATTTTGTATATATTTCTTTGGATTCTTTTCCATTCCCCATCCTTTTCCTTTCTCAAAATGTTTGAATAGGGACGGGGGCACAGATTCGACGCCCCCAATTTTCACTTTCCACAGATCCGCCCGGCGCACACAGCCAGCGAAATGGGGATGACCCAAATTCCGCCACTTTTACGCGCTCTCCGCTTCTCTCGCTCTATCTCTCTCTCGCTCTCGCTCTCTCTCTCTCTCTGTCGCGCTCTCTCTCTATCTCGCCAGAAAGGGACACTTTTCAGTGGGCCGAAGATGAATGGGATATGCCAAAATTGGAGGGTATAAGGACGGTGGAGTACTATGAACGGTTACGGAATTGGGTACTGTAACGTACTTGGCGGGCTGGCTAGAAGAGGTAATTTGGGAAAAATGGGGGGGGGGGGGGGGGGGGGGGGGGGGGGGGGGGGGGGGTGGGGGGGGAAAACCCCCCCTCCCCGGCCCGGCAAAGCCACAGAGACCCTTTAGGAAACTGTTTGTCGCGTTTTAGAGTCGGCTGGCAGTGTTTCTTTGCGGAATTCTATAAACCCGGGAAAGCTAGCATAGATTTTTGCGGAATTTTAACTCTCAGGGCAGGGTAGAATGGATTCTTTGTGAAATTCGTCAAGCCCGGGCCAGCTAGCAGGGTTTCTTTGCGGAATTTCAACCCCAAGGCCACCTAGTTGACTAGCCGTGGCAGGCTAGCAGAGATCTTTGAGAAATCGGAAAACCGGGATCCCGGCAGGCAAGCAGAGACCGTAGCGGAATTTTGATCCCAAGGCAAGCTAGCAGCGTTTCTTTGCGGAATTCTTTAAAGCAAATCCCCCCGCGCGTGCTATAAGTCATCTCCGTTCGGAAAACTTTCTCCTCGCAGCAGCCCATCCGATTTCAGAGCCCAGCACATAGCTCTCTGTGACCCACAAAAAATCGGGGAGAGAGAGAGAGAGCGAGAGAGAGAGAGAGAGAGAGAACGAGAGAACGAGAGAAAAACACAGCAGATCCCCCGGGTCTGACTGGGCATTTATGCTGCGCGCTGAGCGCATAGGTAATTTTCAGAGGCTGGCGGGGAGAACGATTTCTCTACCGTACCCCTCCCTTTAGCATTGGATCCGTCTGGAAAGTGGAAAAAAACGAAAAAAATCGGTTTTCCGCGCGATTCCTATGTATGCCTGGGTGTTCGGAGTATCGATGCGGAAAATCAATAGTTTTTAATAAAATTGAACGGAAATTGGAGGGCTAGAATGAAGATACAGTAGCTTAAAAAAATAAAGGAAATTCAACCTTAAAGCTAAAATAGCTTGAAAAAAAGTGGATTTTTTTAAATTTAAATACGGTAGTTTAAAAACGCCCGCACAGACAGACAAACAATTTTTTACCTCAAAAAGAATTTTCGAACGAATTTCGAAGTTTCAAGCGAAATTTAACGACTTAAATTAATTGAGAACGAAATTTAAATCACGTAAAACCGAAGCAAAAATATACAAAATCGTACCTTATCGCAAAAGACCTTAATCTGGCAGTAGCCCCGGTGGAATGGCCGTTGATTTGCGTCGTCCTCATCATACGTGTCGATTTGCACGTGGAGGGGGAGGCCCTGGAAAAGTTAAATTAATAAAAAAAGGTAAGGAAATAAGAATTTATCTCACTCGCTCTCTCTCTCTCGCCCTCACCTTTACGCCCTTCTGATTTGAAAAGTCGGTAGAGAGACACTGGACGGCGATGCAGATCTGAAAAAAAACAATTATTTGGTTTTCTCCGTGAATTTTTTACAGAAAGGATCCCTGCTAGCCTCGTCTTTCCTAAAGATTCTCTGCTAGCCTGCTCTTTTCCTAAAGAATCCCTGCTCGTTTTCCTTGTGAATCAGTTTAAACCGCCAATTACCATCCGGTCCCCCGGTTAATAATCTCAAGCGAGTTGAAAATGGAAAGCTGAGCCTTGAGATCCCCCCAAGGCTGACGGGGGTGAGATTCCATCTTGAGCGTCTCTATAGTCTTCGGCCGATCGACAGATTACAATCTTATTTTCACACCAAGTCAAGGTGGTAAGCTAGCAGCAATTCTTTAGGAAATCCCTAGAGCAAAAATCATGCAGAAAATCAAATACTTTTCTCTGCGTCTCTACCCTCACTTCCGATCAAAATCTCTGACTTCCCGAGGCTCCCGGATTTCCTATCGTAATTCATTCGAGAGCAGCCGCTCGAGATAGCTGATGCTCCCCCTCAAAATTGCCCCATTTCCCAGCAGCGGAGGGTGATAAATTTCGGCTCCCGGGGAGTGCGAGATTTTGATGATCAGCTCGGGAGGCCGTAATTTGCATCCCGGTGGAATAATTGAGGATGAGGGAGAAGGCGAGCGAGAGAGAGCGAGAGAGAGCGAGAACGATACGCTACAGTACGCTAAGGTACGCTTCAAAATGACACTACGCCAAGCTAGCACGCATCGGCAATACGCTAGTCTACGTTAAAATACAGATTACGTCGGAACCCGCGGGCATAAGTACGCGAGAATACGCGCACTTGTCCAAATTTTCGAGTATATTTTGCCTTTTCAGCCCCTTTAAAATGGTTTCGCAGGAAACTGAGAGAGCTACAGTACGCGAGAGTACGCTATCATATGCATTTTTCGTCAAATTTTCACGCGATCTATGTCTTTGCGGTCCCTTTAAAATGGTCCCCCATCGAACTTTAGGGATTTGACTACACTTCACTCCTCTTAACGTCCCATCGAGCGTCATGTGGGGGCGATTTCGGCCCTTCAAATCCCCCCGAGTCGGGCTTTCAAATCGTCTGTCTGTCTGTCTGTTCGTCTGTTCGTCCGTTTGTCTGTCTGTCCACCCATCCATCCGCTAATACCAGGGGGGATGGCTGGGAAATAGGTCAAGCCCATAGCCTCGAAAATTGCCCATTGTCCGGTGGCCAGCACACAGCCCCTGGGCCCATTGCGGTGGAATTTTCGCTGCCGGATTAGCGCATTAATGGGAGGCTAACAGAGACCATTTGGGAACTAGAGGGCAGACTAGCAGCGATTATTTAGGAAAGAACAGGCGGGCAGAGATCCTTTAGGAAAAGGCCGGCTAGCAGAGATTCTTTAGGAAGGGGTAGGCTAGCAGAGATTCTTTAGGACAGGGCAGGCTAGCAGAGAGCGCTTGAGTAAAGAAGGGGCAGGCTCGCAGGGATTCTTTAGGAATGGGCAAGCTAGCATAGATAATTTAGCACTACACTTTTTAGGGCCCTAGGCAACCCAGCAGAGATCATTTAGGAAGGTCTAAGGCATGCAAGCTGAGACACTTTAGGATTTTCAATTTCCAGGGCCAGCCAGCAGAGATCTTTTAGGAATTACATGCCCGACCCTGTTGAATATGAAGATCATCTACAACGTCAGGGCAAGCTAGCGGAGATTTTTAAGGAGGTTGAGCCAGCAGAGACTTTTGCGGAAATTTCAAACTCACAGCACCTAGCTGAGATTTTTAGAGAAAACACTAGAAATTGTATTTTTTTACAATCTAACATTTTCATGCCCTTTTTACGCCGCGGTGGACAGCGAGACAAACAAAAACAAACAGACAGCAAAACACCCCCGAACACCTCGAGCCAGACCGGATTTTTGTCGGCCGCTCGCTCGCCCCCTGGTTGACGTTGCAAAACTGGTCTGCCACAGCTGACCGCATGTCCGTCCAGAGGATCAAAGCGGAATTTACGCCCCAGCCTTGGTTTTTTAAACCTTGACTCGCTGGCTGACTGGCTGGCAGGGTGCCAAAATCGAAAAAGGTTGGGAATTTAGGAAATTCACGTAAAAACGTCTTAACCCGAGTTCTCGCGATCGGAGACGCAAAAAGACAAAATTAAAGGGTTGGCAAAGAAGTAAAATTCAGGGATTACAGTACTTCGACAAAAACTTTACGCAAAAACAAGTAAAAATTACGTTAAATGATTTTTAAAGGGCCCGGAAAGGCAAAAAAATGCCGAAGATGAGGTGGGAAATGTAAAGTACGCAAAACACGACTGGGAAAATGCGAAAATCCTTACGGTCCTAATAACGACAGCCAAAATCCTGATAGATCAAAATCCCGACGGGCCAACACACCGACATGCAAATTAGCTGTTTAAAAGGAAGTGGCATTCAAACGAGCCCAGAATATGTCGGGATTTTGTTCTGTCGGGATTTCGGATTGTCGGTATTTTGGCCGTCGGGATTTTGCGTGTCAGGATTCAGTTCCTCGCGATTTTGGCTGGAATTCCGTTGGGAAGGCAATAAACTTCGAAAAAAATTACGGGATATGCAAAATTCCGGGGGTTTCCGAAGAACGACGGGCTGCCAAGGTGTCAAAATTGAAAAAAAACTAGCTTTTAAAGGATTATTGAAGGCAGGCTAGTCGGCAGCGAGAGAGAGAGAGTGAGAGAGAGAGAGAGAGAAAGAGAGCGAGAGAGAGACAGAGAGCATGAGATAATGACCTAACTTACATAACCCCAATCAAACGCAAAGAAGCACGAACCTTGACCGGAGATTCGGTGGGGTTCCACAAAAACTCGTAGGCGTTGTTGGCCTTCTCGGTGATGGGCGACGTCATCCCGGTGCTGTTCTTCAGGTCAATCTGCAAAAAAAGAAATAAACATTTGAAAACTTTACTTTATTTTCCGTCCGATTTTCAGCCTTTCCGGCCCCTTTAAGCCAAAAACCGAATTTCTAGCGTCATTTTTACGTTAAAGGGAGCGTGACACCTCATTTTTAGCATTTTTAACCAAATTTTGAGACTAGATAGTTTCTGAAAAACCCCCAGGCCCCTAAAAAAGCGCGGTTCCAACAATTTCCGCTCTTCCCGCCCGCGGCGCGCGGTCCGTTTCTGTGTTTTCGCGTTCCAAAAAGAGGAGTGAGTGAGTGTGCGGGTCCTCACTTGGGCCAAAAAGAGAAAGAGACCCAGAAGAGGGCCCTCCGGTATTTGCAGTGTTTCGTCGCCAAACTTGCTCTCTCTCCCTATCTCTCTCTCTCTCTCTCTCTCTCCCCCCCGCTCTCTCTACAGTCTGGAAGGATCGCCTGAGGGACTGTGTGTGTCAGTGTTTGCCAGTGGCTTGAGACCCCGTTCGGGTCCAGTCAGAGGGCCCAAATCGCACAAAAGACCCCACGAGGACCCCGGAATCGACCGGGAAATGGGAGCAAAAGACCGAAAAAGGGGCAGGCTAGCAGCGATTCTTTAGGAAGCGGAATTTGACGCTTACTATTCCCTTTAAACGAAGATTAACTAGCAAACGGGCAAACAAGCTGTGATTTTTGCGGAAAATCGGTTTTAAAAATTATGCAAATTCGAACAATAGAATTCCCTATTTTTAAAGACGGCGTGACAACAAAAAGAAAAACCGGGTCCTGGCAAGCGAGCAGCGATTCTTGGGGAAGCCGAATTTTCGCGTTTCCCGAACCGCATGAAAATTCAAGGCAAACGAGCAGAGAATTTTGTGGAAAAGATAATTTTGGAGATTCTGCGGCCCCAGAACTCAAATAAACTAGGCGAACGAGCAGAGATCATTGGGGAATCAAAGAAATTCGAAAGGCCATCTGTTTAAAGGGACCGTGACAGCAAGAAAAACGCCAAACTCACGTCGAGTATGCGTGCTTTTGGTGAATGTTGCCGTTGATGCCATAACCGCCACGTCTTGATCTCCTCTTCGTACGTCTTCTCGTCCCGAAACACCACCATTAGGTGCGTCTGAAAAAGAGCGAATAAATTCAAATAATTGAAACGCTTGTAATTTGTCTATTTCTCTTTCCCTCTCGCTCTCGCTCTCTCTCTCTCTCTCTCTCTCTCTCTCTCTCTGTATTTAGCTCAGCGATGGTCAGAGCTATTTGCGGGCTCTGGACGGCTATAATGGGCGAGGCAAAGCGTGACATACAAAGCTACTGTATGCGCCTACTAACGAGGGAAAGAGAGAGAGATAGAGAGAGATAGAGTGAGTGAGAGAGCCAGAGAGCGAGAGAGAGAGAGGGAGAGAGGGAGAGAGAGCTACGCAATTACCGGGCAGGGTAGCAGAGGTCCTTTGAGATTTTTGACGAAGCTTTTCAATTTCTTAGATGACTTTGGCTAGCTAGCAGGGATTCTTTAGGAACTTCCATCCTTCTGGGCAAACTAGCAAGATGTTTCAGATTTTTAAGCCCTGTTCCCAGCAGGTTCTATTTAAATCCCGTGGCTAGCTAGCAGGGATCCTCTAAAATTTTCCCCGCCGCCTAGGCGAACTAGCAGAGATCCTTTAGGATTTCCCGTTTTTTTTAGGCAAGCTAGCAGAGATTCTTTGCAGCCTTTGACTAGCCCTTGTTTGATCTTTGGTCAATGGTATTCGGCTCAAAGGAGAGATCTCTAGAATAAAAGAGACAGAGAGAGAGAGAGAGAGAGAGAGAGAGAGAGAGAGAGAGAGAGAGAGAGAGAGTCGCAAATTGCCCCATTCGACCGGCATGTATTCCGCTGAAATCCCCCGCGAACACACCGACGCGGATCAGATAATTATTGGGGGGACAGTATGCGTGTGGTTGTGTGTGTACGCGCCGATACAAATGACGCCCCGGACAGTGTGGGCAATTTGGCTATTCAATGAAAGTTTCAGTGGGAAGCGCAGAATTTTGAAAAGGTAGCAAAGATCCTTGAGGAAAAACAGGGCAGGGTAGCAGATTCTTTTGGAATTTTTATCAAAGCTGAGAAATGGCGCAAAACTTGCAAAAATCAGGAGAGATTAGCCAAAATTATTGCGGAATTTTGTAAAATCAGGATAAAATAAAAAATGGGGAGGCTAGCTAAGAGAGAACCTTGAGAAAATTATGCAAAATGAGAATTAGCCAGGGCGGGCTAGCAGAGGTTCTTGAGGAAAAATGGTAATCAGGCAGGGCAGACTAGCAAGGACCATTGCGGAATTGTTCCAAAAATAATGCGAAAAGGCAGGCTAGCAAGTCGCTTCAGGAAATCGGAGGGCTAGCAGAAATAATTTCGGAGTTTTGCAAAAATAATGAGGGAATCGGAAATTGCTCCAGGCAGGCTAGCAGAGAATTTGATGGAAATTAAGGGTCTACGCGAGAGCCTGAAGGAATTCTAAAAAAATCAGAAATTGGTGAGGGCAGACTAGCAGCGACTCCTTACTTGAGCGGGAAAAGGGTTCAAAATGGCAACAACACAGGGCAGGCTAGCAAGGACAAATGAGGAATTTTGCAACAAAAAACGAAAATTTCCCAGGGCAGGCTTTCAGAGACTTTTTAGGAACTAAGAGGACTCGCAGAGTTCATTGCGGAATTTTTCAAAAATAATGAGAAGATCGAAAAGCCCAGCGAGCAGGCTAGCAGAGATTCTTCAGGAAAATTCGACAAAAAACAAGACCAACCTTGACAATCTGGCTCTTCAACGGCTTGAGGGGGTCGGGGATGTAGTCGAGGGTTACGGTGTAAAATTGTCCCTTGTTGACATATGTCATTCGATCGTCATCTTTTCGAATTGACGTCGAGATGGGCGCCTCGAGCACATACTGGAAGCCGAGGGTGTTGTGCCTGAAAAAAAACGATAATTTAAACCGTAAGCATCTTAAAACGCTATTTTTGAATGTTCACAGTATTAATGCGTACTTTTCCGTACTTGAAGGTGCCTTTAATGGGCGAGCAAGCCGAGATTTTTGCGGAAATTGTGCCCACCCCTTTAAAGGAACGGATAGAAAGGCGAGCGAGCACAGATCCTTGAGGAAAGAATTTTTTGGCTTCCCGACCCGTTCAATCCCATAAATCCGAGGCAAACGAGCAGAGATTCTTACGGAAATGATTTTTTTGGGCTTCCGACCCCTTTAATCCCATAAATCCGAGGCAAACGAGCAGAGATTCTTGCGGAAACATGATTTTTGCTGGTTCTCGGTCCCTTTAAGGTGGGCGAGCTAGCAGAGATCTTTTGGGAAGCCGAGCGACAATCCGAAAGCTATCCAAAGGCCGTCCAGCAGAGATTTTTGCGGAATCCATGGCTTCACTCTGCATTTAATGGTGATTTGACCCCGGCCATGACCTTGGCCCAGAGTATCAACACGGAAAATCGGGTTTCCGGAACACCCCCACGAGGTGAACAAGTCTTCTCTACCGGGGGGGCGGCTGACCAAACCGGACTTCGCGGCCGGTCCCCCTCTTTTCTCGCGGGACGGGAGGGGTCGAACCCGTTTCTACCGCTGGTTGGGTGATGCCCATAGTTGGGAGCGGGAGGTGGAGGACGAGGTGAAAATATGTTTTTCTCTCGCGCTGTCTGTCTCTCTCACTCTCTCGCTCCCTCGCGCTGTATCCCTCTCCCTCTCTTGCTCGAGAGCCGCGAAAACACGGGGAGTCCCACTCTCGTCCGAACTATCTATCTCTCTCGCTCTCTCTCTCTCTCTCTCCCTCTCTCGTCGAGAATCGATCGGTACGGTGTCCCTGAATCAGGGACGCTGCGCCCAAAATGACAAACAGTGAGCGCGAGCCGGTGCTCCTCTTCTCCTACTCCTCCTCCCTGTCAAGGTCACGTTGTGACAGCATTGGCGAGAGAGTGAACGAGAGAGAGCGAGAGAGAGACGAGTAGGTTTTACCGGACAATTCGCCGACTACTACTATGCGCTCCTATTGACGGGGTGCGGAATGGAATGGAATGGCTGTGGCGAGGAGATCTGGTGACGAAATGTGGTTTTCAAGGCGAAATGTCAACAAACATACAAAAATCAGGAGATGGAGTTTAAAGGGAGTGTGACATGGGTAAATCCTAAGCACCCTCTGCTAGCCTGCCCTTTCCTCAAGAATCTCTGCTAGCCCGCCTTTCCCAAATAATCTCTGCTAGCGTGCCTCTTCTTCAAGAATCTCTGCCAGCCCTCCCTTTCCTAAAGAATCTCTGCTAGCCTGCCCTTTCTTAAAAAATCTCTGCTAGCCGGCCCTTTCCTAAAAAATCTCTGCTAGCTACCCTTTTAGCTCCTAAAGGAACATTGAAGGTACAAATTCCGTTCCATTCCGTCCAAAGAACACCCATGCACGTGCGCGTGTTTTTAAGCGATTCCGGTTCCGGCGCTCCGCGTGAAGCGTGAAAGCCGCCCCCACGGCTTCACGTCACTTTTTGGGTGGAACCGGATTTTTTTGGGTTGTATTGCTGTGTCGAAATAAGAGCCTCGGGTCAGCTGAGTCAGTATTTGTTGTTGTTTTTTGAGGTGAGGGCAGGCTAGCAGAGATTCCTTAGGAAAGGGCAGGCTAGCAGAGTTTTCTTAGGAAAGGGCAGGCTAGCAGGGATTCTTTAGGAAAGGCATGCCAGCAGAGATTCTTTGGGAAATAGGCCAGCCCAGCTTGGCAGGCTAGCAGGGATTTTTGGGGAAAAGCAACCCCTTGCGAAAATTCTATAAGTTATGAGCAACTCGGGCCAACTAGCAGCGATTTTTGAGGAACCCTAACTCCGCGCAACTGGAAAACTAGCAAAGATTCTTTGCGGAATTCTGCGTGCTTTCTCAAGTTGTCACCACCCCTTTAATTCCGGCCATTCCCACGCCAATTCCGGCCATTTGGGCTCGCCGCCAAAAAATCCGGTCTTTTGACCATGGCGGCTCCCGGGTGGGGTCCGATTACCGGTTGTGTTCGAGCGAGGAGGATGAAACTAGTCTACGCAACGGGACTGGGGTCACGAAGTCAAGGAAAAACCCGAAAAGCCCGGGAATGGAGCGTTTAAATAGAGAGAGAGAGAGAGAGAGAGAGAGAGAGAGAGAGAGAGAGAGAGATGAAGAGAGAGAGGGAGAAAGACGGCCACGCAACAAGTGTAAATAGAAATTTTGCGGTCAAGCCCCGGGTTTTGCAGGTTCCGGAGCAAAAAAGCGCAAACTGGAACTGTCTGGAATTTTGGGATTTCCTGGAAAAACGACAGTTCTAGGGGGAATCCTAGAGCGCACAAAATTCTAGCGTCACTAGGGAGCGCGGCGTAGGCCCTATAATGATGTGGCGTAATCGGTTCCCAAATCATTCAAAAAGGCTGAAAGAGCACAAAATTTCGGCGTCATTAGGTAGCCGAGCGTATCGCAAGAACTCTATTGCGTAACTGGTTGCGAAACGGTGCAAAATCGACAATTTTTGGCTTAAAGGAATGGGGAAGCAGCAGAAAATTTTGGTTCGGAATACGCGGGGAAAGGCCTAACGCACAAAAATTTTACGTCACTACGGAGCTCAGCGTAGCTGCTGCAATTGGGCGGCGTAATCGGTCGTGAAACGTCCGGAAAATGGGAATTTTGAGCTCTAAAGGACCGGATAAACCAAGGGTAAATTCTGGTGTAATTAGGAGAGAAACAGCGGTTCGAATTTCAGTGCGTAATCGATTGCGAAACGCGCAGAAACAGGCGTATTTCGGTTTAAAGGGACGGGCCTTAGAAGAAGAATTACAACGTCCATACGGAGTGGAACGTAGCGGCTCGAATTTCAGTGCGTAATCGATTGCGAAGCGCGCAGAAAGGAGAGGGTCTAGGCTCAAAATGGTGGGGAGAACCGGAAAATCGACTAAACTTGAAGGAAAAATTCAGGAAAATTTTAAAGGACCTGGCAACCCACAAAAAACGACTCACAATTTGGGGATGATGATGGGGGAATCACGATGGCTGAGCGCTCGTTCTGGCCGTTCGAGGCTCATCGAGTCGGCGGTGGCGAAGAATTCGTCCTTCGTCGTCGTCATCATCGACAGGTCGGCGCCGATTCCGGAGTCGACCGGAGAGGGCATGTCCGTCACCGGAAGCTGGAAAAAATTAGTTTAATTTCATTTCCAGTAGTCTTAAGAAAGCGGGTAGGTTTCATTAAACCGGGTTACTCGGTGTTAAAGGGATTAGAAACGATAAATTTGTTATAGAAAAAATATGGGGATAGTAAAGTGTATTATTCTGCTTCAAACGACAATTTCTTCCCGAATTTTGATATTTTTGCTCGAAATGCGGCTAGGTAACTCCCCAAATTAAGTTGCAAAGCCGCGAAATTACAAGAAAACGCGGGCTACAGACTACAAACTACAATTTCTACGCAGCTTGAATATCTAAATTCTACGCAGAGTTCGTCTAGACAACAAACTACAGCGTTTTCTAGCCTAGAATTCCGTTATTACGTAACATTTGCACGGTTAGTTGGTTAGCCCAGAATGAAGCAAACAGGTTTCCGAAATTCCGGATTTTACAAAATTACGGCATTTGATTGTTTCCGGAATTCCGGAAATGGGGGCCCACACCGGAAGCCTAGCCACCTTATAAGCCCGGGTGTCATTGTGGACCTGGGGATCGGCGGCATATTGGAGGGCCGAGGTGCGGTATTGTTGCTGGTAGGAGTCTTGTCGCGTCCAATCCTGCTGGATCACGTTCTGGAAAAAAATACTGTTAAAATCGTCTTAATAACAATTAACTTTATATCATTATTTAGTAACAATAAAAATTATAAAATAAAAAGCATATTAAATACTCGTAATTTTAAAAAACACCCCAATTCCAGACTACAAACTTTAAGCTTAATTTATTTATTAATAGAACTAACTTTAAACTGTAGTTTAAAGCGTTTTAAATTGTCCTTTTTTGTAATTTATAGTTTTTAAAACCATTTTAAATGTATAATAAGTGAATCACGGCCTCGTGCACGCGTCACGGGCGCGTCGCGTCCTTCGATTTCGGCGCGTTTAAGGGACCCAAAATTGAAAATAAAATAATTTCAAACTTTTTAAAATAATTTTAAATAGCTTTTCAACGTTAAAAAAACCAGTTTTCACAAAAAAGCTTAAATTAAATGTTATAAAATTACCTGAGGGTAGTAATACGCTGCCGGGAGCCCATTTGACTGTGAGAGCAGGCCGTTGTTGCTCAACGCGCCCAGCGTGTTAAAATCCTGGTAGACGGAGTAGCCGCGCATGTTCTGCGTCTGGTAGTAGTCGGGGTTCAGCTGCATCTTGGTCAGGTCCTGAAAAAAACCCAATTTTTTAAAAATAGCTTTAAAAAAGCATTTTCCTTTGTCTTTCACCTCATTTTATTCACAAGAATTCGTAAAAGAATCCTCTGAAAACCGTGCGACAAACCTGAACCTGAAAGCTGGACGAGAGGGGGTTGGGGAGGAGCTGCTCGATCGGCTCGTGCTTCATCTCCAGCTGCCTCGGCCCGGGGGCCGTCTTGATCACCGAGTTCTGCTCCAGCTGGAACGAGCCTGAAACACGGATGGTAAACTCAAAATCGCTTCCATTTTAGCACTAAAAGGCTAAAATTCACACTTTTAAACTTTAAAAAACTCGGGGCAAGCGAGCAGAGACCTTTTGCAAAATTTCTATAGTAAATTTACATAAGTCCAACAACGCAAAATGCCATTAAAAATTCGGACAATTCGGCTATTCGAATAACAAATTTTTAGCCAATTTTAACAATTGCAGGGCAATCTCGCGGGGATTTTCGCGGAATTTCGCGCCAAAATTTTTTTGAACCAAATTTCGGAATATTCGAACTCACATAGTGATTTTCCAACGTTCATAAAATTCAAATTCACTTAATGACAAAATTTAATTTAAAAACTGCCAAAAACTACATCGGAATATTTTTAAAAACGCTATTAAACTCGAACTTGCAGCGAAAAAGTGATACCCAGAAAATTCCGATTTCTAAAACACAACAAAAGTACCGTACCCGACATCCTGCCTGCCACCGTGTCCACCATGCAACGCCGGAAACGAGTGAAGCGGTCAGGAGGAAGAAAACGGAACGGGCACCCAGGAGGAGGCGTCTGTAGTCCGGGAGGCCGAAAAGTTGCGTGTAGAAGGGGCGCACGTGAGGGAGACCGTAGAGGCACCTGGCGGGCTCTGAAAAATTTGCATATTTCGGCTGGAATTGGGGGTGGGAAATAAGCAGAAAAATTAGAAAAAAAGCGGCCAGAAAGCCTTATCATAAATGTCGATAAATAAATTTAGAAAAAGAAATCGGCCAAAATCGTTTATAAAAAGACTTTAAAAATTAAAATTAAACGTTTAAAAACACCAAAAGTAGCAAATTTTACGGAGAATACGATAGTCATAAAAATATACAGATTTCAGCAATATTTAACCTTAAAAAAGAATTTTTACGTGAAATTTCGTTGCTAAAAAACTATCGAAATCCTTTCACGACGATAATATGTTTATTTAACGATATAAACTAGTTAAAATAACATAAATCAACAGCTAGACAAGAATAAAGTAAAACCTAAACTTTAAAAAAATCTAAACTTACTAAAAAACGCTAGAATCCTCCAAAAATCACCAATACGTTCGGAAAGATTTTTACAGTATCGGACCAAGAAACCAAAGCTCTAGATTTTAACATTTAAGCCGAGAATTAATAGTTTAATATCGATTTTCTACACATATTTAAACTTTAGAAGAAGCTGGCAGCAACAAAAAGGTTGGGCCATTACGCGATGTAAAGGCGGACTGGCGCGGTGGCGAGACGGGGCGGCGCACTAATGGCAGCCACGGAAATTAGCGATTTTTTAGGCGAAATCCGGCGAAAATGGGCTCATTTAAAAGGTAAAAACATAACGAAAAATTTTATAATGGTTAGAAAACCCATTTCAAGCAGAAAATGGTATTTCAGCTCGAAATTTGGAAATCTTTGCCCCGGGGCGCCGGGGAAAACTGAAAAACATCAAGCTCCACTGGATTGGGCGAGGAAATGATGAAAGGGAAAATTTTGTAAATAGCAAAGGACGTGGAAGAGCTCAAGAAGCTTCGAAATGTCGAAAAAAGTCGATCGATCTGGCATTATTTGACTTTTCAAAGGTATCCAACGTCTTCTTTACCAGTTTAAATGACGTATTCAAATACCGTAACCGCTAGATTTGAAAAAAGCCACAAATAATTTGTTCAACTTTAAAACATGAAAAAGTAATCGGTTTATGCTAAAATACCTTTAAAAATACCATAATCCTGATAGATTTAGCCATTTAACGTCGTAATGCATTACCGTAGCCTGCTAGGCATTTTAAGGGGCCTTGTTAAAAATTTATACCATTCTACCAGCTAAAACACAGAAGCCGCAATTTGCTAAAATAAGCTTAAGGTACTTTAAACCTTGAAAAAGCTAAAAAAGTTATAAAAAGCTCTTTTTCAGGCCAAATCTATCCAATTTAGGTGCCTTAATCGGATACCGTAACCCAAAAACTGTCTTAACACGGCTTAAAATGACCCGAAAAACGTTAAATTAAAAGCCTCAATTTTCTGACGCCCTTTAAAAGTCTTTAGAAATTCAAAAAAGCACTTTCTTCAGGCCAGATCTTTCGATTTTTGGTGTCGTAATCGGAAACCGTAGCCTGTAGTACGTTTAGATACCTAGAAAATGTCTATAACGATCTCCAAATCTACAGGAATTTGTCCTCGAATCTCTACCTACTCCCGACAGTTCGCTACTGTCAGCCGGTGAGTGCAAAAATTATCGATTTTCGAGGCGCGCGCGCAGCCCCCGCCGGCCGGCGTGTTCCAGTTCCACCCAACTTCCGGGGTAAATAAAATATATACCCTTTAAGGTATAGTAAGCTATAGATTTATACTTTTAAGGTATCACCCCAGCTACCGTAACCTTGAAGTAGCCATAAACTAGGCTTTCGGCTGAGTTAAGCAGCTTAGGTTTTCAAAATGAACCTTTAAACCCCGCGTGAAAAATTGAAAAAACAACGTATAGTTTATCATTAAAACTACATGAATTTTATAACAAATAAAATCAACTAATTTTAAACTTTTAAATCGCCTTAAACTTCTCTTAACCGTCTAAAAATTCAGCCAGCTTTAAACTCAGCTTAAGCTTGCTAAAACAACAGCTACGAGCGCCTTTTTAATATGCACGTAAAAACGTATAAAAACCACATTAAGATGCATATAATTTAACTTTTTAAGCTATTTAAACTACCGTAATCCCGGGAATTCACCTAGCTACAGCCCGTCAAAACTTAGCGCTCTTAGAGTTAGGCTCGGACGCCTAGGGGCCTTAATGTAAGGCTGCCCCTAGGCGTGCCGAAAAACGGGTGCGTGGCGCAGGCGGTTAGGGATCGGAGTCGGGCCCTGGGGGGCCGGGTTCGAGTCCGCGCGGTGCGGAGAGTTTTGCTTTTTGGTTTATAGCGAGAATACGAGGATTTAAATAGTGTAAAAATACTACAATTTACCAAACTAGCACGAAAATCGTGGAGATTCCTTTTAAAGGTACCGGCAAGTCAAGGGGGCGATGGATAGATACTTTATAGAAAAGCTTAAGTCTGACGGTAAATCTCGTATATCCATATTTTAAAGGTCTTGTAAAGCTATTTAAGGTATAGAAAGGTACCTTAAAGGTACCGGGAAGTCAAGGCGGGTCTGGATCAAATTTTAAAGGTATATTCGGATCTCGAAAGTAAAAATCCATACTGTATTAACGACACCAGGAAGTGACCCTCAATCTGTGCCAATTTCCCCGAGCTCATCCCCGATTTTCATTGCGTAATCGATTCAACCCCGACCGACAGGCAAACCGGCCATACCCGGAGGGCACGTTCGGGCCAGATCCCTCCAGGGGTAGAGCGAGAGAGAGAAGGAGAGAGCGAGAGAAAACAGGGGGCAAAACAGGCTCGAATCCGGTCGGGACCCGGGGGCCCGAAACTCGAAAAACCAGTGCGCGAGAAGGGGGGAGGGGTGGGTGGGGGGAGGTGGGGCCTGTAGAAAAGGGGCGGAGTTTAGGGGGTGAGAGAGAGGGAGGGGAGAGAGACAGAGAGGGAGAGAGTGAGAGAGAGACTGAAGGACTGAAAACGAAATGGAAAGTCTTCTTCCTTCCCCCCGCCCTGAGGACCGTCCGTCCACAGGAGCATCCTGGAACCCCTCCCTTTCAGATTCAGAGAGAGAGAGAGAGAGAGAGAGAGAGAGAGAGAGAGAGAGAGAGAGAGAGAGAGAGAGACCGAGGGTCCGGTTGAGGTCCGGCTGGCACGAAGGGGTGGAGGGCCAGAATAGAGACCGGGTCAAGGGCAGAGGTGTGGAGGTGTGAGGGCGGTTTTAAAGGGGCTGGGAAGGCAGGATTTTGGCAGGTAGCCAACTCGCGAAAATTAAGGTAATTTGAGGCTTTTCAATCCTTTTAGAATTTTGTATAAACTTCAGGGCTACGGTAGGAGTACTGTACAGCTATTGGGATTCCGCCGGAAGCAGAAAAATCTCGGAAAAAAAGCGTTAAAGCAGATTTTCAGGATTTTTCGGGTCTGTTTTGCGTCCCAAGTAGTCTCTGCTAGCCTGCCCTGTATCAAGATCTCGAGGATTAGCCTAAAGACCTCATGCCCAAAAGAGCTCTGCTAGCCTGCCTCATCCAGAGAGAGAGACATAGATAGACAGAGAGAGAACGAGATAGAGAGGGAGAGAGAGAGAAAGCAAGAGAAAGAGAGAGCAGGACGCAGAGAAGCAAAGCAAATCCCAGCTAGCTACCGTATCCCCCTCTTGCCTTGTGTGCTTCGTCATAACCCCTTCCTTTCCTTGTTCAGAGGAGGGGGATCTCCCCCTCCTGCTCCCTTCCATGCTAAAAGGCGCCCTAGATTCCGGCGTTCATTTGGGCCGGGGGATGTGGATAGAGGAGCTGTGCGTATTCTGCCTCTCTCTCTCTCTCTCTCTCTCTCTCTCTCTTCACAGGAGGAGACCTACTTTCACCCCCAACGCCCCGCGGCTCTATTCGCCCGATCGGCTGCTGCTGCTCCGAGCACCAGATGAATAATGGGAGAGGATTTTAAAGGGGTGGTGAAGTTTGAGCGGGGGGGAGGGAGGGTCAGGTGGGGATTTGGGGGGGTTAGAGGGAGCATGAGAAGAGAAAGCGGGGCAGTCTAGCAGAGATATTTTTGGAAATTCTTTCGGGACTCGGAAATCGGTGGCTAGGGCAAGATAGCCGAGATCTTTTGGAAGCGAGAGACCGAGGACCAGAGAGGGATTGAACGGCAGAGAACGGCAGAGAGAGACAGACAGCGCGAGAGTGAGAGAGCAAAAGCGAGAGAGAGAAAGAGAGAGAGCGAACGCGAGAGAGAGAGAGAGAGAGAGAGAGAGAGAGAGAGAGTGAGCACGAGGTAATGAGAACAAGGAGGGAGTGTGAGATTGAGAACGACAGAGACATGCAGATTGAGGTAGAGAACGCGAGAGAGAGAGAGAGAGAGAGAGAGCGATGGAGTCAGCCCCCTCCCTTCCTGTCACGCCCCCTTTAAAGCCACAGCCCTACTTTCACCGCCTCAGGGGCTGAATCTCCTTGTGCTGGTGCTCCTTCTCAATCTCTTGCTCCTCCTCCCCCTCTTCTCCATCCGTAGAACCATCGATCCGTGACCGTGCTGTGGCCTCGATTCGGCTCGCCGATTTCAGCCCTGCACACAGCCCCCCCTCCCTCTACACCCCCATGATCAACCCCCGAATCCGCGCCGCCCGCGGGGAAAATTGGAGGGGGATTTACGCGAATTTGGGCAGGCTCAAATTTCGGGCGATCGGACTTTGGTACGTTAGGGGAGGGGTAGCTAGCAGAGATTATTGAAAAATCGGGCATGCTAGCAGAGATTCTTTAGGAAAGGGCAGGCTAGCAGAGATTCTTTAGTAAAAGGCAGGCTAGCAGAGATTCTTTAGGAAGGGCCGGCTAGCAGATATTCTTTAGGAATTCCGCTACAGTACGTAGCCCTAATTCGCGATGCTTACCGTATCAGCCGTGGTCCAATTTCCAGGCTACACCAATCAATCTTTTTCGTGTTTTTTTTGCGGGGGCGCAAAAAAGATAAATGGGCCGAGCCGAGCGACACCTGGGGGCTCAAAATAGGGGAGACGGACCGGATCGGAGTGTCAATTGTACACAAATGGAATCGAGGTCGACGAGTAAAATATGTAAATTTTCAGTGTCTCCCAAAGGATCTCTGCTAGCTTGCCTTTCCGAAAAATCTCTGCTAGGCGGATCTTTCCGAAAGAATCTCTGCCAGCATGCCTTCCTAAAGAATCTCCGCTAGCCGGCGATTTCCTAAAGAAACCTGTTAATCTGTACATTAAAATGTATTTCTTAGTTTGCATTTATTTCCTTTGTATCCCGTTTTTCATAAATTTTTTTATTTGGCATTTTATCCAGACGGGGCGAAATTAAAGACGTGGAAAATGCACAAATTGCACACACGAAAATATATGCGAAAATTACGCACACAAAAAATTCATTACATCGAAATTTTCACAAAAAAAAATTGAAAAAGGACAGGTGGGCCACGGTAATTTTTTTGTTCTATTCTCTACCATTTTCAGGGGGTCCCGGCTGGAATTTTCGCAGGGGTTACGGTAGCTTTTGGAGATGAATTTTAGGGTTAAAAAAGCCCAAAAAATGGGCTAGAAAAGCTACCGTAACCCGCAAAAATTCAAGCGGTTGACAAGCTCAACGGTGGAAATTTTGGACCTATCACAAAATTCGCGAAAATGCATTTTTTTGCGGTTGGGGTTAAAAATTTAAGAAATCAAATTTATTCAAATATTTACACAATTCGAAAAATTCAGTTTTGTAAGTTTTTAAAGCTTTCGAAAATTCATATAGAATTAAATTCATTCAATTCGGCATCTCTGGAAATTAAAATGTTTGCATTTTTGGGAAATTAAATTGTTGCTGTTATAAAAATTCATTTAAATTCAAATATTTACAAAAAAACATTGGGGGCTTCGTGGTACCTAAAAGGGGATGATCGGGAGGGATCTCGGGTGAAAAAAGGCGGAAAGTGAAAGTGGGGGTGGGGGGCCGGGCGGGGTGGCGCAGTTGGGAGTGGGCCAGGCGACGCGCCGAGGGTCGAGGGTTCGACCCCCGGCCGCGGCAGCTGGCCGAGTTTTGCTTTTTGGCACCCCGGCCGGCCGTTTGACATTTTTTGCATTTGTTCGCGGGGGATTTGTCATGTGGATTGGCGCGGATTCGGGGGTATTTTTGGTTACGTACATTTTTAGAGGGGGCGGGGGAAGGGAATCTCACGGCAAGATGATCGAAAAAAATTTGCATGTGTATGGGTTAAAGGGACGGGCAAGGCAGGGTTATGGATTCTCGGTGCTGTTGCATTATCGGCGGGGGATCTAACTTTTTGTATAAATCCAAAAATCCCTAATCCCGAAATAGTAGGTATTTCATGGCGTTTTCGTAGATTTAGCTATCTGGTTTTTTTTTTGGTAAAAAATCGTTATTTTTTGGATTTTCAATGAAAATTTGGAAAGTTTTTGCGTTTAGAAATACTTAAAAATACCCCCCCCCCCCGATAATGCCAAAGAACCTAAGTCTGCCTTGCGCATCCTTTTAAACATAAAAAATCGCAGAAAAACAGTACAATTTTTAATTCCTGGGAATGGAGAATGCGGGGGTCAGGAAGAAAGTTATAGTCATACGGTGAATCGGGGGAAATTTGCCAATTTGCATAAACGGACGTTTTACAGGGTTTTCAAGCTGGAAATTCTGTATTCTATTGTCGCGCTTAACGCTTAAAAAGAATTTAAGACATTTTTTGCAAAATTTGCAGCGTGGCCGAGTGGTTAGTGGCCTTGGCTGCCAGGAGAACGACCCGGGTTCGAATCCTGAGCGCGTCATAATTTTGATTTTTGCCTTAGACATTTCCAAAACATTTCAAAGCCAGATTTTTGGCTTAAAACGCGTTTAAAACATTTTTAGACACCTCAAAAATTCAAATTTTCAGCTTAAAAACCTCAAAACGCCGTAAAAAAGTCTTAACCAATTTTTAGAAAATTTAAAAATTCATTGGGGGCGGGGCTAAATGCACTTTGGGGAGTTTTATGTGATTTTTCAGGAAATCAGGACAGCCAGAAGGGAAATTAGATTAATTCCACAGGGCTCCTCTTTACACCTCTTCGACGCCGCCGAACGAGCTGAGCAGCTTGCGGTACATTTGGCTGCCGACGAAGCGGGGGTACGAGTCCCGTTGCATTAGCGTGAAGATTTGCGCCTCAAACAGGGGGATTTATAAGTGTTTTATGTTTTTTCTTAAATACAAATTTCCTGCAATTTTTTACCTTTTTAAAAATTTTTAAAGTCGAGGATTTTCTATTTTTCTTTTATTGAAATTTCAACGCAATTTTATCGGAATTTTTGATGCAATTTTGTGTCATTTAGAAAAGCCAGAATTGAATTTTTTAAGTGTTTTTATATATATGTTTACGTTTTAAAGGTACCAGCAAAAAACTGCCCCAAAGGATCTTTGCTAAACTGCCCTTTCTCAAAGAATCTCTGCAAGGCCGGGTTTGCACAAAAATCATTGCTAGGCTGCCTTCAGACGTCAATTGGTCGAAAGGGATTTCTTAAAACAACCCTGCTAGCCTGCCCCGGCTGGTTAGCGAGGTAGAGAGAGAGAGAGAGAGAGAGAGAGAGAGAGAGAGAGCGAGAGAGACAGACGTATGCCTACAATCTTACACCAGCTGTCACAACCCCTTTAAAAAGCACCTACGCCTTCCAAAGGCCACGAAAAAATTACAATATTTTCCCCAATAATCCCCGCTAGCCTACCCTGCCGCAATACCTTAAAAAAAGTAATACCTGTGCCTCATCAAAAGCGTGTGCCGTCGGGTGTACCATATTTGCGTTGATGATCTCGCGAACGCGCGAATCGAGCGAAACTTCTTTTGGGGAGAGGATCGACACGAAGTCTTCGTAGATGATTCGCGCCTTTTCTTCTACCTGAAAAGGTGGGTTTATCTCGGAAATTTCCAAATGGTCTCTGCTAGACCGCGCGGGATACGGGAAAATCTCTGTAGCGAGCCGAATTCCCAGAAATTCGCTGCTAGCATGCCCCTGTAATTTTTCCCAAATTCTCTCCGCAAGTTTGCCTCGCTTCAGCAGACTTTCCAAGGAGTTCTCTGCCAGCTGGCCCTGTTCGCATTCCCAAATGCTCTCCGCTAGCCTGCCCTGCTCTCAGAATTCCCAGAGGATCTCTGCTTGTCTGCCCTCGCCCATTCAAAAGATCTCTGCTAGCATGCCCCTATCCGCTTCCCAAATGCTCTCTGCTAGCTTCCCATACCACCACAGTACGCCAGAGTACCCAATGACGCCCTATTGACTCCAAGTGCCACATTTTTTGCCGTCCACTACGCTAGGCGCCAAACGACGCGCCTCCGCGACGTCATCCGGAAAATAAGGGAGGGAGGGGAGTTCATGGGGAATGACGATTGGTGCGGGTGGACAGTTTTCACGTGTGTCCTCCGTCTGTCTGTCTTTTTCTGTGTTTGTCTGTTTGTCCGTCCTCACTCCCCATCCAAAAAAAAACACAAGATGACGGAGGCGGAAGCGCGGGAGGGGGCGCTGGGCGCGCAGCGACGATCCGGTTCCTTCCGCGTCACTTGAAGAGGGGGGTGGAGAGGGCCCTATGAGGCGAGAGAGAGGGAGAGAGCTAGAGAGAGAAAGAGAGAGAGAGAGAGAGAGAGAGAGAGAGAGAGATAGAGAGAGAGAGAGAGAGAAAGAGAGTCAGTGAGGGAAACACGGTCTGTTCGTCGTCTTTCTTTCGGTCCATTTGTATGTCTCTGTCTGTCTCTCAGTCCACTATTTGCCCCTCAGCCCAATGGCCACCCTCCCACATTTTCTACGCGCCCTCGCGCGCGCCCCGCGCGGAATGGACCAAGGGGGGATCGGCGCGGAAATATAGACGAGGGAAAGTTGCGCGGGAATTAAGGGACCGAGATTTTAAGGGTGTTTCTAAGGGGTTTCTGCTAGTTTGCCCGCATTCGCTCGTCTCTAAAAATCTCTGCTAGCCTGCCGCTTCCCCAAAAATCGCTGCTAGTGCCCTTTCCTAAAGAATATCTGCTCGTTTGGCCGGAGCTTCGACTCCATAGAAATCTCTGCTAGCCTGCCTCCTGGCCGAGTTCCTCAAAAATCGCTGCTAGCTCGCCAACCCTATCCCCAAGAATCTCTGCTAGCCTACCCTAAAAAAATTACAAACCTTTTCGGCATTCCGCTCGCGTTTCAGCTCCTCGCACGCCTGCCAGAAGAGGATGTTTTCGTCGGAGAATTCGCCCTTCAGGAACTCGGCAAAGTATTTCTGGCCTACTGAAAGAGGAGGGTTAAGAGGATTCCTAAAAAATCCCTGCTAGCCTTCCATTTCCTAAAAAACTCTGCTAGCCTGCCTTAAAAACCTCAAAAATCTCTACCTTTACTTTTCATCAACCGCTCGAACGACACGCCCCACGCGTTCACCTCATCGAAGGACGTTCTGAAAAAAATATTAATCGATTTTTAGGGTAAAAATTCGCTGTCACAGCCCCTTTAAAACCGCGGGAATCACCTCAGCCACTCGATTAGAATCTCATCAGAGAGGAGACCCTCGGCCTGTTCAAGCGATGGGCCCGGTTCGAGCTCCATTGTGTGGAGCTCCGTCTATTAGTGCGTGTTTGAATTTTTTTAAGCGGCAGAATATCGGCAAGAGAAAAAGGCCAGGAAACTCGAGATTTAAAACCTTAAAAACACTTTAAAAAATAACAATCGATCCATTGGAATCCGCAAGGAATCACGGCTAGCCTGCCTAAAAAAAACGTTCAAAAAACGTTTAAAACCGTTTAAGCATTAAAAAACGTTTTCGGTGAGCAGAAAATGAACGCAGCTAGCATTCGCCTAAAACACAAAGCATCACTGCTAGCTTGCATTGAGTAACATGCAAAAATGGGCTTTTTAGTCGCTAATAAACGCTGCTAGCTTGACTTCTGCTACTCGAAAAAAAGTTAGCTAGGATCCGCAAAGAGACCCTGTTAGCCTGCCCAAAATTTCAGAAAAAAATACAGCTATTCTATACGATGCGACCGGGCAATCGTAGCGCGAAATAGAAAACAGCAAAAAAGGCAAAAAAAACTGGGAGGATGTGGGCGTAATTTGTAGCCGGCCGGAAAAAGGGGTGTAGTGTCCCGAACTATCAAGATTCGATTTCTCGTAAATGTATAATCAGTGGTGTATAAAATTATGAGCTACAGTAATAAAACTAAAAACCGCTAAAAATATACGGAATTTGGAGCGTTCCGTAGCGTAGCATCGTGGAAAAATTCGACAAAAACCGTTCGAAAATGTTTTGAATAAGGTGGCCATTGTAGTATATCGACATCTTGAGTTTGTAGCCGCAAAAACAAAATACAGTACCTTAAAAAATCTGAGAATGACAAAATGGGCGGAATTTGTTGCGATACGTAGCGTACGCCCGGAAAATCAGGAGAGCTTCTCGTAAAAATTCTGACGAGTTTTATAAAATTTAAGCGTTACGGTAAGGTTTGGAAACGCTAGAATCTAACCAAAAAATTGCAAAAATGACAAACGAGCGTGTAGCGCTGCGTAGCGTACCATCCGCAAAAAAATCAGGAAATCAGTCATAAATCCATAAATCAGCAATCAGGAAAGCATAAAATTGTCAATAGTCTGACGACGATTTATAATCTTGGCTCTAAGCAATGTTTCGAAACGCTAAAATTTGACACAAAAAAGTCCAAAAAATGACAAAAACCGGAATTTATAGCGCTGCGTAGCGTACTCCGTGGAAAATAAGAAAACGAAAGCGTTCCTATGCTAAAATTTAACCTGAAAAATCTCAAAAATGTCCGAAAGGACCTAGCCTTGAGCCAGATTCTCAAGTCTATGCCTGTGGCCAAGTTTATGGGCGGCAATTACCCGAATTGACCGCATAAAATATGCACTCCCCATTTTCAAGCTGGCTTTTTCCTGGGTTTCCCCGAAATGGAAGGAATTTCCGAAAAGGCCGATCGGCCGTTTTTAGGTGTCTACCGTAGCGGGCGGGGCGGCACTCCGAAACAAAGCTCAATTTTGGACATCTGATTAGGTCTCCAAAAATTTAGAATTCTTTTCCCTTCGAATTCTCGGAATTGATTACCGCCAAAATTAAGCAAAAAATTTGCGTTTTATGGGGGATTATGGCCGAGGCGGCAAAATAAATTCTGGAGCGCAAATTAGCACTTGTAAGTTGGAACGCTTTTCATCATAGCAAATTGGTTCTGGTCTGTTAGCGGGGGGGCTGCATTTTTAGCGGGAGAACCAAATTTTTCCCTGTGATTCTCAACAGCCCTATAACAAAATATTAAGCATTTTTACAGCATTTTACATAGTTTTTGGATATAAAAACAAAGTAAAAATCATAAAATTCTCGAAAATTGTTGGCTTTTTGGTCAAAACTGTATGAAAAATGGCCAAAAAAAGGTATAAATTTTTGAAGTTTCAAATTTTTTATAACTTTCTAGCAATCAAAAACTACTAAAAAGAGGAATAAAAATGTGCAAAAGGGCAGCGTAAAGCCCGGCGATTCGAATTCTCGGTTTTGTGAATTTTTGCTGGCCTCCTGGGGGGCTCCGTGGAAACTCGAACTTTTTGTAAAGTCCCACTGATTTCGTGGGATTGTCTGCTGTACTGTTTCTGGGGGTGTACTTTGGTGCGATAGAGAAAAATGCAAAAAAACCGTGAATTTTTGGAAATTCGGGCAAGCGAGGCTAGCAGAGATTCTTTAGGAAATTCTAGAAACGCCAAGTGATTGAATATGAATGTATGAAAAATAGCGAACGTTACTGGAAGTATTTTGGAGCGTAGCGTAGAGCCCCGACTTTAAAGCGCCATTTTACTAGAGGGCAGGCTAGCAGCAATTATTTAGGAGCTCCTCCATCAAATGAGGCAGGCTAGCAGTGATTATCTAGGAACTTTTCTGTAAAAACGCGCAGGCTAGCAGCAATCATTTAGGACTTTTCCGTAAAATCCGGCAGGCTAGCAGCGGCAATTAAGGAAATGAGCCTTGAAAAATTCGATAAAAGACAATAAAATTGGCGCGTAATTTGGCGCCTAGCGTAGTGTGCGCGAGTTGGCAGGCCAAGCGAGTCGCGGGGCTAGATAGATAGATAGTAAGATGTGTGACCGCGGTTGGCCGTGGCCAAAATTGGGGCCAATCCCCCATCTATTCCTCCTCCTCCGTCTCGCTATTCCGTGACCCACGCCCATTTCTTTTGTCTTCTACTGCCCTCAGGGTTGGTCGGATGCCGCTCGCAAAACAGGGCCAAACAATAGCCACGAAATTCGCCGCGTTTCGCATATGGATTTCACGTATTTTTATATTACGAAATGAAGCTATGTTTTCCGGTAAGAGTTCTAATTCATAAATTTCGGAATTTTGCCGCGTTATTTTAGGCCAAAATTCGTATATTTTGGCGATCTGTTATCAGTTTGTCGAAAATCTTTTTGTCGAAATTTCATCGTCGAATTTTGAATGTGCAAAACGTTCAATTTTCGAAATGTTTGAGATGAATAATCAAAGCGAAAACGCATTAAATTTCTTAAAATTCCAATCTAGATAAAGTAATATTTCGACAAAATAAGGTTCCGAAAAAAAAATGAAATTTTCACAAAACTAAATTTCGAAAAATTCAGATTTAGACAAAATCATTTTCGCCAAAATAAAAATAAGCATACTTTACTTTTGCCCCTCTATCTAATGGCGTGAAAATTCCATTTTCTGGTCTTTAATTTATATTTCCCACTACACTATTGCTAATTTTCTTCTTCGACATAAATTTAGTGGCTGAGGTGATGCCTAATTCGAACTTTAAAGCTCTTTCCAAATCCAGAAATCCCATATTCTGAAAAACAATGCAAAATACTGACCTATCATCGGCGAGCCCGACCACCGATCCACGCTGTATCCGGTCGTCGCTGTTCGAGGGGAGGCTGAAAAAGAGGGGTTTAGAAACAATCAACTCGCATTAAACACTTGCTGCTTTCCTTTCTGATTCTTAAAACTTGATTTTTACCTCTATGAGCAAAATTTCCCACTTTAATTTCTATGATTCGACTACGATTAAAAAAATTTTCAAATGATTTTTTACATCGAATTTTTTATTCCTATCTAATTCTACATCTAAAAATCTTTGATAATTTCCCCTTTAATTTCTATGATTCGAATACGATTAAAAAATTTCAAATAATTTTTTATATCGAATTTTTTATTCCTATCTAATTCTACATCTCAAAATTTTTGATAATTTTAACTGATACTTAAAAATTAATAATCTTAAAAACTTTAAAACCTTTCCTTTAAAAATTATCAAATTTGAATTTTTGCAAAAACAACATTTTTGATGCATAGCTGGCATGCTCCCTTTAAAAAATTTGTCATTTTAGAATTTTTCGCTTCTCTCTCGCTCCCCTCTCTCTCTCTCTCTCTCTCTCTCGCTCTCTCGCTCTCTCACTCTCCGTTCGCCCCCCCCTCACCCATTGTCGTCATAAACCAGCTGGCACGCTCCCTTTAATTAAAACACGGTCCCCCATCCCGAATTCTGTACTGTGCCCCATTCTCCGGGGACACCGATTTCCGGAAGCCCCGGTTATCAGGGGAATTCCGGGCGCGGGGAGTAGAAAAACACACGGCGATTCCGAGCCTGTCCAAATTCCGGGCCGGCTTGTAATAAAAACGGGCGATAAAAGTGTTGGGATTGGGGGAGACTACCTGATAACACACCCCCATCAAAGTCACACCTTTTTTCGCGGTTGTCTAATCGACAGCCGGGCACACAAAATGACGGGGGAATTCGCGGAGGGCAAGCTAGCAGCGATTCTTTAGGAACGGGAAGGCTAGCAGAGATCCTTTGAGAGGGCTAGCGATGCGCCAAAGTTAGCGGAGATCCTTTAGGAAATGTAAAATCGGGGAAAGCAAGCTAGCAGTGATCCCTCAGGATGGCTAGAAAAAGGCAAACTAGCAGAGATTTTTAAGGAACCATAAGCGCTGGCAAACTAGCAGAGATTCTTTGAGATGACTGTAAAAATCCAAAACGCTAGCAGAAATTCCTTGGAAGGCTAGATAGCGCGGGGCTACCAGCAGAGAACTTTTAGGAAAGCCAAGGCCCTAACAAGCTAGCTAAGATTATTTGATTCGCCTAGAAAAACGGGGCAAACGAGCAGAAACCATTGAGGAACTGATAGCTTGGGTGTGTAGCAGAAATTCTTTGGCAAGGGCAGGCTAGCAGTGATCTTTTAGGAAAGGGCAAGCTAGCCGAGATTCCTTAGGATGGCCTGACTAGCAAAGATCCCTTAGCATTTCCACCTCATACCTATGTGAATGCGCCTGATTCGGACAGGAGCAGGGCAATAACTTGAGCAACATCCTCGAGCACAACCCCTGTGGAGGCGGTGTTGAGGGTGGTAGGCAGGGGTCGGCCTCTTCTTGGCCCTCCTCTGCTTCTCGTGCTCCTCTGTGTCCCTCTTCTCGCTCGCCCTCCTCTCTTTGCCAATGGCTCGTCGACGTCGCTGTCGCGTCCGCGTCCGCATCCGCGACAACGACAGACGACGTCGACGCCCGGGATACGGTCACGCAGCGCACCGTCGTGGCTACG